GCTTTTATAGGGGATGAAAAAGTAAAGGCTCCCTTAAGAAACCGATGTGGGAGTTTTGTTTCTACACAAACAGCAAGCCCCACATTTTTTTAATAAAAAAAAGTAGCTTTATTATCTTGTTTTCCTCTTGATGGCTAAGGAAGAATAAGTTGACACATTAATTAGTAGGGTATGTTTGTGTTTCCAATATCCTACATTGCTATTTCCTATTTTTGGTGTGGTACTTCATCTTTATAATTATATGTAGATGTTTTATGGTGTCATGTTACATGTATTTATATTTAAATAGTAATTTATTTTATTGTTCAGTTTGGTACGGATTTTCGCAGTATGAGATATCGTTAACCGTTAACCAAATCAAACCTTTTGGATTGGATCGGTATAGAATAATTAAAACTTAAAAATAAAAATTTAACCAAATCAAACCAAACTATCAGTACGGTACAGTCGGTACACGAATTTTTCGGTTGAGATGCCCACCCCTACAATCACCATATAGCGCCTAGACCCAAACTCTGAAATACAGCCGGGTTTTGCATAAATCTAAAAATGGACTAAACTTTGGGCCTCATTCCACAGTTAGCCATTATTAGCATTGAAGTGTGGATCAAAGTGCTAATGGAGAAGGCCCAGACATTATTTGTTGATTTTTCGATAGACAATATTATAAAAAACAAAACAAAACCTCCCAAAACAAAGGAAGGAAAGTCAACAAATAATGTACGTGTCCCAAAACAAAGCTGTTAGATATTTACGCTTGCATTAATAACTTTCCCCAAAACAAAGAAAGAAGAGTGGTGATTTCTTTACCTGATCATTTTCGTTGCCATGCATGTTTGCCAAATGTCAATGCATGACTTCATGCCATACCTAGCCTGATCAAATCTTAACAGAGAGACTAATTTAATGTATGACATGTTTATTAATTCGTAATCGAAATTAAAATAAAAAGTTGAATTTATATTACGGATATTTATGTGTTTAATTCACATGGAGGAATGAAATTGCAAGTGGAACCCATATAAAATCAAGAATTCAACTTTTTATTTTGTAGGAATTAGACTTTTGTGTAGGAGGTGTATTCTAATTCTTGGAGAACAAACTCATTAGGAATCCATCCTTTTTACCTATTATATCCTCACGCAATTTTTAAAATTCTACATTTAACATCTACTTTAATCCAACAACGAGGACATTTTAATAATCAAATTGGTTTCAATTCTGATTCATGGGAATTCAGTAAACAACTTATAAGGAATCAATATAACTCATACCCCGATTTCATATGATTTTAGTAAACAACTTCAATAGAAATTCGGATTTTAACTCTCCTCATTCAATTACGGATTAGTAAACATGCTGTAATATTATAGCATCTCCCTTCTTCACCTTTTGTTTTTCTCACAATGGGTTAAGAATTTGTAATTAAGCTAATTATCTTCCAGAAACTTAGTTAGAAGGAAAGAATAAAAAATAAAAAAGGACTTTATTCTAATCTTATGTATATAATTTGTCAAGCGCAGTCTACATCAGCAAGGCTGGAACAGATTATTATTAGCGATGGCGATTGTTCTGTGAGTACATGCAGAAAATTCTGGTTTTGTAATGGAAATGGTAGGGAACTCTTTGAACAATTGTCCCCGTGATCAAAAGCTAGACTAGTTTACATCCAAGCCATCTCCATCATAGCTTCCGGTCCACCACCATTATCTCCTAGTGATCTAAGTCCTTCTTAAAATACGATGGAATTTTATTTTTAGAAGTCAAATTAGGGCACCTTCTCTTAGATTCTTCCCTCTTATGATTGGAATTTCTTATCTTCTTCTACGACTACAAGATAGATATCCACGGGTCCCATTTTTTTCCATCCATTTTATCTATTTAGTGGAAGGAGATATAAGGAAAAATTGATATAATTCAACTTACAGCTCTTCTCTAATGCATATGTTGGGACGTTATTACATTGCTGATGTCATTAGTAAACAATAATAACGTCCAAACGTCTGCATAGAAGAAAATCTTTTTCAGCTTACGGCTCTCCACCGTTAATAAAGGCTTGCCAAATTTTCATTCTAATAGACCAAAAGATTATTTAATTTAACTCAATGTTTCATATTTTAGTTCCTCAAACATTGAATCATGGCTCCGCCCAGCAGGTATCCCAATTAGAATATATGTGAAATTTATTCTAAGAGTCTTGCTAGAGAGATAATCTTTAATTACCAGGATGATGAGATGATTCATATATTTAAAGAATGTTACACATGAAAATAGCAATGAACTAATAAATCTGCCTTTATGAGTATTTTTGTCTTGGATTGGATTTGAAAGGAATCTATATAAATTGGATCATTGATAAGAGCCGTACTGATTTTTTATATGTAAATCTGTCTACTTTGGTGTTCTTAGACCTCAATAAGTTACGATTATCGTAAATGAATCAGCGAAACGATGTTGTAAGTTCCTCTAAATATATAATACAAGAAGAAGTATTTTATGAAAATCAAATCAAAGTCATACCTTAATTGCAAGAGAACCTGAAGAGGCCGGAGACATCCATCTTGGACCCAGCATCACTCACAGATTTATATATATGGTGAAACTGAAACCTTCTTGCACTTCAAAGATAAATTGAATTCAAATTCCAATTTGTAGGGTATTAGTTTAAGATTAGTCAGGATTAATAAAAGTAATGCACGCCATGCAGACCAACGTTTTTGACGAGCCTAAATATTTTGATCGATTTAAATGCTTGTTTACTTAGTCCTAGTCTACAAGAATATTGGGCACAATCGTTAACAAGTTAACCACCACTCACTAATCAGAATGTGATTTGAGTCGGCGGTATTTAAGAGAAAATATATAAATAAATAATTGGAACAAGTCTACAGTTCTGGCTTTGTTGTATTCAGAATTTTATAATAATTATACAAGGTGTGTTGAAGAATTAGTGGGGAGGAAGCATATTCCTAATTATAATAAACTTATATTTTTAAGGGGACGGATTCATGATTTTAAAATGGACTGAGATGGATTTCCTTTACAAAAAATGATATGTCTAGTAGAGGAGACATAACGAGGTGTATATCCCTCAAAATGCATCTAGTATATAAAATATAAACTAGTAAAAAAGACAAAAATAGGTATTGGGTGAGCTTGTTTAAAATTTGGGATGGGCTGTGGCTATTTGACTACATGAATTTTTTATTTTTTTATTTTAAAAACCACATGATATTTAATAATGAAAAAAATATATATTACTGATTGTATATACGTAGGGCCTCATACAGCCCTCTACATACATACGTAGGGCCTCCATTGGCTTACTTTGTTAAGCTGAATTGTTTATAAAATTAGCTGTGGCTACTCCTGCCGCCTAGTCATTAATCACTTGAATAATTAAGTATGCTAAGTAAGGGGGTGATCATGTGTCATCCCAGGTTTCATGGCACGAAGTTCTGCCTTCCTTCCAAAGTCTCACTGTTGGTCTATGTGTTTCTAATCTGTTTTTTCTACAGGCTCCACCATACTAAGTTATCATGGAAAACAGAAACAAAAAAGTAATAATGTGACTTGGTAAAACTCGAAAATATATCAAATTTATTGAAGGAATTATGATTAATAATGTTGTCCCACCATGTTATATTTATCGGGAAATTCATCATAAACAGTGAATTCCGTACTCACATTTATGAAAGTCTAAACTATACTAATACACAATAGTTTCGACTTTTAAAGTAAAAGCATTTCTTATATCTAAGAATATAAGTTAAGTTAGAATTAAGTATTTATCTTGAAAGAGAAAAAAGAATTAGAATGTGATCGAGATTGAAAACCCTAAAGCTCTTCCCCACTAGAGAGTTCGATGGAGACGGCATAAAAAAAAAGTAGTTCCTAAAGTTTGGGCACTTAGGCAGCTTTGCAATTACAAGCAGTGCGCCTTAATTGGATGCGAGATCCCGCTTTCTTATCTTTCTATGGCTTCTAACTTGTAATGGCCGACTTCTACAAAATACAAGGAGAAGAGACAAAAACAGCCACCACCTTTCTACATTTTTCTACGATAAGTCGAGTTGTCGCCACTCTGAATCGTCGTCATATCTCACAATATGCAAAGCAATCAACCCGCCTTCGTTGAAAAATAAAGACATGGCACCAAGTAATTGGCGGCAACTTGTATGGCCTACAAATAAATGTGACAACTGCCAACGGCCCCTCTTTCTTTTTTTCTTCCATCACCAACGCCCCTCCTCTTCCACCGTTTTATTATGCGTGATCACCATTCGATTATCACTATTTCTCTTAATAGTCTCAACGTTGAAAAATGTTCTAAATTCGAATCAACGAATAAAAGAAAATCAAATAAAAAATGACAATGTTTTCCAAAACAAATGGATAAAACTCGTTTCTTGTGTTTTCCAATACTGGATAAAATGATATGCAACTCTCAATATGAAAAAGCTACCATGCCTTGACCCTACCATTCATAAGATTTTAGATTTGTAGCTTTACTCAATTTACAAGTAAACAAAAATGAAATAGCAAGCATATATGCATAAATGTTGTCCAAATTTCTGACCAGAATAATAATAATATTCATTCAAATTGATACCCATAAAAATACTGAGCTCCAATCTCTATGTGTAAATCACTGTATGTACTGTACTTATGTCCTAATAATCCCCAAAAAGAAAACAGGACTATACAAAATTTAAAATGAAAATGTTGCCCCAAGTAATTATAGTAAATACTGACATAAAATGAGATTTTCAACTCTTCGACTTTGGAGGTTTGGAACTTTGGCGCTACTTCTTGTTGTAGTGTCCGACAGACAGACACAGGGATCATCGCAAACATCTCCAGCCACAAAGAGACCATCATGATCAAAATATTCAACGGCTCCGATTGAACTCTATGTTATGCTTCTTCGTATATTTACAAAATTACCAATAATCTCGAGGATTGAATTCCTTCAATTACGGAATCGGTGAGTCAACTCGCTACCAGCACTGGTCGGTCTCCCAGTTCCGGCGAGTGTAGTACCCGGAGTATCCCGACGCCGTTGACAACGGTCGGCTCCGGCGCATAAACTTCCGGTCGTAATCGGCGCGCTTTTCGGGGTCCGATAGCGTGGAGTAGGCAGCATGAATCTTCATGAACTCGTCAGCCGACGTGTCCTTGCGCTCGATCGCCGCCACGTCGGGGTGGCAAACCCTAGCCAATCGCCGGTACGCCGATTTGATCTCCTGACACGTGGCGACCGCCGGGATGCCGAGGATCTCGTACAGCGAGGTCATCTTCTGATGGCCGAGGTACGACGCCGTAGCTGTCTCGTCCGAGGTGCAGGTGGAACCGGCGGCGAAGGCGCTTATTGGCCTGAAATGTGCGCGTGTCGATGTTTTGGGAGGGGGAGGGGTGGCGGAGAGAATTGGAGCGGCGAAGAATGTCGAGGTCGAAGCAGAGAGCATGGTAAGGTGTGTTTTGGTTTGCGGTTGTGAGTTTTTGATTGAGGGGGAGAGAGAGGGTGGGAGGGGGGGGTGTTTGTCTTTATATGTTGGGGAGTTTTGGGGGTGTTTGGGTTCGGGTTGTGCCAGAGTAACTATGGTTAAATATGGTGTTTGGTTAGTATAAGAAAATGCTTATCCAGTTTGGCTGAGTTCGATGCTGACTCGACTCCTCAGAACATTTTATCCAATAATAAATTTTTATTTTTATTTTTAAAATTTCGGTGGTCATAACTTGATAACAAATGGCGGTGGATGAGTTGTATATCAGGTTTGCAGACTAGTCTTTTTCCATAACTTTGATAAGGTTGCATTTCCCTTCCTCATAATTTAATTAGTTCGTTCAAGCCAAACTCAATACTGATACAATGTATCAAGTCGATTTACACCCATATTTAAAATGTTAGATCCAATTAATGTTGTTGTATTTTTTCATATATATAGAAGTGCATTTAAAATTTGATTTAAAGTTCGAAACGTGAGACTATTGATCTGCAAGTCAATGCCATTTTTCATTATATTAGACCCCGTTAGCAACACATACTACTATATCATCTTCTATGTTATTCGTTCATTTTTTATATTTTGAGAATCAATATTAACCACAGAGATAAAGAGTATTTCTTTTCTCCAAAGATAAGCAATTCATTTTATCAAAATAGAAGTTAACATCTGTCTTTGTCACCTAAACCAACCTAGAAAACACCATTCATGACACTTCAAAAACCTAATAACTGGTCAGATAACTAATAGTGCTTTGGTGGAGGTTAGTTATTAATAAATAAATAAATAAAGCAAAAGGATTTAGAAAAAGTTACTCAACCATATCCATAAAGCAAAGTACATTCTTTAGGAAACAAAAAAACCTAATGGTCATGATCTTGTCTTTGAATTTAAGCAGTCGTAAATTTCCTATTTGTACTCCTTACTTTCCTCTATATTCTATCCATATGTTCCACTAAACCTATAGAATGTTTCCAATTGCAGATAACTATTTCCCTCTAAGCTTTAGACTTTACTAACCATTTGATTATATTCTATCTGCACTAGTACAATAAAGGGAATTTGAATTCTCTGGTAGTTGTTTTCTTCTTCAAAAATAACCTACTACACTATTTAAAATTACCACATTATCCTTTTAAATTCTAGGGGGATGAATTGATGTTTAAGTTTTTAATAATTAGAGTCCATCTAAAAGAGAGAATCCCATGTTCACTTTAATAATCCCAATAATATGGAGGATATTGCTTGCCTTCTTCTCTAGAAGGAAATATTCCTCCTTTCAGTGAATCACGATTTGACACATGTGTAAAGATATTTCATCAAAAACACATAAAGAAAAACGTCGACGCATATGTCATATTATAAACTATAAGGAAGAAAGGCTGAGCTCTTTCCCATCTACTATAACAAAACCCTCCCACTTAATTGTAGAGCTAGAATGGAGCCCAATAATATCCCAACACATTTGTGAAGATATTTTCTTGTGGACAATAAAACAATTCAAGTAAAATTTAATTAATCTTTAATATCTCAGTTTAGTTTGTGTATTAGAAGATTATATATACTTCTGTAAATAAAAAAAAAAAAAAAAAAAAAAAAAAAAAAAAAAACCCAGAAAGCCCGAATACAACCCATTTGCAACAAGGCATTTGAAGTGTTTTTTGGCCTGCAAAAGTCCTGAAAGAATCTAAAAACCTTTCATGCAAGATCTACTAGTGTTGGAAAGGGACCCAACAAGTGCTGGCCGTCATTTGGAACCACTAGTTTCCATTAGATATTTTATTCTTCTTCTTCTTCTTCTTCTTCTTCTTTTTTCTGGATGAAATTATATTCCCTAGATCTTTTAGCTAGTTGCCTCAGAATTCAAAGGTTTGAAAAGTCACACAAGAAGCGTGCCTTCACTGAGAGTACTTTGATTGAGACAATCCCTTCCCTTCAGAGAATCACAACTTTACTCTGGATTTATTTCTGAAGATATAAACAAGGAGCTAAATTATTGTGATCACAGAATAAAATAATATATAATGCATGTGAATTTTGGAAGCCTTTTCGGGAAGCAAGAGTCACTTGACCAAGTCCGCTACAACTTAGGGTCCATAAAAGAGTGCATTATTCCAAATGTGTCTCGTATAATTACAAAGGGCCAAGTGTTGTCCAATTCCAAACAAAATCACAAAACCCTCCTTCAAATCTTGGCTGTTCCTGCCGTATAATTCTTCTTTTTTTCTTTGTTTACTATCATTTGTTAACACAAACAAGTCCCTCCTCCAAGTTGCTCCAACCATTTGGAAATTGGAATTGAATTCACAGAAACATAAACACATACAACTTAAAACAATATATTCACATCAAAATAGACAAAATCTATTGATGCTTGAGTTGAGCCTCTGGTTTTAAACCAATGGCTTTTACACATCAAACCATTCTAGACAAAGAACAAGTGTGGACCTGATTACGAAATGTTGGATTATGGAGGGGATTGTGAGGCCGACACTGAACGCCGATAATCAATCTACGAAAATGATTTTGACTTGACAATTCTGCTATGTTATTAACAAATACATGGTACAACAACACATCAATAATGAAATGACACCGATCATCAATCCACTAAAATGACTTAGTTTCGACAGTTCTACTATATTATCAACAATCAAATGATATAATAACACATCAATAACAAAACGGCACGTAACTGAGTAACTGAAAATTGAAATTTGCATAGTTGATATTATCAAAGAAAATTAAAATCCACATGATTTTACATCATTCTTCTTCTCCCGAGAAGCAAAGCTTTGGGTAAGGTCTAATCCGGCATCATTTGAGAGGGACAGGTTTGCTTCTTGTGGCCGTAAAACCTTGTCATTGCATGTCCTTAGACTTTTTAGTGTTGTGTTAGACAATCTAACTTAACAGTCTCTGATCCTGATAATGATGTAAAACCTATCTTTAATCAAGTTGAGGGTTTATCATGCAGTGCTGATGTGTTTCACATTATCATTCTAATATAGTAATATTATATGCTTTTCTTTTACCATAATTTGTCCTCGATAACGATCACTGCACTTAACTATCAGCCTTGTTGATTGGTATTTGTATGGAAGAAGTTTTTTTTTAACCTTTCGACTTTTTTATTTTTATTTTTTATAATATAATTAAGTTATCTTCTGTGACCATTCGTTCTTGATGCTGAAACGAGATTTAATATTCCTTCCTTCCTCACTGATTATGTTGCAGCCACCATGATTTGCCAATCAAAGTTTGGATGTTTATGTTGAAGTTATGAAAAGAAAGATCAACACAATAATAAATTAGACATTCTATGTCCAATCAGAGTGCTAAGCCTTTTTGGTTCAGATATAGATGATCTATATTGCATCATTGTTGATTTCTAGTTACCGACTAGCTCTTGGTTTAGTGGTAGATAATATCTTCTCAATGTGGGGAGATATTTCAAGTCTGAATTTCTCCTCCATGACTAATTTAAAAAATAAAAATAAATAAAATAAAAGTTCTCATATTTTTGAAAACATATTTGTTTCGTGGAGCACTGCGATCAATTCACTAAACAAGGAAATGAATAACGTTAAACACCTAATAATACAACACAGGAGCTTATGCCTGAGAGATTCGATTCCCAGATGAATAATTTTGATCACAAAATTTCCTAAACTGCGATGGCCGGCACTGCGCCATCTCTAAGTTTAGGGTTGGGAGGAAATTAACAGCTTGACATCCATATTACCTGAATCAGTGATCATAATTTTTGTCGAGGTTTTGAAGCAGCCCATTTGAAATAATTACAATTTGCTTCAGGGTTAGATGCAGGCCCCTGTATGGAGAACAAAAAATGCCACTAGTTAGTTCATATATCATATGAAACACAGATACCTAATCTGAAGACCATCTCTCTTTTTCAATCAATCGTCAAACGCCCAAAGGTTTAAAGGAAAAATGGGGGTAGAACAACAGATTGCACAGCTTGTGGCTTTCTGTCCTGAGTTCTAACTACCAAAGGGAAAATAGTTGCGAGTTGATGGAACTGCAGCAAATTTATCTGATGTTTTCTACTATTACAGCATCAACTGAACCTGAATATGTTTGGGTTAATTTTATTTTTCATTTTTGGTGAAGCCACCAATGGGTCGAATTGAACACATACAAAATAGTGGAAAACTAAAACATGGTAGGAAAGGAGCGATGTGTTTGCTGATATCAGTATTTGAGTTCTTAAATAAAAAAGTACCTCAGCACGAGCACAGACATAAAACCTGCGTCCAAAATTAGCACCTCGCTTCCTCACAACCCGAGCAACACAGGGTTCCCTATGGCCCTTGCAAAGTGGTATGCTATTCTGCATGACTTGCTGCAACCTTTGCCACTCCATTAGAGCAAAATTATTCTTATCTTTCTCCAAAGAACAGACATCTACTTCATCCTGATCCTCAATTGATGCACTTGAGTTCAATTCACACTGCTTGGGACTGCCACTTTGATTCTCTGGTATTGGAGTTTCATTTGACAGATGATTAGAATCTGGAACATCTATCTGATTAGTTGAAGTATCAGTACCATTGCCGACACCATTGCTAGGGCTTGAACTTTTCTGGAAAAATGACCTCAATGAGAGTTGAGAGCTCCTTTTTGCCTTTTTCTTTGGTTCACTGCCGCACATTGTTCTGGTACGTTGACCACCTAAAGTCACCAAGGTGTTACAAGTATCCTCCATAGAAAAACCGTTGGAATGCTCATTTGTTTTTGAACTGAGAACTTCAAAGTTTTGGCTCGAAGAAGAACATGAGTTTCCACTGGGTACACCGGGTGTGCTACAGTGGTCAGACGAGCTTCTTTCTCTCTCACTGCAACTCTCTTTAATGATATCTCCATCTGAATTAACTTGTTCAGCAGTTTGTCTTTTCATTAACACTGATACTGCACAGGACAAAGGGTTCAGTCAAGTTTGAGTAGGCATAAAGAACAAGGGCTTCAGGGGAAAAGAATAGATTGAAACTGACAGATGATCAAGTAAAAGAGTAAGAGAGCATATGGCATTCACATGCTTTGATATAAATAAATTCAACAGATCACTAAATAGAAGCTAAACCAAGAAAGCAGTCGCTTCCTTGAATTTTCAAGTGTGCATCATAAAGGGCTTATCACTTGATGTAATTCGCAAGACAGCATACATAGAAATATCTAAATTAAAAAGAGACCATCAGCAAAAGGGGAAAAATAATTTCATACCCAAGGTTTGCTGGAGCCCACGAACCATTGGAATGTATCTAGCAGATAAAGATGGGGTGCTATGCTGGAAGACACTAGGAATTTCCAGCAAACTTGTGTAAACAGGAGCATGATCAGAGCCTTCAAGTTTAATACTCTGCCCTCCCTTCCACCTGTGGGTAGGGAAAGAGGTCAAAGTAACATCCTAACCCTCACACATGCTTGCATATATATGTACCACATGCATGCGTTGCACATTACCCACTGTTGCATAATCATGAAAGCAAAACTACAAAGGAATGACACACACCAATGGGGTGCACATGCACACAAAACAAGCATCCATGTATCCTATACCTCAGTGAATTTCCTGGTTTCCACCGTTTATACTGTGTCAATATGTCACACTCCTTGACATGGCAAGTTACAAAATTATGGCTTTGCAGGTCCTGCTCTTGGTGTAAGCATGATCCTGCACAAAGAATGTGGTCGATTCTAGAGCCATAATTAAATTCTTCAGCACCTGTATTTTGTGGCCAGCATGTGTACGCTTCTCTTCTGCAGGAAAAAAAAACACACACACACACACAAAACGGACAAACAAGGTAAGACCAAAAAAATGGACAGACGCTTTCAGGTAACAATGAATGTCAGAGTTTGACATAAAATATTAAAATGATGGTAAAAAGGAATACATAGAGGAGAACATGGAGGATTGACAAATGGTAAGAATTTATTATGGCCTTTTCAATATACTGACCGAAGAAGACTTGATGGTAAAAAATCCAAACTCGAAATCATGCACCGTCGCACTTAATGATCATATAATGATAATGTGATTAAACCATAAAAGTAAAACATGAAGTTGAACGGGGCACTCAAGATATGTTGAAGGAAAGATATCATACAATAATAACTTCAAATGACTAAACATGTTCCCACGACTACTGAGCAAATATAACGCATTACTCAAATCCAAACTCAAGTATGCATAAGAACAAAACAAATGACTGCTAGAAGTCCTTTTGAGAATTAGTTTTACCTATTAGGATGCTTTGCTCTGAAAACATCAAAGAATGAGCCTTTATTTTCCACCAACATAGATCTAAACCATCTTCTAAATCTACAAGGTATTTCCTCAAAATATTAGGTACTGAGCTTTACTTATAAAACTGTACAAACATTGCATGCACATTTAACTATTACGTAGAGATCAGAAAAAAAAATCATACTGGTTGTTCTCAAATTCTGGTTCTGCATCACAACGATCTAAAGAGGTGGGTGCAATGTTAAGATCACCAACAACAAATATCCTCCTCCCCTGAAACAGGAGAGAATCCCACCTTTTCTACAACAAAAATTACCTAATATTAATAAATAAATAAAACACAACAGAAAAAAAATTATAACTTTTGCATGCTAATTAAACACTTCTTGTAATAAACCAAAGGCATAAATGCACAAAAGTAAGGAACTACATAAAATAGTAACTCAAAAGAGGAAAAGGTCCCTTTAGTTACCTGTAAAATCTTGAAAAACTTGAGCTTAAACTCAATCCTTTCTGTGTCATCACATACAGCTCGAGGCCCATACAAATTGAAGAGAACTAGACAAGCATTGTCAATAAAAGCTTTAACTTTTCTCCAACAAGTGAAAGCACAAAGACTCAAGCTTGAAAAAACATACCAAAATGACCATGATCTGTGATAATACACCGTCCCTCGCCATCAACCTTAAGAAGCTCATCCTTCGAAAACTCCTCCAGCCCTTCTGCAGCCGCAGCCATTTCTCCTTTTCCAATCTCAAGGAGCCCAGTGAAGCCTTCCTCTGCCGCCACCGGCAACGCTACTTCGTCACTCGAGAATGCCGATTTTACGCGGCAAAACGTAGCCACACCTTCACATGTGACGTGAAATCAATCCAAATTCGAGACTGAAGTTGCAAAATTTGAAGAGAGTCTGCTGTGGTTTGGTTGAGGCAATTGAACAAATACTTACCGGAATATCCAGTTCGGCCTTTCTCGGAGGTACGAGTGCAGGAGAAGAAGGACTCGTAGCCCTCCGCCATGACCAAGTCGGCGGTCAATTCTTGTCTTCTCAGTTTGGTTTCCTGAACACAAATGATATCTGCGTCCAGCGAATTTAGCAATTTGAGAAGAGAGCCAAATTGCGCAATGCGTGGCCTCAGCCCATTCACGTTGTACGTCACTATCTTCATCTTCTTCCTTTCTTCCAATTTACAGAGACAGCAGAAACCCTCGAGCCATTTCCATTTTCAGAATTTGGAGGTAAACGAAAGCCCTCCCCGCTTAAACGACGTCGGTTTGTTACAACGTGTCGGTCTACTATTGAGTGGAAACAGAGTTTTAACATTACTACCGTGGTCAGGAACGTAGCCAATCCTGGTCTCTACCTTCAAAGCTTTAATAAAATATTAAATTTAATTAAAAAATAAAAAAATGAAATATCCAATATCCAAATCGCATTGGCATCCATTCTCGCAGTGGTGAGTTTTGTTGTGGAAAGCTGAGATAGGTGTTCAATTTTGTATCTTTCGATTGCTTCTTTCTCTGAAATTCTTCAATTTGCAGTGAAGAGCAAAACCCTAGACTGAAAATTTGAAGCCAAAGGCCTGGGTTTGATTGATGTGCCTGAGCTTGCGAGCATGGATCAATGGAACGGTGACGATTTCTCAGCTGCTTCAGCTCCTTCTTCTGCTCAGCCTCTTATTTTGCCCTCCTCCACTCGCTCCCACAACTCCAACTCTGAGTCCAGGTTTTTATATTTCCCATTTCTTTCCTTACACATTTTCTGTTTTCTTTTATTGGGTTAGCTTGAATTCAGCAATTAAATGTCTCTTTCATTAAATAATTTCGAGAAAAAAAATTCCTGACTGTTTTGAAGCAGATGGGTTGAGAAAGTTTGGATTTTTATAGTTTGATTTTGTGGCAGACAAAGGCCTGATGTGGAGACGAAGGACCCAATTGCTGCAAGAAAAGTTCAGAAAGCAGACCGTGAAAAGTTGAGGAGGGATCGACTCAATGAGCACTTTCATGAGTTGGGCAACACACTAGGTAAAGCTTAGTCAATATTCTACTACTCTTTTGGCACAACATGTTTCACCATCACAACAATAGCTTGACATGAATGAAGGCTACATAATTTGATTAACAGTATCAGCAATATAGCATGTGAATGGCAGATTGTGTGCCTCACAAGTGAAAAGTAGTTTACCAAACGCGTGCCTTAGTTCTCAAGAAACATGCATGCCTTATTGTTATGTTGGAAATGTAGATCCAGATAGGCCCAAGAACGATAAGGCAACCATCCTTACAGACACAATTCAAATGTTGAAGGATTTAACTGCTGATGTCGGCAAACTAAAGGCCGAGTGTGCCGCGCTTACTGATGAATCCCGTGAGGTGAGGTGATGTTCCTTTTAATATGTAATGTGTATTATCCTTGTGGTTGTAACTTGTAAGGCCGATCATATGCTAATGTCATCGGAATTCTTGTTTATTGCAAGCAGCTAACACAGGAGAAGAATGAGCTAAGAGAAGAGAAGGCATCTTTGAAATCCGATATTGAGAATCTAAATGTTCAGTATCAGCAAAGACTGAGAGTTATGTTTCCATGGGCTGCCATGGATCCTTCTGTTGTTATGGCTCCACAATACTCATATCCAATGCCTGTAGCTGTTCCTCCCGGCTCAATTCCCATGCACCCGTCACTTCAGCCATTTCCTTACTTTCAAACTCAAACTCCTGCTCCTATTCCCAATCCCTGTTCAACTTTTGTCCCATATCAAGCTCCTGCCAATCCTCCTGTAGAACAGCCGGCACCCCAGTATGCATCTGTTTCCCACCTTTCAAGCAAACAAGATTCCAGAAGCAAGTCATCAGATATGCAAAGGGGGAGCAATGCTGAAAGATGTGATGACTCCAATGATGTGGCAACCGACCTTGAACTTAAGATGCCAGGATCTTCGACACAACAGGTTAGTTTTAACGTTTAAACTTATAGAAGCTACACTTTTCAGAAATACTTTTATATATGTACGGTACCTATATGTTACACATGAATCTACTTTGTACATTAGAAATGGAAGATTGAATGAATGGGGTTTTACAGGATTCATCTTCTGGAGGTAGGAAGGCCAAGCAATCACAGAGGAAGGATAGGGTTGTTACAGATGGAAGCTCATCAAGTAGGTATTCTTCATCTCAAGGTCTTCAGGATAACTCCTCCAACAGCGTAGGTGACGTCCCCAAGTCTAACAAATGAAACATAGGTTGCCTGTACTTCTGACTTCATCGAACTGCTAACATCACAAGAGCATGTATTTTCTATGACACCCTGATCATAAGCCGTGGGTCTGAACACCTTCCGGTTTATTTTGAACACTCAAGTTTCTAATCGAGTTCAAAGTTGCGGACTCCAGCAGTATCCAAGCAAGAAAGCCAAGGTTTTCTGTTTTCTAGTAACAAATTTCCTCAGCACCCGGAAGGCAATAGAGAGGTTTATATATTTGTAAATTGTCTTTAAGATCTGCCTAACCCCTTAGATTAGATATGTTAAAGTGGTGTAATTGTAATTGCACATTCAGTCTATCAATTTTGTTATTTATTTTGATATGTTACTGTGTTTTCTTATTTTGCGTCACCATGCAACCATTTGGCTAAGAGCTTATTTCAATAATTTGAGCACGCGTTTTTTTAATTTTTTAGTCAATCCAAATCCAATTGAGCAAAATTAAAATCAATAAGTTCGTATTCGTCAATTACGGTTGCTCAAATGTTTTCTACTTTTGGTTGTAGTTATTGGTATGTAATAATACAAGATACCGCATAATAAAAAATAAAAAATAAAAAATAAAAAATAAAAAATAAAAATAAAAAACACACACACACACACACACAGGATGGTTCTAATCTGCCACATTTTCATTAAAATTTATTTATGTCACATAATAATTTTGTACGGCACAACCAAGAAATCCCCAACACCTGCAAAAGGATATACACTTTTAACAACCACAGTAACCGGAGCCGCCTTCTTTTCAGATTCACACCAACTCTAACATCACATGTCTCAGTGAAATGTTTTATCCAATCCTATGCAGAATACAATTGCTGAACACTCGAGTTCAAAAGTGGTCCGGTATGGTTATAAGTTATAACTAGAAAACCGGAACATCTTTCTTACACTTTTTACTTCCAATCTTCAAAACATTAATTCCAATCTACACCTTCCTAGCATTCCGTTGACCAGGCGGGCTAGTCACGGTTTTCGAACTAATGCTCGCAGTTCTTAGAAGTCTACGGAATTCTGATAGGCTGATCTTCCCATCTTTGTCAATATCAGCCTCTTCGAGAAGTGGATCAATAGAACCTCTTAATCCCGTGTGCTACAAAAGAGAGGCAACAACATAGTGTATCAGGAAAATTAACAACACTGGTAAATCCAAGTTTGTGTTCCATGTGATTGTGTCTTCTGGGAGAGGAAAGGCATAGCCAACAAAACAAATTAACACTAACCATTTTAAGTTCCTCTGGAGTTATAAACCCATCTTTATCTATGTCGAATTTCTCAAAGGCTGCCCGTGAGCGCTGCTGCCACTTCTCAGAGTCATGTTCCTCCAATTGATGCACATGCAGAGTGGCTGCCACAAACTCAGTGAAATCCACAAGCCCATCTGTGTTGCTGTCAATCTGCATCAAGCAAATCAACAACCATATTCCAAACCGTACATCCAAAACATGAATATAAGATTGATGTGAGATTCACATCGCCTTGGGTGGAGTAAGGGTAAGAGGGCTTGCAAAGAAAAAGAATGATAAGGGAAAGAACCTGAACACCCTACAAGACTGGCATAAAGATAACAAAAAATAGGTGGTTTTTTTCCCTTCATTAAGAGGAGGGAAAAAGAAAAAGGGAAAGGGTGGTGGGGGTGGCGTACCGCTTCCAGTATCTCAAGGACCCGTGAATCTTTCAATTTCCAAGGGACATCCTTAGCAAGTGCCTGCAAGAAAGACATCAATCTTAGAAGTTCAGAACTAAAGAAACCACATATGTTAGAACATACACTCACGAAGAAAGGGGAATATCATATTCTAAAGTTCAAATTTAAATGTGAAAAAGGACTACCTGTCTCATTTCTTCAAGACTAATGGAACCGTTCTTATCCACATCAATTGCATCAAATTGATCCTTAAGATCAGACAGCTCCTCGGCATTAAGTGTGCTAGCTAATGCCTATAATGCCATCAATTTTGAATAATTAAATTAAAATACAAAAGACTTTTTCTTTTTTGTACTGGAAACTCCAAGAGAAGGAAATTTTTCTTACCCTTAGAGCAAACTGTTTCAAACGACTGTACCTCACGAACTGGCGCATGTTATTTAGAACAGATATATCGATAGGAATCTCTGATGCATTGCCTCCTTCTCTAACCCATGGGTGTGCTGGAAAAAAGAAATAACAGTTAATCTGGAAATAAATTATATATATATATATATATATTAACACTTCAAAGAATTGTCTCGAGATGAAAAATAATAATAAACATTCCTTGGGTATGACACCAATAACTCAATTGTAAAAAAGAAAAAGCAAATCATTGGAAAATCATTTATAAAGCAGCTAATTCAAAATCTTTACAAATATGTTAGCCTTTCCAGTACCATAGAAATCAGCATTATTTCTATCAAGATAAGATCTAGGGGCATACATAGAGCCTGAGCAGCAGTTAGCCTTGCTCGAGGATCCTTTACCAGTATCTTCTTAACAAAATCTTTAGCACTGGAACTTATGGTTGGCCATGGTTTGCGGCGAAAATCAGGCTTGTTCCTTAAGACCTACAATAACAGAGAGGTGAACAGATAATGAGGGGCCAGGGGAGACATAACAAATAATAAACCGGCATCACTTCCCCTCCCCCACCCCCCACCCCCCCCAAAAAAAAATTCCAACAGAATTCAAAATTAAGAATGTACTGCACCTCCTTAAATATACCATCTTCGGTCTTATCCCAGAATGGGCGCCTCCCACAAAGCAAAATGTAGGTAATCACACCAATACTCCAAACATCTGATTCAGGCCCAGACTTCCGTCTCAATACTTCAGGAGCAACATAATAAGCACTGCCAACAATATCTTGGAACTTCTTGCCTGCATTTTTTAAGCTTAAACAGCTTTATAGGTTTCAAATAAAAATGGCCAGAAACACGGCCACGAGTACTAGATAAGCAAAATTGAAATGTAGAACTTCAATCACAGAAACTTGTACATCTCTTGATAAAATCTTTCCTGGATTGAAAATACGCTCACCTGGTTTTATAAAGTCTGACAAACCAAAATCTGTGGCCTTCAAAGGAGAGTCCAAGGCTTTTGACTTGAAAAGAAAATTCTACAAGCAAGGAAAAAAATGGAAAGTTACAACAATCAGAGAAAAATGACTCCATATATCAAAGGATGAATTCATGTTAATGAACCTGTTTATACCTCAGGTTTCATGTCACGGTGCACCAGACCATGTAAATGACACTCAGCTGCAACCTTAAGCATCTGCCTTACAACTACTGCTGCATCCTTTTCAGTGTAACGGCTGTCCTTCCTGATTAACCAAGAAGAAGAATATAATTTCAAGGTTACAACAGATATGACAGAAAGAAAATTTCATGGTCAACCGAAAATATAGATAAATATTTATCCAGGACTCAAGGAATCTTACTTCTCCAAAATCCGGTCCAGCAACTCACCACCTTCACATAACCTGAAAAGAAAGAAGATAGAAAACAATATATGCAAGATATTAATGGGGTGATGAAACAAACACTTACATTGAACTATACAGTAAAATCTCTCAGAAAACATGAAGATCAATAAGCCAAAAAGGAGCATGTAAGGAACTAAAACAAAAGAACATTGGAGTACTCTGAAAACAGAGCTCGACAATGAAACTTACTCCATAACTATAAACACATAAGAATCATCTTCAAAGGCATTATAAAACTGGACAACATTCTCATGGCCTGCAAGCTCCTTTAATATCTTTACTTCTCGCTTAACATCTTCAACGGCGATAGGTAGAATCATCTGCAGCCAAACCAAAGATCATTCACGAATTAATGGAACATTTTCCAAAAAGGAAAAGGGAAAATGATTTATGTTTCTAATGAACACATTAACACTTGAAAAGTAATTCACAGTATTTGTAATTATAGAACTACATGTTTCACCAGATAGGAAACTGGCTGAGAAAAAAACAAACCAACTGAATGACAAATTTCAAAAACTTGCAGGTAGGTATGAAACAAGAGTACAATAAAACAAAAACTTGAGTAATTGTCAGCTGCTATCTGCTACTATTTACACACGAGGTGCTCAACATGACCAATTTTCAGAAACCTCAATTGAACCCAAAAATGGGAAGCGTAATTCTCCATTCCTCAAAAAGACCCACAAGACTGCTTTAAGCAAATGGAGGCTAATTTGGAAAAGTAGAAATCCAATAGTGGAAAGTGGGAATCAACAAGAAAATTATTGGAACAAAAAACCACAAATGCCAATCCGCAACAAGAATCATCAACACCCTATCATACAATTATAAATCCAATCCCAACCGACAACTCTTTCCATATCACATTAAGAATTGAGCACCACCTTAAAACCAAATGAGCCCAGATTCACATACAACCAAATGAGATCACAAAACGGAAGCTTTTCAACGAATTGATCCAAAAACACACAAAACCCAATTCAGAAATTGAGACACCAATACCTTGTTCTTATCAATTCTCTTAACCGCAACTCGATCCCCATTAGCCTTATCGGTAGCAACATAGGTGTACCCAAATTGACCATGACCCAACAACTTCCCGATCGTGTATCGCTTATCGAAATTCTTATCGTACCCAAAATCGGTGCGCTTCCCGCACGGTATGACCCCGGTCTGCCTCCTGGAGTTGGGCTTGCCTTTTGGTTTATTGGCAAGCTGCTTCCTGGGCATCTCATTGGGTCTATTGGTCCTTCTCTGTTCTTGCTTGGCCGGCGTGGTTGTTGATTGTGACGATGCTGTGCTCTGTTTCCGGTTGTGATTGGCCGTGGGCGCGGTTGTGTTGTTGCTATTTGAGCCACTGACCTTGACGGTAGAAAAGCAACCACCCATGATTTACCCAATAAAATGAGCAGAAGAAGAAGAAGAAGAAAACAAAGGCAAAGAGAAACAAAGAGGGTTTTCACTTTTCAGAGGTTTTGATCCAAAACCATTTGGGAGATTGAATTTTAACAATTATTGGCGATGGTTGTCAAATCTTATATGGCAAGAATCAGAGGGAGACATAGATATAGAAATAATGGGGAGACAAATTAGAGGAAAGATTGGAGCAGATAGCAGGAAGAAGGGAAGAAATAGAGCGAGGAAGGTGGTGGTGGTCAAAAGGGACTTCTTTTGACAAAAAGAAAAGAAAAAAAAATGAAAACCCAAAACCACAAGAGAGAACGACCTACGGGGGAAGAGTTGGCGCGGAAGGCCCCCGTTTCTCAGTTTTTTGTTGGGAGAGGAGATCGTGTTTTTATTATTCACTTTGAAGACAAAATTTGGATTTTATTATTACTTTTTCCAATTTTATTGAGTGAAAAATAATTAATTTATTATTTTTAATTCTATAATATTTTTTTTTCCACACGACAAGTTAAATTCTAGATGTTGTGTGCCCACGTCGTCAACGCGGTGAAAGTTAAAACAATAGGAAAGAATTACTACGGATAAAGGTGAAAAGTAAATTTGTTTCGGAGGGTTTTTGAGAATGAAAAATAGTAAATGGCGAGTTGGATATTGCAGATAACGATTTGTGCTGTCATCCGTAGTAAATGTAATGGGAATTTTTTTCAATAAATCTACACGGATTGTGTCTTCATTTACTTATCAAATCTCTGTCTTTATTTTTCTAACTTTTGGGGAATATTGTTGATGGTACCACGTCAACTTTGTGCAACCCACCCACCCACAGGATGATGGTGTGCATCAATCTATTAGTAGATCCCATTTCTTGGTTGAAATTTATACATTCATGTACTTTCGATATCAACAATGTTTATTTGTACAATATTCATCGATCACATTACCAACCATCTAATAGAGATGAATTTCACCGGTACATATAGGACTCGCATGTATTAGAGAGGTGATCAACAATATGCTCAGTAAATAAGATCCAAATAACAATACCTTTTCAATACATATTGTGAATGATATGATATGGATATAATCTTGTTCTTCTCAAATAGTTGCCTAACGGCACACATGAGAGCTAATTCTCCTACCAAACCTCAAAACAGAGGGAGAAGAGAAAAACCAAATACCAACTAGTCCAAGCCTGACAAAACAAAAAACAACTTGAAGCTAGCTAGGGTCCTACGATGTCTACGGCCAAGGGTGGGGCTACAATTTTTTTCTAAAATGATGGCCAAATAATAGCTTGGGGTAACTAAGTTGAGTATTCTCAATAGAAAAGACAACATATGCATTGATTTTTTTATTTTTTATTTCTATATGAGAGGAAAATCGAACCATTGACCTACCCTAGTCGAACCCTCCTCGACTCATGCATTTTTTTATTTTGCTCCAAATGTAGTAGGTTGCAGTAGCTGAACACAAGTATTTTTTCCGTGACAGAAATCAATGCATATAGGGCAATATACCAAGAAACGCCATACTTACTCATTAAAGGAGCCTAGTTAGCTAGGTTCCCTCACTAAAAGGGCAGACGAATCCAGAAAAAAAGATGAGACGACTGTCTGTGGCTGAGATTCAAAGGCCACAAAAAGTATTAACTTGATGGGAGCCTGCCCTTGATGGCATGGCAAGTCGGATGATGAAGCTCATGGAAATGTTTCATGTAAACTAGATAAAATTGTTTGACCGAGACAATTTATATAAACTTAGCCAAACTAATTGTGTCTTGAATCCTAAAGATTCCAATTTTCGAATATAAGTTTATAAACAATATTGTCAAAACAAATTTAAACATATGTTTGTAATTAAGCAGCCACCTTGGTCACATTATTTATACTTTACATCACCATCGGTTGATTTGTAATTAACAAATGGTAATCTTGAAATTTAAAAGGTCTTAGTTCAAATGGTCATGTTCTTAGCCAAGTTGATTAGAGGGGATGTACTCCACGCTCTGCACCCGAGTTCGAATCTCCTTATCTATAGTTTAGATTAGTTCAAAGTATCGCTTATATATTTTTTTAAAAAAATCATGTTCTAACTATAGATCCATTGGTAGTTGGTCTCCCCTCAATTATTTACTGCAACAATGACTTTTTAGGGACCACGATGGGGTACATGTCTGTCTACTACAAACTTGGGGTAGTTTTATGGTATAATATACTATTTGTCCAATGCATATGACTCGTCAAGAATTTTCTATGCAGGGCGTTCATCCTTTGTTTTATTTTTATTTTTATTTTATAAAAAAGTTGCATTGACAAAGTCGATAATGTATCGAAGACCCTATCAATATCATATTAACAGTCCATTACTTTAAAGGTTTATTTTGTCCCTGTGTTTTTAATTTGGCCAATTGAGTCATTGTGTTTTATTCCGTTAGTTAATATTGTCCATTCTATCAAACTACCGTTAAAAAAAATTAATAAAAAATTTATTAAGTTTGGTTTACAGATAAAATAACAAAATAATAACATTTAAATAAAAAATCTGAAACCAACAACCTTTATGTCATCTTCTCTCATGCCGCTGCCGCCACCACCACTACCATAGCCACCATCAGCAGTCCCAGTCACCACCCCACACTCTCTCTCTCTCTCTCACCCCGCCCCGGTTTTCTTGGTCGCATAACCCATGTATCAAGAAAGAGCTGTAAAGCCATTAAGTAGTCAAGGCGTGCAGCGTTCCATAATGAATGCTGATAGTGAAAGAATTTCTAAATATTATTTAAACCAATAAAAATCTCTAATTATTTAAGAAACATAAAATTTTAAATTAAAAATAAAAGATCATTTTTAACATCATATTCATAATGATGAATAGATAAAAAAGAATCGAGCAGGGAAGGGAGACGAAAGAGAGATTGAGGAAACCAATATTGACTAATGAAGTAAAATACATGGATTAAATTAGCCAAATTAAAAATACAGAGACTAAATTGTCAAATAAATAAAACATAGGGACCATTTTAGCATTTAATACTACTTTAAATGTGTGACCAATATATATTTAATACTTGTTGCTTTGAATAAAAATGGGGTAAAGGCGCAAACATTCTTGTGCATGTGTTGGAAGAAAATTGGTTTAAGCCCGCAATTTCAAAAAGTGCTTTCATAATCTACTTGTGAGAAGTAGAAAATTGCACTCATGGCTTGACCCACTCAAATTTGAAACTGATTTTGATCGAAGTAAAAGTACAAATTCATAATTAATTGAGAAAATTGTGGGGGCAAAACCGTAATTAGCAATGGTGTGAAAGGGTGTGAGTGAGCCTGTGACAGTGAGCATGGAGACTTTTTAAAGTCGGCGTCTGACTCGTTTTGTGTGTGGACTTGGTCTTTGGATATCTCCAAAAACTCAAATGTGAATGTGCTTCCTCTGTCCTGAATTCCTGGACTACAGGAATTCAAAAGATTGTAGTCACTCACTGTTGGATGTAAATTCAACGGTTCACTCACTCTTGCACTCATTTTAAGAAATTTTTTTGAACCATTGAATTAATATTCAACGGTAGGTGGCCACAATCTCTTAAACTCATGTGGTCAAAGAGATCGGAATAGTGTGCTTCCTTAAAACTTTACGTTCATGCGAATGTACTCTCAAATGTCAATTTGTCACAAATAGGCATGAGCACTGGGTTGGGATCTAGTTTATCAGAAATAGTTGAAGGGATAATTATGAGACAAGGGCCATAGTGAAGATGGGTCAAAGTAAATCCTAACTTGAGATGACGAAAATAACCCTTAATTTGACGAAATAATTGATATAATTAACACCCCTAAGAAACGTTAGCCAAAAAAGTCATATTACTTTGGAAACTAAATAAATGATTTGTTGTTTGGTTAGTTGGTTGTAGGATTATCCTGGGCTTTTAAATTATATCTGGTGTATGACATAGTCAATTGAATGGATGGATGATCTAGTGCTTTTGCCACTAACCAAAACAAAAAAAAACAGTTTATAAAAAATAAAAGTCTTCACCTTGAATATTGAATCCAAAATACAGGTTATTCAAATCTTAACACTTGGAATTTAATTAACATTATTTAAATATATATGTATATTTTTATATTTTTACAGACAATAGGAATAAATATGGCACAGTTAAGTATATACTCATGAAAACTGGTAAGAAAACATTGAGACATGACACAAATAAAAACAAAAATAAAACTTTGACTTGACTAAAATAAACTTGGATTTCAATGTGTGAAACTAAGAATTCCTTTAAGCGATTCGATTGATAGAATTTGATACGATACTTATGAAATTGACTAAAATAAGCTTTGATTTTAATTTATGAAAACAATATTTTTTTTTCTTTTTATTAATGATCTAATTTGTTAGAATCAGCTGGAAATTAGTCTAGTATTATTTTTCTTCACATTATAAAAATAAATAAATATATTTACAACCAAATAATACGGACTCAAATCATATCTTCCGAGACGAGCTATTAAAATGAGTTTTGTCATCATATAAGCTCTATTTATTTCTTCATATTTATTTTATTTTGACCAGCAAGCATGTGTGCATTGGCCTGGGCCCTAGTGAAACCAATAATTCTCAAAAACACTAGTAAACTTTTGCGGAGTGATAAAACAATTTTGAACTGAAGAAGTAAAGAAGTTTTGGCAGTATGAACACAACAATTTGGTTTGCTTTCCCACTCACAATATTATATAAAGGCAAAGCAAAGCAAACCAATCGCCTTTTATTGGAGGTTTGCTAGCGCCTCGTAAAATATTTGTGCATGTGGATGTGGACACACACACGCAATCAAGCAGTGATGTGCCGGTGGTGCACGTGGCATCTTCTTCTTATCTATCCACAACAATTCAAGAAAAATTTGAGTCAGTTTGTCTGATCGCGTGGGCATGGGTTGGGTTGGATCGATATTAGTTTCAATTCGTAACCCACCTCAATATATAACGATTAAATATTTCGTAGTCTTGAGATTCACTCATTATTAAGTCAATTCAACTTAACTCAACTCTTTTGTAGTCAGGTTAGATAGTTAGGTCATGTTAACTTAAAAGCGATTCGATCAAGTTTACTCGAAGTTGTTTTGTTGTGCCTTTTTACTGGGTTGCTTGTTTTGTAATTTTGTGCTCTACCCGTTTTGAGTGATGTTCCAATTTTATTGAATATCCCCTTTCGACCAAAAAAGAAATCAAATATTTTCTCCCGCAATCGAATGCGAATTCCGTATGTTAAAGTAAAAATAACAAATTTTCACTCATGATTTAGACATTGCAGTTGGTTAATTAGAAACTTTATCAGCCTAGAAATTAAGTCAAGTAACAAGACTTGTTGTAAGTCCTCACTCTCCAGTCTCCACTTCGAAATTTGAAACGATCGACATATATACAATATAAACATGTGGGATATAATATATGTACATGTGTGTGTCGTTGGCTTTCACATAGCTTTTGGGTTTGGCTTTGGAAAGGAGATTGGAGAATCTCCCACTTTTTTAATATGCGGCTTTCATCACAAAATCCTATAAAAAGCCTAATCTCATTCACACATCACTGAAAACTAATTAGGAGACAAAATTAATTAAGCCCCAAATGCATCTTTAATATTATTATAGCAAGTTTACAATTCTTTAATATTGAATTTAGAGATGTCATTACGAGTTTTGAAATTCAATTATGATTTTTTTATATTTATTTTTTGGTGTTTGTGATAAATTATCTGAAAGAGATTCCTACGAACAATTATAAATAGAAAAATTAAAGTTACACTTTGACAATGTCCAATCCAACACCGACCTCAAGAGATGAGTTTGTAATGTGTGATTGTGCGTGCGCTTCACAAATTTAGCATGTGATTTTAAACTTTTTAGATACAATACTTGGTTCTCAATGGACCCAAAAAAAAGTTTTTGCTCGTGACTTTTTAAAGACTTTGTTTTTTATGATAAAAAATTTAGGGGATCTTAGTTCATTTTTTGGTTTTTACAGATTACTCACTTAAGAGAGATTGTCGGGTAGTAGAATTTGAATCTAGGCCTAAATAGCGAAGAAAACGATCATTACCAACTCAACCAATCCTCATTGGCACTTTTTAAAGGCCTTTGGTAACTAGATTTTCCTACTATGAGGAAGCTTATTGGGTTACGTTTGTCTTTTTCTTTTGTTTTGGTTTGGTTTTTTACGTTTTTGTGTGTGTGTTGTGATTGGGTCACGAATCATGTCCAACCCATAATTCAGCTCCAAGCTAGTCCAACAATCATGACTATTTTGCTGGATTTGTTAGCAGCATTTTAATCCTAGTCCAACCCAAGGTATGCAATGCAAAGGCTTTAAAAACAGGATTGATTATAAACAGATTAAAAAGGGTTGCAATTCGTGGGCTGCAAAGGCTTTATTCAATTTTTTTAAAAACAGATTTTTTTTATTTTTTTATTTTTTAAACCAACTTCTTATAAAAGATTGCCATCCAACCTGCAAATTTAAGTCTGATAGTGCCGCTCTATTTTTCTTCTGGATCAAATGGCAATTCAAAATAAGTATCATGCTTTTCTTCTTCTTCTTATTTAGCAAATGCCAATTTCGTTTTTTTAATAAGGCGACATTTTCATGATATGAAACCTCGTCGGCAATAATTATAGGTTAATTGTAATGCTATTTTTTTTTATGACTTATGAATGACATTGATATTGTTTAAATTATAAAGATATTTGATTGTCAATTGGGTTATTGACAGAAGTGGTCCCCCCAACTTTTGCTCCAGTTTCATTTTGGTCCACCAACTAAATTTTTTCAATAGTCCTCCAACTCTCTATTTAATATCAAATTGGTCCTACCATCACAGCCTGTAAATTTTGCCATTAAATTTAGGGGTAAAATTGTCCATATGAAATAAACACTAATAAAAATTTAATTAAATAAACATTTGAAAATTAAAACAAACACTTCAGTAAAATCAACTATTTTTTTTCCAAATAACTTTTACAATAAAACCATTAACAGTGATGGAGTTTTTAAAGAAATACTGATAAATCCTTTTCATAATTAATGGACATTCTAAATTCTAATTGATTGAAAAAGTTTAAAATATTAATAAAATAAAAAAAGTGATGAAAACCCAACCCATTTACCACCATCCCGTCGACAATGCCATCAACGACTCCCCCAACCCCACAACCTCTCTTTCGCCCAACCCCTACCCAAATGATCATCATTTTTCCTCTCCAATCCAAAACCCCACCATGCATTATGACACCTCTCTCTCTCTCTCTCTCTCTCTCTCTGTGAGACCAAAACCCCACCACCCTTCCATCACAAAAAAAGTTGCAATTTCGTTAAAAAATTCCTGATCCGTCAGTGCCTTCATTTAATTATCACTATACTACATCTTCTTTGCATTAGTAATGATGGGGCCTGTTGGCTTTGTAGCGGGGGGGAATTCGAACTTCAGTGTAAGAGCACTTCCACCCACAAGGGCTAAGTCTAAGGCAAGGGCAAGCAAGGGCTGCAACTATTCACATGAATAGTGTCAGCCTTTGCATTTGTGGTTCCACCTATGAGGGCAAAGTCTAAGGCAAGTCAAGGGCAAGGAAAAAAAAATATATGCAACAAAATATAAAATTGTTATGTATTTATAGAGAAAGTGAATAAAATTGTTATGTATTTATAGGGAAAACATCCATAATTTTTTGGTATTTTTTTTATAAAAAAATTGAAATTTTTATAATTTTTTTGAATATTTTTTTGCTCGCTGACGTCAGCATAACATTAGTGCTGACGTCAGCGCCCTCGAGAGGCAAAATTTGCCCTTGGGCTTGCTCGGGCTGGTGGGACCTAGGGCTTGCCCGGGCTGCAAGTGGTGCGCTGGAGCTGCATTGGGCTTGCCAGGGGGGCCTTTTGCCCAGTTTGATAGCAACATTGGAGCTGCTCTAAAGGAGCTCGCTCGCTGCCCTGATAATTTTATACACATGTGCTTAGTAGAAATTATTTTAATATATTAATTTAACATAAAATATGACAGAGAAACACTGTAGGGGGCATAGGCCTCAGTGACTCACAAATTGACCAAACTTTTCCAATGCCCCAAACACACTAATTAAGCAAATTGCATATATAAACACATAGAAGAACTAGAAGGCAAAGGTACAAGTATCCAGTAGCATAACACGAGCAAGCTTTGAGAGAAACCGAGGTGGCTAAGCAAAAATATCATCCACTGGCTAAGCACATAGAAGAACTTGAAGGCAAAGGTACAAGTATCCAGTAGCATAACAAGAGTAAGCTTTGAGAGAAACTGAGGTGGCTAAGCAAAAATATCATCCTTCGGCTTGGCCTCCTTCTCCAAGTCCTGCAATTGTTGCTCCTTGGCCAGCTTTTTGAGCCTGGCAAGCTCAAGGTCCTTGCTCATCTTGTTCTTGTACATCTCTGTGTAGGTGATTGGCCCCTCTAGAATGGGCTTCTCTCCCTCTCTGATGCTCAGTGGGTAGACTATGGCTTCTTGGGCTGGGTTCTGGAATGTGGCTATGGACAGTCTGCTGCTGTTTGAGTTCACAACTGCTTGGTGATCAGCATTCTTGAACCTCCCATTGCTCAGAAACTGCTCACATTACAATTGTGTACAAAACCAATCAATTAAATTGACTCAAACTCGCAATGTTACTTGTCTATGCGGGTGTGAGTGATTTCTAATTATTTATGCGCGTGGAAATAAACAATACATATTTTCTTATGTTCCATTGGACTCCCAACAACACACGCACTTGTACACATGCCATATCGATTGTTTCATATCAATATTTCAGCAAACTACTAAATATAAGGAAGATATAAATATAGGTCCCTATCTTGCTTATTCACATAAAGAAAATGACCCCCGCCCACCACCATAATAACGTACGAAAAAGTAGATCAAATTCACCTAACTCTTGTCTACATTATAATGTGACAGTAAATTATGTAAAATATATTTAATTCGATTTAAGTAACCTATGCAAATATAATTAATTCGATTTAAGTAACAATGTAAATTACTCACATGACCATGGTCTCCAAGATTCACCACGAAGGCTCCTTCCACTGGTTGAACGGTGATCCACGTCTTCCCACCATCCCTGGTAGCCTGGAGGCCACCAACCTGGTCTTGGAGCAAAAGGGTAATTGTGCCTGGGTCAGTGTGGCGCTTGAGGCCAAGGGTGAGGTCGGGTTGGGGGCATTTTGGGTAGAAATTCACCACAACTTTTTGGTCCATGTCAACACACGCCTTTGTCAATGCCTCTGTGTCCAGTCCCATGGCTTCTGATAACACCCCCAAAAGCTTGCATGCCAGCCCCATCAGGTCGTCGCTGTACTTCTGTGTCACCTCTCTCCATCCCTCCGGCTTGTCCGGCCACCTCGAATAGTCCCGGTGCCGGATTGGGTATGAGAAGTATGTCACAATTTCGCGCCAATCTTGCACAGCTTCTCCCTAAAATTATAGTCCCAATGTGTTACAATATAGAACAATGACCCGTTCATGTTCTAACAGCTTAAGCTTTCAAAAATCTTATTAAAACCTAAAATCATAAAAATTAATCTTCCGTCCACATATATATATATTTTCTATTATGGTATCAATCAAAGCAAGAGACTCGGAGTTGCGATTCGTGATTTCTATTTTGGGTTACCTGTAAATGGCTGGAGACGATGAAACCACCCTTTTTGCCGCCGGACATGTCGAAGCGAAGCTTCTCCTCCGAGGGCAGAGCGAAGAACTCTCTGGCGAGACCGGTCATTTCCGAGATGAGCTTGGCGTCAACTCCATGATCAACAATCTGGAAAACACCCCAATCCTCACAAGCCTCCACAATCTTCTTGCAAATATCGGCCCGGCGGCCTTCCACCTCGTCGATCCCGGCAAGCGAAATGATCGGGATTTCATTGCTGAAGTTGTTGTAGGCAACCTTGGGGCGCTCATCTTCGTCCCGGACAAATTTTTGTTGCAGGGTTTTCTCCCCTGCTATGGAAGTGAGAGTAGTAGTAGCAGGAGCCATGCTTGTTCAATGTGTTAGGTCTGTTTGTTTGTGTGTTGGAGAGAAAAGGAATTTGATGTTGAAATTGTTGGTCAGGGTGTGTGATTTATATATTGAGTTTTTATTGTCCAGAAAAAAAAAAATTGAGTTTTTAAGTATTAAAATAAGGGGGACCGCTACAACTACCTCATGGCTCGTGAGTGAGCTCTTAGAGTCTCATTAGCTGCACGGCTACCAAACCCTTTTGGCTTTCTAGAATCTCTCTGTTTTATGAGGAGGTTTCAAAGCACACAGATTGTACATAATTTCAGAAGAATTTTTGTACAAATTAATTCATTTTATTATATGTATATAAAGTAATTTGATGCGTCCATGTATGGAGATTTGGAGTTGTTTTAAAAATCATGCATCGTGTCACTTGTAAAAACCATACATGGCCTTGGACCGAAATAGAATGTCACAATCTTTCTTGGGGGTAAATATTAAATGCAATGATGACTGTGTATCCAATTTTGAATTGAGTTTTTTACCGACATATGTTGTAATGGGAGCCATTCCAATAATAAATAGTAATTATGAGTAAAACTTCCCCAGTGACATCTTGATTGTGTGTATGAAAAACCTCATATCTTATAGTTTAGACTATCGCTTATACTAAAAAAGGACGATTAAAAGGTTGTTTTTATTTTTGTGTTAAATGGATGGCCAAATATTATTATACCAGCCCCTTAGCAATTAATCAAAATGATGTACCTCTTTTGTTTATTTTGTATTTGTTTCTTGATGAGACTGCGGGTGTGGTCAATCAAACCATTGGGAATAAATTAGTTGAGCATTCAGCTAACAAAAGTGGAAAATGGAGTCGAGATGACATAAAATCCGATGGGAAGATTTGACCGCCACAAGATGAACTATACTAAATATAATAAAATATATGAAAAGGAGATTTAATTGAAGAATTGGAATTGAGAAAAAGCAACAGGTTTTGGGAGCATAAAATGGAAGCAAAAGTAAGATGATATATGTGTAGACTGAAGTCGCGTCACGTGATCTTCACCTAACTGGTCTTATCATAAGACTCTTATGTATGTAATAGTATGTATGAGCTAGCCATGCACGTGCCTACCCACCACTTTGTTATGTTACATACAATAATATTGCAATGGAGGTCATGGTGAATCATGATATATGACTTTGTTTTTTGTCTCACTTCTCACCAGCCACCAAGTGCCATTGCTTGATGGATATAACTTGTCTTCTTACTAATAAGGATATATTTTTTATTTCTGCAAACATGGTTATTCCTGAGATTTTGAGGGCCCTGTGTGAAACTTAAATTGGAGCCTCACATAATCTAATACGAAAATACTATAAATAAAAATTTGCGATAACTCAATGTCATAAACATTTTTTTTTTTATAACTAAAAGTCACCATCAATAAATATATAATGACAATCAGAAATCAAACTCATAAAAATTTAAATGTTTCCATTTGATAAAGTTAAATGTTTGGTACAAAAATAAGCTCCTTGTGCCCCTATAAGGTCCCTTGCTGTCTCCAATAAGCAATCTGTGTTTAATTGGAAAAAAAAATTGGCAATCACAAATTAAAGAGTAGTTGCACACAAATGTCATTAACAAATTAAATTATATTGCATTAAATACAAAAGCATCAACAAAAACATACCCAACTATCCAAAAATCATTTACATTGTATTTGCTATCTTTATTTGAAGAATTAAAATTATTACAAGAGCTTTTTCCCCAAAAGAAAAAAAAACACAGCCATTACAATACTAATGTATGAAAATTGATCTTCTTGAATTTTTAGAAGAGAAATCATCAATCAAATGTTCATAATCAAGTTTTTCTAGAAATTCACCTTCAATTGAAATCAAAGTTAGTTTGTTTAATCTTTCTTGCGACATAGTTGATCGCAAGTATGATTTTAATAATTTTAATTTTGAAAAACTTCTTTCTGCAGATGCAACAGTAACATGAATAGTCAATAGAATTCTATATACAATGAATGCATTTGGAAAACAATTTAATATTTTCAAGAAATTTAATATTGCAATAGTTGTGATATTTTCTTTTGGTAAAACCCCCATAAAACTTTCAACTCAACAAATAAATCCTCCCTATTGACATCAGAAAACTTGACATTTTTCCAAATGCTTTCCACATGACTGCAACAATTCTTCAAATCGCAGTCATCCAATGAATTTAACTTCTTTGAAGTAAACAAAAACCCAAAAATTGTTGAAATCTTCTCCGTAAAGAACCAATAGCAATCCACTAAATACAGGAAATAATCAATTCTAAAATTTTCTTCAGTTGATTCAGGAATTGATTGGGATGGCTCACAAGTATTCTCATCAAAATATTTTTTTCTACGAATTTTTCGCTTCTCAGGAAACACTAGGTCAATTCCCATGTCAGTAGCAATTTCGTTAGCAGTACACATAGCTTTTGTAAACCCATTTCCTTTCACTTTATCAATAGCAACATCAATAAGCATGTCTTCAGATTGTAAGTTTTTGCTAACGACATTGACAACACCTAATATATCATACTAAATAACCATCCCCAATAAAAACTCAAAATTTCCAAGTTCATATGTTGCCAAAGAATTAGCTTCACTTGTTATTTTGGAGTCACCGTCACTTTCTGCTAGTTGAAGTAAAGCTTCTCTTAAATCTGGAGCTTGGAATCTTATTGCTCTTACACTTTCAATACGACTTTCCCAACGTGTAACTAACAACGATTTCAGAGTTAAGTGTTTAACATTATCTTTCAATATCTTCCACCGATTTGTAAAATTAGCAAACAATGTATAAATACGTTGTATGACTACAAAAAAGTATTTTGCTTTTCCACTAGAGTTTGCAATATCACAAAGTGTTACGTTAAGACTTCGACAACCACAAGGTGTGTACAATGCTCTAGGATTTACATCCAAAAGTTTTCATTGGACATCTTGGTATTTCCCATTCATATTTGATCCATTGTCATAACCTTATCCTCTCACATTATCAATATCAAGTTTGACGTTTTAAGACATTTCAAAATGTCCTTGTCCTGTTGCATCAATCACAATCAAAAAATTTCAAAAAGAATTCTTCAACCTTTATTGGATTAGTCCACACATCTTACTATCAAACTCGCTCGTTCTTGGTTGCTAGCATCTGGGGTACAATCAAGAATCATATAAAAATATCTAGTTTCAAACATCTTTTTAATAATTGCATTTTTGAGTTCAAAAGCTAACAAAAGTATTAATTCATTTTGAATCTTATGGCTAAGATAATGATAATGAGTCTCTTTATCATCCACACGTCGAACATGCTCTTCATAATTGGATCCCACTTTGCAATTAATTCAACTTGCCCCATAAAATTTCCATTGTTAATATCGTGGATCTTCTCATTACTTGCACGAAAAGCCAAACTATATTTTCCAAGATATTTCACAATTGAAATTAATCTTTTTAATAAGTTCCTCCAATGCTCTTTCTCTTTCTTGATTCGGTTTTGAGCAACTCCATCAATTGTTTGATTTTTCTGCAATCTAATACGAAAATCAATCCAAGTGCTCATGTGATTGATATGTTCAATACTTGTCTCATGCTCTTTAAGTCAGCCACTAAGATGTATTTAATCTTTAAATCTCTCATTTGCTAACCGACTTTTTTGTGGCCCTTTTTTTAAAGAATAATGTTACTTTTACCACATTTATATACCACATTTTCATACCACCTTATGTGGCAGATGAGGTGGACAACACATCAATTAAAATTAATTTAATGTTTTCTTATCTTTTATGATTTATTGACACTTTTTAATTGAGGTGATTGTTTACTTCATCTGCCACATAAGGTGGTATGAAAATGCGGTATGTGTAGCATTACTTTTTTTAAAATAATTTACAACAAAAACAACATACTTTGTTAAGATCCTTTGAATACAGTAGCCAATCTCTATCATGCTCTCCATTTGGCAAATGACGAGTGTAAAATGTTGAAGAGAAACGTCTATGTAAATGATCTTTAGGACCTTTTCCTATTAATAGATATCTTACATGACCTTTTTCCACTAATAGGTCACATAATTTAGGATCAATATTATCCCAATTTCTTAGATCATAAATATATCTTGCAATTCCTCAACATCATCTTGTTGTTGTTCAGGAAATATTTTCATCAATTGTAGCATGTGATTCTTTAACAATGAATCTATCAAGAGCTCCTATTTGAGATTGAGTCAATTCCTCAATTTTTCTTTTTCTAAGTCGTTTTGTATATCCAGAAACGTATTTTCTAGTAGGTGGCTGTTTAGATTACAAAGAAAAATTCCAAAACCCTATAACTTGGAAGAAAACCCCAACAAAAATAATTTAATAAAATAAGTCATGTAATATATAGAATAGATTGAAATTTAGATACATACTTGAATTTGAATTGAGATTTGAATCTGACTATTTGATTTTGAGTGGTCTTCTGTGGTTAGCTTCGATGTTTCTTTTTTTATTTTAAAGGCTTTCTATATATTATATATATATATATAATAATTATGTAAAGTTTGTTGTTATAATGCAAAAATAATATTTAAAAAGGCAACTAGATTGACTTCAACAAGAATCAAACTCTATCACTGCTGTTAAATGGATATGCAATGGAGCCAACTCCACCAAACACACTCTTGTGCAAACATTTAGCACGCTATACTATATATGCAATTTTTATAATATTAATATATATAATATAAAATTTTTTTTTTCTAGGAGAATCGGGGGCCTTGTGCGGTGGTGCTACTTGCACCACCCAGGGCCCCCCCTGCCAGTGAATTACATTTTAACACATATGCAAAAATAATTCATAAAAACACACACATCACATTGCTATTGGCAAGAATGTAGAAACTTCTACTTGGTAAGAAGGACATTATTTTTCTTACTGGATAGAAAACTTAAGGCTTGTTTGGTACTGATTATTTATCTGGAACAACACCAAACGCCTTATAATATTATGGATAAATAGTCAGTACTCCCCATAACAAATTAATACTATCCGACGTAAATTAATCAGTATAGTCATACGTGCCAAACGAGCCCTTAGAGAGTTCTTCTTATGTTGGAAAAATGGGTTCAAAGCAAATAATCAACCAAGCAGCTCAATTCCTAATTTTTTTTGTTTTTGGCTATCAGGTGGGATGAACTCAGAAATCACAAATAATATTTTATGATAAAATTCGGCCTAAATCTATCATCATTCAGGATAGAAACTAAAGAAAAATAAACAAGATATCAAAACAATGCAAACTCAAATTCCACGGTTCATTTTAGTCATTGTGCCACCTAGAATTCTAGCTAGCCCCACCCCAGACCAACCCATAACAAGTTTGGTGACAAAACGGCACCGCATAATATAAGACCCACATGTCACTTTTTCATTAGAAAAAGAAAAAGAAAAAAAGAAGGAAAACTCTTTTGATGTGATATCTAAAAAATCAAAGAATAAAATTAGAGTGTGATAATAATATAATACATATACATAGTCTTAGGCGTGAGCAATGAAGTTTGAAGGGTTGGTTAGAGTAACAAGCTCTTTTAGGTAGCGAATTATTTCTTCGAACTTTCAAATAGGGTTGGTAAAGACCTAACTACACATGATTTTGAGGTATAAATTTATTATACTTGCTCTAATAAGCAAACACTAAAATATATTGCCACTAGGACCATTATATAAATATATATATATATATATTATATTTTGTCGTACTCAAATTGATTAGAGCGAATGTACTCCCCACTTTGCATTCAAGTTCGAATTCTCATTCTCATAATTTAGATGATTAATATTCTTGTATTAAAAATAAAAGCAAACAAACAAAAATTGGCCACATCCTTTCCTGTGTGTCTTTTCTCCACCAGGTGGCACATTTAGCCACCACAGAACAGGGCTTTTACAAGAGGCCCATTATGTATGAGCAGTAACAGAACAGAAAAGCAGAAAAGCAGAAAAGATCAGTATAGTGGGCTGGCCCATATATATGTTTCACACAGCAAAGTCAAACAGTGCAGACATCAAATTTCTGTATAGTGAGTTGACCCATAATCACTTGAGTTACAAACTTAGGAGTTTATCGGTTTAAATTATATAAGCAGCAATGACTTCATCATGTAAAAGCGTAAATGTTGTTAATCACTTGAGTTACAAACTTACGAGTTTACGGGTTTAAATTATATAAGCAGCAACGACTTCAAGTGCTGTGTGAGCAGCTAGCTTATATATACAAAGTATTACTATAGTACAGTAGTATTGTTTCATTGGGAAATGCTAGCAACCTTCTCTCTAACATTTTCTTTTGAACTTCTCCTTTTTTTGCTTGACATGTGTCATTATTCTTACATTTAAAACAATGTCATTAATATATTATACAAGCTAACTTTTGTTTTCCAAGTTTACCCTTATTAAATGTATTCAATTTATCCAAAAAAAATTCACAACTTTCTTACCATTCTTTTTTTTTTAACGTCAAATTTTTTTATTTAAGAAAATTTATGCTTTAAAAAAAAAGGGGAAATAAAATGTCCCCTTTTTTTAACGTCAAGTTTAGACTTTTTTTGAAAAAAAAGGACATTTTCTCTTTTTTTTTAAAGCAAATATTTTCTTTAAAAAAAAATAATTGATTTTTTAAAAAAATTAATAAGATTGTAAGAAAGTTGTCAATTTTTGATAAATTGAATACATTTAATAAGGGTAAACTTGGAAAGCAAAAGTTAGTTTGTACAATATATTAATGACATTGTTTTAAGTGTAAGAAGAATGACACATGTTAAGCAAAAAATGAAGAATGTCCAAAGAAAAATATTAGAGAGAAGGTTGCTAACATTTCTCTGTTTCATTTGCTTTTGGCACCGGGTATTGGGAAACAAAGTTGAATTGTAGAACATCTAGCAATAAGGGGGCAGCCACCTAGTCATCACTATCCACTCGTCTGTCGATGCATTTAGAATACAACATTTCTTCTCAGCTTCTTTCTTTCTAGTCAACTTCCCAAGTTATGAGTTGTCGGTGTTCCAATAATATTAACCACTCCTCTCTAATATTGCCAATCATAATCCATACACATCTCTCTCTCTCTCTCTCTCTCCCCTAATACATTCTAAACTTGAATATGATGAGTTGGGGGCAGTCTGGCAGTTTGACTTTGGCTGAGACCCCTTTGGACTGAAAATTAACTAAAATAAAATAAAATAATATAATGGTCTATCTAGTGGCAATATGTTATTAGGGAGGCAGGCATGCGCCCTACCGCCACTCCATGCACCACCCCGCCCCCTCTTTTCTGATCAATCTCTCTATAAATACTCACTCCAATCTCTCTCTCATTTCACAACATCCCAATTATCTTCTCTCTCTACTAGCTGCTATAGCCATAGCTATAGCTATTTTCTATATAATATAATTAATATGGCTTTGTCATCAAGATTAACCCTGATGATGGCTTCCCTTGTTTTCTCTTTTCTGGTTCTCCAATATCTCACTGAAGCAGCTCATCAGTCCCACACGGTAGTATCCAATGTCCATGTCTCCTTTTCTTTTTCTTTTTTATTTTTCAAGTTTTTTTTCTTTCTTTAATAAATTACTTAAGCAAATTAAAAGAAGTTCATAATTTTGTGCTTTACACTATTTTCAGATGAACAACAATGGAGCACCGAGGCCCCTACCCCCGCCCACCCTAGGTATGTATATTACGATTTGATATACATAACAGAAATTTGTATATCAATTTTTCTCCCGTGCGGACGTTTGCGGACGCCATTAACATTGAGGAAATCATGGAGAGTAGTAAGAAATATATAGCGTTCGCATGATAATAACGTGCATAAAATAAAATATTTATATTAATTTATACGAAATTAATATATGTAATTATGCATATGATGAAAATAATCGTGCAGATTGCGGAGTGGCATGTGAAGGAAGGTGCAAATTATCATCAAGGCCTCGTCTGTGCAAAAGGGCTTGTGGGAGTTGCTGTGACAAGTGTGGCTGTGTTCCTCCAGGCACTGCTGGCAACTATGAGGCTTGTCCTTGCTATGCTAGCCTCACCACCCGCAATCAAACCCGAAAATGCCCTTAATTCCATTCATCATTTCACTTCAAAAAAATCCCATATATATCTATAAATATGGGTTGTTTTCCACCAGAATAAAAGTTCACATACTTCTTAATTATCTCTTTATTGAGAAATGAATTGAATTGAATTGTAAAAGCCTTTTTTTTTTTTTGTTGTTGTTGGTATTCATTCTTATAATAAAAGGCATTATTATTATTATTTTAGAGTTCGTTTGTTGTTTGATGAGTATTTTATTTGCTGGATGATGTAGTTTTTTTTTATTTTATTTTTTTTATTGAATGTTCATCCCTTCTCGTATAACACCTTGACAAAGCAACTTCACTTGCAAGTTGTTTGCAAGAACACTGAAAAAACTAGTGCACACAGCACAGCAGCACTTGCAAGTTTACATTAAAAACGTGAGGTTATGAGTGAATCTCATTAATAAACATAAAAATATACACATAATAGGAGAATATAATGAGTCTTACCCTGAAATGCATATATATAACTCTAAATTTTTTATTTTCTTGGGGTTCGGATTGTGATCTGACATAACAAAAGATAACATATTTAATCTAACATCCCAACAAAAAATAAAATAAATTTTCATAATAACATCAATGCCCTTTAATCAAACATTAACATACCAACAACAAATCAAAACATCTCAACAATACCAATATCAAATCAAACATCTCAACAAAATTTCAAAAATCAAAGAACTAATTAATTTCAACAAAATCAGCAAATTATAATTCATTTTTAAGTAAACTCTAGAATAGATTAGAACACATAACTTCTAACCTATTTAGGGGGTAGGAAATTAAATTCAATGTTGTCATATACAGAATCTTAAAATTTTGGGGTAGGAAATTAAAGAGAAGATAATTAAAGTGAAAAGAAATTTTAAGTTATGCATACATATGGCTTACTTTTTGAGTGGACATTGGTTTGAATAAACGACGATCGGTCCATGTTAGTAGACATGACATGACATAACATGTCCATGACGATGGGTCCATATCACTTTTTCCAGTCTACATACAAAAGAATCTACAAAATATTTCAAATATCATTTATAGTTTCCTAGAAATAAAATGAAATATTATCCGAATTCATGTGGAAGGAGCTTCGGTAACAACAAAGTAGGAAAGTGTAAAATATACATGTCCTTGGGTGTTTTTCTTCTTCTTTCTTTCTGTTTTGTTTTTTTTTCTTAAGCCACTTGTAGGTATTATTAATCATGCATGTAGCAGTGAGATTGTCTAACAGCGACTTAATTAATCCCGACAGGGTTCAAAATTCAATCTAGCAAGTTGCAATGTACGGACTATGAAAATCTTCTTATTTTATTATACTATTTTCGTCTATCGAAATGGAGAGATTATAAAATACTACGGTAGTGTAGTCACTTGGTATATTTTGTACATATGTTATAATATAAGTGGATATTTATAGATACTATTATCTAGAAAGAATGAAAATAAATCATGTCGTCCAACATATTATAATGTGTACAAAATATATCACGTAACTGTATTACCGTAATATTCTATAATTTCTCATTGAGAGAACTGAGGACGATTCAGTAGGAAATCTTGAGTGGACCACAAGAAATAATTAAATTTTATGGTTTTGTGTACGCATCTGGCTGTTCACACAAATATGAGCTGTGCTTATTCCTCCAATCAAATAAAGAATAAGCGCTTAGCTGTGTACACATCTGGCAACCAAACCTTTCTCATTTCTTTTCCCACCTCCCCTTTCTCTTTTCCTTTCTTTAGACAATATATTTTCCTCCTCTTTTTTTATTTCTTACAGACTACTCCCAGCCTACCTCCACCCTCCAGGCCCAACCCACCACAACTCCAAAGTCTGGCCCGTCCCTATTCTTGGGCTGGGATGGTCCGTTGAGAAATACTTTGGATACAAATATATAAGCAATATTGACATGTATAGAATATATATATAAGGGGCGGATCCGTGGCACCATATTTTTTACATAAGTTTTGACACAATTTTTGGGTCATTAGATTACTTAACTTTTAATGGTTGAGATTAAATCTAACATGACAAATAGTTTTAATGTTTTAAATAAACAATCATTAATTTTATTTTCTCTCTCATAAAAATAAAATAAAATAAATTTCTCTCTCCTCCCTTTTTTATTGGAAATGTAATCTCTCTTCTTGGAGAAAAACTTTCCTGGCACAGGTATGGCACCGTCAGCAAACCAAGTGAGTATGCCAAGCCAATAAAATATCGACAGCTGGCAACTAATTTTACTTCCAATTTTAAATATTAAAAAAAATGTCCTAAACCCATTTTATCCTACCTTTCGCATCCCTCTCTTCTTTTATTTTACTTTGTTGTTCTTTTTTTTTCTTTTGCTTAATATATTTAACTGAAAAGTTGAAAATTGATAATACTTTATGATAATGGAATGACATGAGAGATTCCTTGATATGGAGAAGAAATCAATACATGGTGCGATTTTTCTCCCCAAAACCGCACCTTCACTGTTCTCTGACAGGACCCAAGCTCTCTCTCAGCTTCACCTTTCCAAATTTTCCAAAACTGCCCAATAGATAATAAAATTTGAAGAAAAAAAGAGGAAGAGATTCCCCAAAAGTATATTGTTCCCCCACAAAACCGAAGCCAACCCAATATTTCTCAACTCCACCATTTACAAATTTTCCAGATTTCTCCAATAATTATGCCTCACTAAAATTAAAACTGAGAGATCAATACCAAGAGTGGGTTATGAAGGATTACTGATTAAAGAGAAAAATAGGAATGCAGGAGTGTGTGGATGATGATGATGGAGTGACTAAAGTGAAGAAAGAGAGAGATGAATGGAAGAAATTTGGTAGGAAAATGACAGTCAGTTCTTCCACCTCTTAGACATTAAAAAAAAAGTGAAAGGAAGAAATTTGGGAGGAAAATGAAAATGATATGAAATCACAATGCAAATATTAATTAAGAAGCTGGTTTGGGGACGAGAGAGAGAGAGAGGCGTCAATTCTCTGTAGAAGAAAGAGAGATAATTAATTAATTAAAGATAATTAATGAGAAGAGAGAGAATGAATTCTTAATTAATATGGTATCAGAATTTTAATCCCAATGTATAAATATTAATTAATATAAATATATATATATAAAGCAAAAAGCAGAAAATGGTGAAACATTCAAAATACCAAAAATTACCCTTGGTTAATTCAAACATTAAGAATTGAAATTATTAATTAAATGAGGATAATATGGTAAATTCACATTTTTCATATTAAAAAATTAAAATTAAAAACAAAATCATATAATAGGTCTTACTTTTATGGAACATAACTACCTATATTATCTTTTCTTAATTCTAAAAATAAAAAAGAAAACCATTAAAAATAGAGTAATCTAATGGTCCAAAAATTGTGTCAAAAATATGGTGCCACGGATCCGCCCTTATATATATATATATATATATATATAAATTCTCTTATGCGGACATTCAGATGTTATTATCATGTGGACATTATGTATTTTATATTATCCCTCCTTGCTTTCTTGTTTGTTTACAATAGCATATGCACGGTAATAATGTGCGGACATCCGGATCGTCTATGTTTTAGATAATCATTCAAATATCATATCTACAAAAAAAGGGTTAATGACCTAAATGGTCCCCCAACTATTGCTCAAGTATCATTTTGGTCCACTAACTAATATTTTCAATTCAAACGTCCTTAAACTTTTTATTTTGTATCAAGATGGTCCATCCGTGACAGATTCCGTCACTTTTGATCACGCGATGGCCACGTGACTGAGTTTTGAAGGGTATATGTGACTTTTTGAGAAGCTCTGTCGAAGGGCATAGCTAAAATGGTCCCTCAACTATTGCTTCAGTATCATTTTGGTCCACCAACTAAAATTTTCATTTGAACCGTACTTCCATTTTTTTTTGGTATCAAGATGGTCCTATCGTCAAAGTTCGACTGTTATTTATTTTTGTATTTATCTTATTTTAAAATTTTTAATTATTTTAAACAATAGAGAAAAAAATATTACTTTTTAAGTCCATGTCATAAAAAGAAACCATGTTGGTGGTGAGATTCAATTTTTTCAATTTTAAAATTAGGTACAAGTTCCTATAATAGTTTTCTTTAATTTTTAATTATTGTTTACTCTTTTAAATTATTATTTTTATATTTATATCTATGTGATTTTAATTAATTTAAACAATAGAGAATTTTTTATTATTAATTGTTAGGCCAGTCTCACGAAAAAAGAAAAGAAAAAAGAAAGCCATGTGGCTAGTGAGATTCAATTTTTTAAAATTTCCTATGTTTTATAATAGTTTCCTTTAATTTTTAATTATATATTACTATTTTAATTCATAGAGACATTTTTACTCATCAATTTAACAATAAAATTGACAGACTTTAACAGTAGGACCATCTTGATACAAAAAAAAAGAAAAAAGAGTTGAAGGACGGTTCAAATGAAAATTTTAGTTGGTGGACCAAAATAATACTGGAGCAATAGTTGGGGGACCATTGGAATCAATCAATAACTCTTTTAGATGAGGATATTCACTTAAAAATATGGTTTTGTCCCTCGATTTCACGGAATAATACACAGCCTTTGACGGATAGACCATCTTGGTACAAAATAAAAAGTTTAAGGACGTTTGAATTGAAAATTTTAGTTGGTGAACCAAAATGATACTGGAGCAATAGTTGGAGGACCATTTAGGTCATTAACCCACAAAAAAATCATTTGAATCCGATATCGTTTGACCACTCAATTGTGTTGTTGAAATTTTAGTACTTTCTTGAAGTACCGTATTCATTATTTTTTAGAATACAATTGGATGTCGAAAAGGTTTCTGATTTCTCTAATTTTTTGCAAGGATGATCTATGAATGACTTAAAAAATAAAGGGTTTGGATCGTTGGAAAAAAATTCGTAAGGTACCCTAAATGGTGTTCCTCAAATAAAATTATTTGCACATTCTCATACCACCTTATGTGGCAGATGAGGTGGACATCCATATCAATTAAAATTAATTTAACATTTTCTTTTCTTTTATAATTTATTGATACTTTTTAATTGATGTGAATGTCCACTTCATATGCCACATAAAGTGGTATGAGAATGTAATATAAAAATATGGTAAAAGTAGCATTACTTATATATATATATATATATATATAAACAGACATTTTCAAGTTATACTTGTATAATCTCATAAGAAAAAAAAATTGTATCTACTTTTTGACAAAGTGGACTAAACTACTCTATGGGAAGGATAATTGAATTAGGGTGCAAGAAAGTGAGTACAATGTGTTGGCCATCTAACATAATTCACGTCTACAAAAATTATATATATTAATCTTATCATTTTGTATAATAGCTGAGGGTGCAATAAAAAAAACTGCATTTGGTTATTATTTCTTTTTGGTAAGAAATCTCGATTGAATAACAAAAAAAAATTATAATTTCTTTATGTTTCCTATCTCATCCCAACCAACGATAAATAACAAAAAAAATTATAATGAAGGAAATTGGTGGGCAGACTTGGAAATTAATTACACAAATCATGATGAGGCCTATCTCAAGGCCCATTAAATTGCTCGAAAATAAAAGATGAAGCCACAGCTATTCAAATTAAACTCCAACGGCTAGTTTTAGCAAACGTGTCAAAAGCCGACGAACCGCACGCGCCAACGGTCACATTCCCGTTTAAGAACCCCGTTCACCAAACCCTCTTTATAAACCTCCGAAGCTCTGCCCTAAAGATATCGACTTTTCTCTTGCTTTCCAAGAATTTGATTTTCGGCGTCCACTGTTTGCTTTCTCTAATCTCCAGTCTCTGTTTGCTTCGCCTTTCAGTTTTCCGACGACCCATTTCGTTTTTCAGCGACTTTCTTGATTCAAATCCAATGGAGACCCCATCTTCAATCAGAAGAGTCACAAGGTCTCAGGCTTTGGTTGCTCAAAACAGCAACACCAACAACATTCCCCTTTCAAGTGAGTTCTCTCACTTTCTTTTCTTTTCTTTACTTTTGAATAACAATCAGTTTTTGAAAATAAAAAATGGGTCTTGATCAGTTTCTTGGTTTAATGGTTTTCGTTTTCATTTTCCCCCTTCTTTCAATATGAACAATCATAGAGTTTTGATCGGAAAATGGGTTTATTGATACTTGGGTTTTAGTGGGTTTACCATAGATTTGGTTTCGCTATACTGACTGAACAATCATAGAGTTTTAATGGTTTTCGTTTTCATTTTCCCCCTTTCAATATGAACAATCATAGAGTTTTGATCGGAAAATGGGTTTATTGATACTTGGGTTTTAGTGGGTTTACCATAGATTTGGTTTCGCTATACTGACTGAACAATCATAGAGTTTTAATGGTTTTCGTTTTCATTTTCCCCCTTCTTTCAATATGAACAATCATAGAGTTTTGATCGGAAAATGGGTTTATTGATACTTGGGTTTTAGTGGGTTTACCATAGATTTGGTTTCGCTATACTGACTGATACATGGTTTCTTTTTTTCAGGGAAGAATGAAGATTCTGAAAAGGTTGAATCGAAATCAAGACCAAGAAATGGGAAGCAACAGCAAGACAGATCAGCCCTGATTGACATAACCAATGATTCTCCGATTGTGGGGCTTGCAATGGGAAGCTTGGAGACCCCATCATCTGCCATAGTCAAACAGAGAAGCTTTAGAGCCAAGAACACACCTGGGTCCGGAGAGGCCTTACTGAGGGGTCAAGTCAAGACCCTCTTGCAACAAGTGGAGGAAGAGGCCGAGCTCTCAAAGATCACATTGGAAAGCCGCCCTCTTCGTCTTCTCCAAGGAATTACTGGTAACTCGCCAATGGGACTACTTGCCCCAACTCCGGCAAACACACCACAGGTCTCTGACCTCTCTGTTGATGCAAGTGGAAGCAACAATGGTGGTGTGGGTTTCGAGAAGCCTTCTCCACTTATCCAAGAACAATTGATTTCTCAGGTTGGGTTCTAACCCTTTTGTGTTTGAAGATTTTTCATACTAGATTATATGTGGGTTCTTCTCCTATTTTCATTTGGAATTTTGGTGACAATATTTCTATTGGGTCTTTAATCATTTACCTCCAAAATGAAAAGTGCAAATTACTGATTTCTTTTTATTTATGAAAATGTGATAGGTGGTATGTGACATCTTTGAGGGAAAGAATCAAGAAAGCCTTGAATCACAAAAGAGTATCATCAGCCGGTCTCTGCTGCTGGATTTCTCTGAGAAATCTGAAGTCTCCTCTGTTTCATCAGAGTGCTCCTCTGTGATTACTGAAATCAAAGAGAAGTCATCACCAGATGATGATAGTGCTTCCATTTGGTCAATTCAGGTCAATGCTAGCACCCATGATGAAGATGAAGAAGAAGTTGCTCAAGCAGAAGAAGAAGAAGATTATTATCTGAATCTGAATGAAGGTTATGAAATTGAAGAACATGAACAGGATGGAGGCTATGATCTTGATGAGCTTTGTGATGGTATAAACAACATTTGTGTTGATGAGAAGAAAATGATCCCCAAGTTTGCTGGAAAGCATACAAGATTTGTTTATGACAGTGAGGATGACATTGAAATCGTTGAAGAAGACTTTTCAGCAGAGAGTCCTGATTCAGGTGCTGTTGTTTCACCCAGTGCCCTTCGCTTGAAGGGCTTGCCAACACCAAAAGGCAAGCACATGCGCTTTCTTGAGGAGGAAAATTAAGATTCTGGTTTTGAAGTGCTGATGTGTTTTGGTTGTCTTTCTTGATAACCATGTTTAGGGATTTGCTTTGGTCATTTTCTGTAATTCCTTAGTTTTGTTTTTCATTCGGGATCCACAATAGAAATGATATTCATGACCACAAATGGTGTGTAATTCTCAGTGTTCTCACTGATTTTTAATGAATGAAACATTCTTTGCTAGTTTTGACCATTTGGTACTTTTTTCTATTTATATATTTTACCAAAAGGTAGAATTAGATCAACAAAATATCAAAAAATATAGAAATGTCGTGTGGCGCTATACTCTTAAAATATCATATTTAAAAGTTTCTTTTTTATTAATTAAATGCCTTATTTAAATACTTTATCATTAGTATGTTTTATGAAATGAGTCCACAAAATAATTTAAAATAATTAATTACTATTTATTAAGAAATTTATGAACTGAGTAAAATATTTAAATATTATTCACTAAAGAAGTTTCCTTTACACATATTTATCCCGGTAAATTTTGTCGGATTAGACCTCCCCCGATGAAATTTGAGGAGCATCTCCAAGGAAGATGTCAAATGCAAAATGTTATTTGAATATGAGATTATGTGGCAATTTGATACTTTGGAAAAAATTTAACTTCACCCAAAATGCCAAATATCATATTATTTTATTATATTTTTTAAAAGCAAATGGAGCCCATATGATGCATAAAGTTTTAGAAGAGATTAAATGATAATGGGATACATAACCAAAAATATATTCAAATAATATTTGATATCAAGTTTTTTGATATGTTATTTTTGCCATATATCTTCTAGCCTTCAAATCTCTGTAGGATTTGACTACTTAGTTGGAGCAACTTTGACATTCAATTTTTGTCTTTTCATGTTTATATGACAATTTAACATATCGGTTAGAGATGCTAAAGATTTATGAAAAAAACCTCATATTTACCCCAACTCCTCCCAGCTCTCCCAACTGGTTTCATTCTCACATAATCACATATAACCACAGAGGACGTTTTCAACAAATTTCCCCATAAACCTCTTTTTTTGTCAAGACCCTAAAACATTTTTATTTTCCTATGAATTTATCATCATAATGAACAACATATGAAAACAGTATCATCGGCCAATGAAGCAAATTACAACATGCATACACAAAAAAGGAAGAAACAAACCATTTCTAGTTCTGTAGAAAAAAGTCTCGATCATAAAGACCCAGAAATGAATCAGATTATAAAACTCACCAGACAAAAAAAATTCAATGTTAATGGCATAGAAATTAAATTTTGACACAAACCCAGAGAGAGAGAGAGAGAGAGAGAGAGAGAGTTTACTGACAGAGACGCAAGAACAGGTGGGGATGACAGAGATGGAGTTGGACTTGACGTGGTTGAAGTCGGCAATGCAGAGATGGGAAGTCAAAAGCCCAAGCTCTCTTGGAGGATGGGTACTTTAGGAATAATAGTGGGTGAAAAAATAAGCTTATGTTTTTTCAAATTTACATAGTATGAGGGGAAATAGGCCATAGGTAAAAAAAACAAGGAGCTGATTTTCTTACTCATCTTTTGTGCATTTACACTTTTTGTTGAAAATTGTATGTTCCCGCTCTTCTTTTATCTGCTTATACTCTTTTTTTTGTTATAATAAAAAATATTAAAAAACAAAAGAGAGTTGATGGACAAAAGAGGAGTGGGAAAATATAACCCTGAAAATATCTCCTTTGGTTCTCGGTAGTTTTTGTTGTTGATTAATAAGAACCTTTTCGTGTTTGCTTGATCTTTGTTTCTTTGTTTGTTGCCCTGGTTTTACCCATTGCGGTAATATTCATCCATTTACAGAAAGGAAATAATATATCTATATAAAAGATCACTGGAAAGAAATGATATCTCAAATACGGTAAACTGCATTTCAATAGTTTTAATACAAATTTATAAATAAACCAAATCCTAGACATGTATTTATAAAAAAACCCAAGCACTATTTAAACATAGAAACACACCCGAAATCAACCCCAAAGTCAACTTTTTGGGTGTGTTTATAAATGAGTTTTGAGTGTATGTAATGATGAGTTTTTGGTGTATTTATATGTTTAAATAGTGCTTGGGTTTTTTTTATAATTTCAACCCCCATTTTGAGTGTTTTAGTGAAACTCCCAAGAAACCAAAAATTAAATTCCTTGCAAAGGAATGATGACGCATTTCATTCGTATAATATATGGATCCTCGTCAATGAGATGCCTAAAACCCTAGAACCAAATCTTTGCTCCTAAATGTGATTTACATATGAATTTGTGATTTACATATTCAACACCCCACTCAATTCTTTCCAAATTGGGTGTCAAAAATATAATTATAGGGAATGACTTCTCAAAATCACTATAAGAGCACCGATATGTACACGATAAATATTTACAACAGGAAACCGTCCGAGCAAAATATACCATATTTTTAACTCTCAAACCTCCGGTGCTAACTTCAAAACCAGGGGTGCCACGTCGGATCCATCATGCACAAGTTCCTCGGAGTCAAGGCAGCTTCAACCAACTCAGTCACTCCGCGCTGCACCGACTGTGGTGGTTCCATGGCATTATCCTCCTGAATGCAGCAGAAAACACAACACACTCTTAGGGGCGGTTAAATTAGCAATCATTTCCAGATTCTGAACCAAATTTGAAAACCAATAAAACCTAAAAAATTAAAGAAAAAAAAAATTCAGCCCACCATTGTCCTGAAGTCTATTTGAAAAGACAAGGGAAAGGGAAAGAATGCAATTTTTTTTTCTTTCTCATTTCAAGAGGCATTTAATTGACATCATTGCAAGTGACACAAAGCTCTATGCTACTATAAGATTGGAGGCCCTGACTTACCTCTTCAGAAAAGTACTGTGGGGCAATTCCATTGATCCGGCCAATAACATGCTCGACATTGGTGATGACCTTCTGCTTAAAGTCAGCGGGGTTCATGCTACCCCCTCCAGCAAATGGGGCCATAGGCATGCCAAGGGGTCTTCTCCAAGACCAAGACAGCAGCTCGTCACGGAAGAACATAGCCAACTGATGCCACAGATGTTGACTTTGCTGCAATATAGGAAAATTGAGAATTAGACTACAAATAATTTCTTTTTCTTTCTTCATTCTCAACTTAGATCTGATTAATCCTCATACTGAAAGCAACTGCCAACAAAAAACTCACTTTAGGTGAAACAACAGCCTGTGCAGCAGCACACATCGCAGACACAATGAGACCTTCCACTCCAAAATGGGAGAAGAAGGCTTGCATGTTCCTCGTAAGACGAAATGGTACTGGTTCATTAAACTCGATCATTCCATTTCCATCATATGCAGGATGAAAATCAGTTTGAAATATTTTGCCTGTGTTCTTAGCAAATAGAATTTTATTTGGCGACCTCCCACCAATTTGTAGCATGAGAGACATGAAACTTGAGAGGGCCAGCTGGATGGCAAACTGCTTTTTGAAAGCCCACATATGGTTGCCATTTAGCAGAGTCTTGTACATGTATTGCGAAAAAATGCCATCAGTTACAAGATTTCTTGTTATGTCATTATAAGCTTGGAGGCGAAGGTCTACAACAGCTTCTGGTGAGATTTGGCCAGATATAGCTTGGTTCAATTGCTCCTTAAAATAGGTGATGGGAAGATCCGCTTCCTTGTCGTTCCTTGCACAATGATTCTCATACACCTCAAGAAAGGTGCTATACATCAAATCATCTTCTACCATGCGGACCTGCACATACAGCAATAGTTGAGTACAAGGGGAACTGAATCCCAAACTGACTATAAACTGCTGAGATGACTTCAAGGCAGGAGTTATAAAAAGTGATTTATGTATGAGTAGCTATACTATTAAATGTAGATAAGTCAAATGATCACACATGCTTTATATACATGGCCGGAACAAATTTCCTGCCCTTTCCTTTTTCCACACACACACAAGAGAGGGAAGATAAAATCTAATTCCATCAAATGTGTATAGGGATAAACCTGAGACCAAACAGGAATGATGATTGGGGTGTGAATAGATATGTGGCGTCGCCTTGATTCCTTGTGCTTATCAAACATTTGGTTCATCACACGGAAAAGCTGCAATATTCGTTCATCACTTCTAGCATTAGGAGTCAAAGATGTCTGGACAATAAAATGACGTTGAGATCCATCCGAGCCAATTAAAGTCAAACGACGGAAACTACTTCCATGTCTTCGCACAATTGGTATATCAGCTCCAACCCTGTCTAACTTTACTGTATGGTCGGGTGCAATTTCCTGCGATCATTACAATCATGTTTTTTTATACAAGAAAATGCATTGAGAAATCAAATAGAATATTGAATGAACTTGATCATAAAACTGGCTTGTTTTTAAGAAGCTTGACAGTCATTTAACATGATAGAATCAGCTTGGGATACTACCATCTCCATTTATCCAATGACAGTCATACAGGAAGACCAATCAGTTAAATCATAATGAATAAACAATAAAGCCAGGATCCCAATGATAGGAGCAGAAATGTGCAAACACTGATTTGATTACCTGATCATTAAAGTATTGTCCTGGAACCTCTACATCAACGACATGGAAATCGCGCAACACCCTGCTTTCCTCTTCCAGCTTCAAGACAGCTGGAAACCTGTCCTCAACATTGCTCTGGAGGACATTTTTCCAATGTTTTAACCGCTCAGTCAATTCAGAGAGGGTAGCCGGGAAAGTAGTAGTGCTCCCAGGATCAAGATCACGCTCGAAATCCTGTTTATACTCCCTCACAAATTCAACGTGCTTATTCACAGCATCCTGTGAAAAGCAAGCTCTGCAAACACCAGAGAGCTCCTTCTTAAGAGATTGGGGAACCTCAGCTGTTGTGGCAGTTGGGTACTTGTAACATCGATGAAGCAGTGCGTTAACAACAGCTAGAAGTCTCTCCTCTGGCAGAGTGACAAACCTTGAACCAATTTCAGTCAGCAGAGTCTGCACTCAGAGAGAAAAAAGAAACAAATATATCATCTAGTTGATCAAAAAGACCAAGATATGACTCCTTTTTTCTTCAATATGCTTTCTCCATACGAGCAGTCTTAAACAAGATTAAACATTTTGGTATACCATGTATGGCTAGCTTCTTAGCAACGCAAAAAGTTTGTCTTAATAGAATGTTAGTAGGTCGTTCTATCACATGGCTCCCTTGGTGTGAATTGCAAAAGAATATTTTTAGATGATTTGAGAATCCAAAGGCCGCAATTAGAGTCCTGAAGCATTCCATTCTGCTCACCCTGTCTTTTTGGATCACATGGAGCCTCTCTTTTGATTCTTATATGGATTTGCCTTAGACAGTAGTTGTATAAGAGTTAAAGTTTTGATCTCCATTAATTTAAATTAATAAAATTGACTTACTAATAAAAAAAATATAAAGTAAAACTGCTACATAACAAAAGTAAATCAAATATTTAACTTCATAAATATGAGACGGAAATATCACACCTCGAGTTCACTAGCCAAATTAGTATGCTTGCTTCTAAGAGCCTCCATTATATCTTTTGCAGCATCAAAAGCACTTGCAGCAGAAGGTACCGAACCCAGAGCACCATTGCGCCTTAATGCACTTTGACCACCATCATTGATGGTTGAAGAACTTTGTTGCTCATTCCCCGTATGGATACCACTCTCAACACCTGTGGACCTTTCAGATTCTTGCCCATGAGAGTTTCCACCATCATGAGAACCAATTCCGCCACCGGTTTGAGCAGCTTGATGAACTTGGTTGTCTGAGGATAAGTTACTGCCAATATGACCTTGTACTCTAGCGTTCCCATCAGCTAAGCCGATTGAAACAGCACTGGCACCAGAGGCACTTTGCTGCATCCTTTGAGCCATTGCCATTCTACTACCAAGTTCAGTTTTATTTGCAACATCGCGTCGTTCAAGCAAATACGTGCGCAGCCAGTAATATAGAGCCTGAGATTTAATGCAACAGAACATCAATATTTCTGTTGGAAGTGAAGTACTGTTTTAAATTTCTTCTCCTTTCACAAATATAACAGGACATTTTACCTGTGGATACACAGTGGCAATTTTTAGTAGGACGAGTTTGCAGTGGAGAGCTTCTGCCCTCTGCAAAGAAAGTAAGAGCTGTGGAATCCAAGAAAGCCAGACCCAGTGCGGAATTTCGTCAAGATATTTATCAAAAGCTTTCCCGACAGGTTCATTGGGAGTATCAAAGCTGAGAAGATATAAAACACGAGCAAGATGACTTCGTGAGTTAGATATGCCAAATTTGATGCCTTGAAGAAAGCAGCTCACAGCATACTCTAACCACATCTCGTCATTGGTTTCTCTGTAAGCCTGTGCAAAATAGTTTAGCAGATAAGTCCTCACAAATAAAAACACCAATATTATTAAATACATTTGAAGCACAAACATGAAATACCATGTCACAGTAATTTCCCCAGCTTATCCATCCTTTAGGCAAATTTTTGAACAGGCTGATGGCATTGGAGTATGAAAGATTAGCACCTTCAGAGTCATTTAACTTTAACAAGAAATCCCCCTTCAGACGAAATATTTCTGCTTTATGTTTAACAGGAAAATACTCCAGATTAGTGCTGTTGATTAAATTGAGACCACTGGCAAGCTCTCCTTTCATTTCCAAATAAGCTTTTGCTTGTTCTCTTATCTTAACAAAGGCCTCCTGGTAGCATACACGGAAAGGGATTAGAAACCTGCATCTATTAAAACGAAAGTAGTTTATGAAAGAAAATTACCAAAATAACGTAGTACAGTCAACAAGTACAAAACACAAGCTCAGGAGGACAAGGTTCATGCAACATTACCTCCAGAAGGTTCAAATTGATACGTTAACATAATGAACATTGTTAGAAGTTACAAGAACCAAATACAAGAAACGAAAAATCATAAATTGAGGGCTTTCAACAACTCAGCTAGTAACCCCCAGAATAAAGTCATTCATAAAGGGTCTTCTAGGCTTGTAGTAAATGCCCATAAAGGTTCAACACACATGTTTTTGCTTGTACTTGTTTGATGGGTGTAAAAAAGTAAGAGTGATGTCTTCCTAAGCCCAATACAATATATTTGTTATATTTTTAAATACCTGCACTTCCATCGTTGAATGGCCATACATCTTTTCAAGTATTATCACGCAAACATCATATAGGCCTTGCTTACGACCAACACGGGCAAGCTTATTGACGTTCCATGCTTTGTCACGATAACCAAGGTGATGAAGATTATTATTTGTTGTCGTGAAATCTTTGAATGCATCTATGACTGCATTATACATTTCGTTCCTCCATTGTAGTAAATCATACCAAACAGACATGTTATCCCATTCATTTGGAGTTCTCAGTCTCCAAGTCTCAAGAATGTCCTTGAGATCAGCATACAGATTTCCGTGCACACCAACTATGGAATTCCCAGAAAGTTTGTTTCCATTGGCAATGTCCACAAGAATTCTAGATGACTCTTGAACTTCAACTAGCTGTTGGAATTGCTGTAAAAGAGGAATCCTGGCATGGACAGACATCTGTGGCAACTGCCACCACTGATCCAAGGCAAGATCTACACCTTTCCCCACAATGTTCTCAGCATCCCCGACACCACTGGAATTTCTTTCATGAAGCGCAAAAAATGCTTGTATGAGCCGAAGTTTTGGAGTTTCTTCCACCTGAGCCTTTGTCATTACATGATCCTTCATATATGCCCAATCAGGCAATTTCCAAAGACTGTCAAGTAGTATTTCATAATTCTCAACACTCTTGCCAAAGTCTACCAATGCATCCCATTGACTAAGTTGAGTAGCACAGCACAGCCATTGTTCTTCCCAGAGACACATCTCGGGCTTTGGTATTGCGTTGTTATATGTGCCTTGAGTTGCCTTAACCATTGCTTGGTAAAAGAGGCTTTGAGCACGCTGCCAGTAGCCATGCTGAACTAGCGAAAGACCGGCCCTAGTTTCTGCAGTGATTGGCCTTTTCTTCCACAGCCCACACCTCATATCTTCTTCATTGAGCAAGCGATAAAGTTCAGCAAGGGACTCAGAGCACTTTGCATCATTTGTGAACAACAAAACATGACTTTCCAGCAGTGCCAATGCTATGTGCCATGCATTGTAAGTTTTTCCAATATATTTAATGAGCTCACTTGGCATCCGAGGTTGAGGGTGGCTCAACTGAAGCCCTTCCAGAAGGGCTTGCACAACATTTGGTCTGCTGCCTTGCTGCTTCTTATGATAATCTTTTGAAAGGAGGGTAATCATTGGTTTAGCTAGTGCAACCTGCTCTTCCTTGTGTAAGGTCACCCAGACAATGGGAAACACCAACACCCATAAATGGTATGCCACATTGGCATCCATATGAGCAAGCTCTCTCAGTGGAATAATAAGATCAGCCACCTAAAACAGAGGAAAAATTAAAAAATTAAAAAAAAAGGTCAGACTATCAATCAATAACTCAAGCTTGTCGAGAGATATGGTTTACCACCCACGACTTTCAAAGCAGAATTAATTAGTAACAAACTCTGGGAGTGCAAGAGTGGGAGAGGGGAGATGTTAGAAACCATACATTCTTGTATGTGACTCTGACACCACATGGCATGCTGACGTGGTATTACAAGTCCATCCAAATTATAATGTGTACTGGGACTCGTAACACCATGTCAGCATGCGACATGGTGCTGCAGTCACAGAATAGTTTCTCCAAATGTACAAATAATGCACCAGCCTTACCTTGAGTTTGCTCATATCATTCAAAAATGTGCGTGCTTATGAACAAGGGTGTCAACTGTTAGAGGAGCATCCTCGGAACCCTCTGGAATATCAGTGACCTGGTGCTGCATCCCGGACAGGTCTGGAGAACCTGAAACCAGAAGTGGTGGCACCTTTGCAGAATTTGGAGCAAGAGTAATAGCTTTATCCTCGACTAAGATTGCTAAAAGAAGATCAAGGCCCTGTTTGAGCCAGAAGACATCACTCAAGGCTTCCCAATCCTGGAGGTGAATAATGTACTGAAGCCTGGCAAACAATGTTTTCCCAAGAGATTCATGATAAAGCGAGAAGAATTTCATCCTGAATTCAGGATCTCTTGCCCGTAAACCAAGCATGAATTGCCTTTCCACTTTCTGAAACACATCTTGACGCAGGGATAGGGGATATCTGGACATCGATCAAATCATTTAATTATCTCCTTTTATTCAAGTATAACAAAAGTGAACTGAAGTATATTACTTACTTATTTGAATCTGCACATAATCCATAGAGAAGCTGAAGATATTTACTGTCCCATTCTTCCAGAGCATTTGAGAAGTTTTGTTTATCAACCTGTGAAAGCTTTTGAAGAAAGGAAACTATTTCCTTCGGAGTGAGAAAAGCATTTGAACTGACAGATGTGCCTGGCTTTCCGAAGTCATCTTCAATCCACCCTTTTATTACCTCAAGTATGCAAAGCAGCACGGTAGCATCAGTACCTTTCTCAGCAAGCAAGGTATTCAATATGTTAGTTACAGATTTTTTGCAATCTGGAACAATCATGACCCTTTCACTAATAAGTTTCAGCACAGATTTCAGATTAGAAATAACTGCTCCAACATCGGCACCTTGACGAGAAGAGGAGACTGCAGAATCTAGCACAGATTTCGGATTAGAAATAACTGCTCCAACATCGGCACCTTGACGAGAAGAGGAGACCGCAGAATCTAGATCTTTTGTCTGACCCTGAAATAGAAGACAATTTTTGCTATATGTAATTCAATGAAAGAGAGAAGGGATGTTATCAAATTTTAAAACATCATAAAACACACTATAAACACAAATGTTCATTCCAAAATATAATCATTTGGAAAATAACAGAAATGTATTCAACCCTTCTAGATTAATTAAGTTCATTACGGAGGCTGAACATAAAAAAAAAACAGTACAACTTAAAACCAGTGCCCTCTTTAGTAGAAAAAGATTAACAATGACCATTTAGTTAGTGGCGTTTGTCTCTACTTTGATGGCCTCAGTTCAAATCTCACAGACGAGAGTTTGTTCTATAGTTGAAAAGAAAAAAAGAATCAGTAGACAAAGGTCAATTATGCCAAATCACATGTGTGCTTGGATTGATTTTTTGTCATGGTTCTACCCCTGAATGAAGCCTCAGAGCCTTACTGTACAAAACTCGATCAAACTTTAGCAGTAAAGTTTGCCTCATACATATAAATGTAACTTTCTAAGAATATTTCTAATGTAGCAAATTGTATGTGATGACTTTAAACTTTTATCATACCCCCACAACCAAAAAAACAACAGGGGAAAAACAAAGAGAAAAGATATACTTTGTATCTTAAATGGTTATCCACACAAATAAAGTTTATAGAACCGTCCCACTACTTGCATGCAACAGAAAATCTAAATTCAAACACCAAGAATAGAGAACACAATGCTGTGTTTTAAAAACAGTGACCAAACAAGAAGAATCAAAGAAAAGCACATTGATGACAGCTGATATGAACAGAATAGGAAGCGTAATCCACATAGCAGCAAGGCAAACAAAGAGAAATAAGAAATAAAAAAGATCAGGAATCAAATAAAATTTTCACCTTAATGAAGCATTAATTTATAAAACATGAAAGAGGTAAACATATGAGAAAACAGATACATACTTGTCTTAAATGAGAACCTGCTGATGACCCCATATCCCGTGCCAGGCGTTGAAGAATACGAACCAAGATGTAAGGATCAACAAAGTTCTTCTGCACCTCTGTCAAGGTTCTAATCACAAGCAGCACAAAGCTAATTGAATTAGCAGTGCTCTCTTCACTCGATGTTTGAGGAGCTGTAACAGTATTGATGTGCTTCTGTATTAGTTCATCAACCTTATGATATAATAGCTTCACATCTTGTGGTGTAGTAGCTGCTTCTGGAGGAAAAGCAACAAAGACCATTTTCAACAGGGAGCACAATGACTTTCCAGCATCCAACAGTTTATACTTGAAACATGGTTCAAGAATCTGTCCAAAAAAAAACCAACACCACCGAAGTTGAGTGCATAAGTCTAGGTAATAGTAGACTTTGTAAAAAAGAAAAACAGATGACAGTGTAAGAACATACCTGAGAAATTTGGTTGATATTATTTCTGATGAATAGATGTGGCTGCTTCTCTAGGACCTTATTCATAACATCCAAGCCCTGCGCGAGGGCTGTGGAAGGGTCCTTGGACTGAGGTTGAATGCTGCTAAGCAACTTCTCTAAATAATTAAACTTAACATTGGCAGTTGGCCACACCTCCAAAGCTTGTGAAAGTAGCTCTAAAGCTTGTTTGTACATAGTACTTGCTTCCTTGTCCTTAGGCTCTATGACCAAGGCAACCTGTTTCCAAAAGTCAATAAAGTGCTGAGACAATTAACCATCAAATGAACAAATCATGACAAGCTTTGATGCAGAACATGGAACTACAAACAAAAGTACAGAGACTGTGTCACGCTCATCATCAGCGACTTAATGAAAAATTACCTCTTCAATTACATATAACACTCATACTATAAACCTAGAGAAACAAAAACCACCATAGAACAAAATTGAATTATTTATTGAGTAAAAGATGCCAAAGTCTAAGATAGCAGTCATCTTTTTTCTTTGTCCAGAACATCCATGGAAGGAGTGCCAAGATGGAGAGCATCACCGCCAGAAAGCTTTAGAGGTTTCTTCTATATGCCAAATTAATGAGGTATTGAATACAAAAATAAAGTATTTTCAAAAAATCTCACTCGTACATGAAAACATGAGTAATGAGTTGAAAGGACTTTACCCTTATAAGGAAATTGATAATCATTTCCTCCATAGCAGCATTTGGCTTGAATTCTTCATCAGGTTGGCTAGCAGATCCAGGGGTCTCAATGTTAGGTATTGATGATGCACCACCAGGAGACATCACACAGAGGGATTGAAGACCAGGTTCAACTTTGACACGCTTCGTTGAATCTTCAGGAAATGTAGACCCATCCACAGAGCGCTTAGGATCAGCACCAGCAGGGCCTGGATTAAAACCCTCACTGTTCTGATTGGTGACATCACCATCCACTACTATTTTCATTTCATTTTGCCTTTGTCTTTCCCAGCCAACCACCAAGCCAGCAAGTTCAATTGCGAGACGCCTGTTTTCTGCAGAAGTGTTGTAAGGCAATCCAAGGCGACTAAGAGAATTGACCATCTGAGGTACAAATTGAGCTCTACAGCTGTAAAAGAGATCTGAATGGCGCACAATAAGCTGGAAAATGTGAATCAGATTAGGGATTGAGTGGCCTTCCTCGACCAAAATTTTTTTGGTGTACCGTATCCAAATTGGCATGCGAGAATCTCCAAGCGGCAACCTACGTGGCAGTGCTGGCATTAGTATATCAAGGGCCTGCTTGACCAGCATTTTATTCTCTTGCTGGCAAGTTCTCAGAAGTGCTACAAAAACCTGCATTCTCAAATCAACGCCCAGATACTAAATTAAGATAACTTCATTTTAATAAATTACTCAATTTGAACCCAAAGTCATGAGCATATTTGGGTTGTGAGTGCTCTCATCACATGCTCATGGGCTCGAATTTGACAGAGAACAAGTATAAATAGACCACACTAACAATCCAATATTTGGTAAATTGCTTTGAATTAAAGTATTGATGTCATTCCCATTCCCAAGCAAAATTTTGTCAGCATAAATAATAAACACAAAAACTGAGATCTTTTTACATGACAAATACAACATGAAAACCTAAATTTCCAAAGCAGTAAAACTCAATGCCAATAACAGGTTAAAACCTTGTGCCAACAGGACATTAAAATTGATATCATGTCCATAATGTGCCATACCTGGAGTATGATTTTTTCTGGGGCTTGATAGGCCTCCAAGAAGTGGCAAACATTTACAAATGCCCACTGTTTACTGGCACTATCTTCGCGTTTGAGATGATTCCAACCAAATTTGATAAGTTCTTTCCTATGATGGACAAGGTCATTCTGCAGATACTTGAGAAGCAAAGTAGCAAGCTGCAAAAGTTCTATTCTCAAGGGCTCGTCATATTCAGCAGAAACCTACGGAAGTACGAAATTGGTAAGATATAGAAACAAAATGAACTTCAGCCCAAAAAATAGGGACAATTTAAAAACAGCACCAAGAAAATAAGTTAAGATATAGGGGCGCTGGAGACGTTTAATTCTTTCAAAAAATATACCTCTTCTGGAGGATCGAGAAGTCTATCAACAATCGTTTTTATAATAGATTGGTCAACAACTTCCCAACTTTGATCATTTTGGAAGGAATGAGCCAACATCGGAAGAATGAGCATTTGCATAATAACCACCAGATGATCGTGGCCAAGTTGTTTTGACTGGAAAAGATTTAGAAAATGCAAGAGAAGTGCTTTCTTAAAGTTAGGTGGATATCCTTCTGCAACCTGAAAAGAGACAATGATTGTTTCACAAACAGTCAACACAAATAACATAAAAATGACGTAAATTTGAAGAACCTGTATTCAAAGTACCTCGATGATATAAAACTCCTTCAGAAATGTAAAATCAATTCGAGTATGAAACAAGAAGATGGAGAGTATATCAAAGAGAACATTCACTTCTGTTTTGTCATGTCGTAAATAATTCAGGAAGCATTTGACAAGCCATTTGCTTTCTTTAACCTGCATTTTAGAAACATTAGAAAACAAACAAGATCTGATGACGCATATTAATTGATACACACAGAAAGTTAAAGAATAACGGAGAGAAATTTATAAAAATTTAACAGCAAGTCAAAAGTGATATTTGATATTTCAACAAGCAAAATTCAACATGCATCAACACTCCAAAAGGTCACATAATTCGCATAAGAGACAAAGTTGGTGGGTTTCCCCTATCTTAATATTACCCAATAGTATCGCTAATTTTCAAAAATAAAAATTACCCAATAGATAACCAACAAAGAAAGTATACAGCTTCTGTATAACAAGCCATTAAACTAACCTGCACTAAGTTCAGCTCCTGTTCATTATGTAGACGAGATAGTCTTGCAGGTGACTTCCAAACAAGTACCAAGGTATCAAACACAATTCGGTTACTCTGTAGCCAGCCAGGTATCAATTTGACTAAAGTTTTGATAAGTGCAAGTCCCCGAAAATAAGCATCTGGTGTTGCACCAGGATGTGCAGATGGTGGATTAGAACTATCAGGTACAGGCTTAACAAGACCTTCATCACCCAACAAAGCGGTAGGAGGAGTTGACGATCCCGAAGCAGTTGGCAAAAATTCAGGAAAAGCGCTTGCGAGTATTTTCTGTGGTGATTTAGCAAGTTCATCTCTCAAAGGCTGGCCAGCATCCGATCGGATTATATACATAAACCTAAAGATTATATGACAAAATCAAATAAATGCATATAAAGGGAATTGGCAATTTAGAAACAAAATTCCATGAGATTTATACATATTTGAAAATTTCATCATAATGAAAGGATAAATACATCTCTCAATATATTTCGACATACACATTTATTTATAGAGGCAGGGAGTTTTAAGATCACTTGGTCACCATTGACCATGAAAACGTCCATGGACACCAACCGCTGGATCAAAATTCAACAATTGGCATTCAAATTTGTTTTTAAGTCCAGTATTTTACTTTTGGGAATTAATGTCAACCATCATATTTTGATCCAACTGCTAGTGACCGTGGATTTCATGGTTAATGATGGCCAAGAGGTCATAACTATATATGTATATGTATATCGCATCCACACATTACCTCCTGAAGTACTTTGGTTCACTTAAGCGAGCAAGAAAATAATCAACTGCAAGTGTTGCATAGCGATTCAAAAATTTTGTCAGTGGAAGACGATATGGACTGTTAATCTCACTGTATACTTGTCCCGGAAGAAGTGCTCCTTCCAATTCTATAGTCAAGGTTACAAGTTCATCAAGGAATTTTGATGCAGCCATAGGAAGAAGGTGAAAAAGCTCGATAATAGCTGAAAAGAACACAAATTTGACATCATATCATCTGTAATCATGCATATGCGTAGGTACACAAGAACTGATGACCAAAAGTGGACAACCAAAAATATATTACCAGCTGCAATTTTTGGCTCTTCACCAGCCTTCCATGATTTCTGGCTTTGTGCAAGTTTTTCAGGCTCTAACCATTTCTTTAGGTGTTCCAGCAGTTTGCCGCCCAAGGTAACATTAAACCAATTGGACAGAAGTTCAAGAAGACGGGCCAGACCTTGCAGAAGAGGCATGCTCAGATTCTTCGTATGTGCCAAGTTCACCAAAATAGGCCTGAGGCTGCTCTGCAGAAGTTCTTTTGGCATCCTCTGCTGATTAATAACCTGCATAGCAATGGAGTAGAGTTTGTTTTCTTATAAGAAATGGAATAGAGTACATTTAAAAATAATAAAAAGACTTCTTAAAAAACCCCAACTTTATAAATCATCCACCATGTCTTAACAAACCAAAATAAAACATGATAGACAGATAAGTAACATCACCAGTCAAATAGACAAGCTACGATAAGTGATCCCTAATGTGAAACCTAAAAACAGAGGCCAGTGCTTTCCTAGGATAATCATCATAGTCATCGATCATTATACATTCAGACATGTATTATAGCAAGACGAGCAAAAACCATATAGATTGACTAATTTAAAAGGAAACAAGACCTGTCGCAAGCCTTCCTTAGCCACAGCAACAATTTCAGGTGTTCGACATGTCAAAGATTTGAAAAACATGGAAATGATCTTTGCACGCAGTTCTGAATGATTTGGAGTTTTGAAATCTGCCCACGCCATAGTAGTACAGAGTAGCTCAATGCAGGCTGTTCGAAGCTTGTTTAGTGATGTTGCCACCTTTGGGTTCATAAACTTCACAACCCCATACAGTTTCATCAGCCTCAGCTATTTGCAATGCTTCTTGGAGAAAATTAACCAATTCTTGAGTCAGCTTGAGAAGAGGTGGCCTCAAGGCAAGGCAGAAGTTTAAAGCTGTAACTGTTCCCACCTGTATACCACCAGATCAAGTCAAAAAGAAATTCAACAAATCCCACTAATGACCATTAGCAACATAGATACCTGTTGATCAACAGTTTTTGACCGGAGTGATCGCACCAAAAGAGGCTGAAGCAAATTTTGATATAATGGTTCAAGCAGCTCAGATACCTCACTACCAGTTCTACTAGCCAAAAGTGCCAAACATGACTGCACATTCTTTCTGACAATAACAGATGCATTTGGATTAAACAATTCTGTGGCAAGGAAATCAACTACTCCTTGAAAACTTTGCCGGCGTGGTTCACTGTTTGCTTCGTCAACATTATTAACTACGCGAAGAACCTGTGTAAGCACCTGACTCGTCTCTTCTTGCTCTTTGCTAGCATAAATAGGAAGCCTTTTAAGAACATATACCAAACCACGCACAATTCTTACTTGGAAAAGGCACAGGGTCTCAACAGTAACCTTTCCAACCAAAGCACCAAGTCCCATAACACCTCCCATCTGCGCTTGCCATGTTGTCCCATAGCAACAATGCAAAAGACGGGGCAGAAGTTGCTCGAAAACAGGGATGCGGACACTTGGAGGAGGAGAGTATACGGGATTCAATGACGGACTAGAGACCATCATTGGAGTACCAGGGCCTCTTGACATTGGCACATCAGCATGCTTTGAGCGAGCAAGAAAGAGAAGTGTCTCAGAGAAAACATTTAAAGCACTAAGTGCAGCCTTGGCATGGAGCCTGTTTTCATCTGCTAGCACATCAACTAGAGCATCTAAAAATATCAGAGGGTGCAACTCTTTGAGGTTTGATGAACTACTATTCTTTGACCTGGAACTGGAACCAACATTGGCATTTGACGAAAGCATAGGGCCCCCAAGTGTAGCAGTTGCAACTGCAGTATTTGTTAAGGATGAATCAATATGGAACATCATTGCAAAATGGCGGCATACATTGACAACAAAGTCATCCTTGGGGTCTTGGAAATCTGGTTCCACACTGGCAGCAATAACAGTCATTAAGAGAATCTTGAAAACTGACTTTTCGGCCATAAGTTGGGTCTTCGTCTTTACACCTAAGTCAGCCTGCAATTATGTCTAAATTTATTATAATGTAATACTATTTTTCTATTTTATTTCCCATTGTGGGGTATCTGAAAACAAAAATTCAGCGGGAAGAAAATTAAAGGACAGGTTAAGAAAAGAAATTGCAACAGACAATAAGAAAATAAAACGCATCTAACCATTAACAGAGTATTCTTTTTCTTTTATTATTATTACTTTTAATTGGTTGGGGGAAGGGGGGAAATATCCGGACAATAAAGTTTCTAAAAGATGAGACATAATAAACTAAGGGGTAAAAGTCAAGGTATAATACAGATAATTAATACCCACATAGGTATATTCTAATACATGGAGTTCACTTGTGCATTAACTCGTAGCATGTTCTAGGTAAAGTGCTAAAGAACAAAGATGGACCCACAGTGCAGACCAATAACAGGATCCCAAAAATGTTTATCAACGTTCGAGCATCATTTTTCCAACTTCAAAGCCAACAGTGAATAAAATTACAATAAAAGGCAATTAAAAAAAAAATTATCTTGAGGTTCAAATCACTAGCAGGCTCAGCATTCAGCACTTTACAAAGTGATAACATTAACCAAACCAACCTTTATTCCTGATGTTTCGGGCCGCTGCCAAGAAGAATCAACTGCAGAAACTAACAAAGTTGACAACTGACTAGGTGTGCATCCATTGTCGGTAAACTTTTCTGGCAAATTAAGCTGAGATGATAAGCAAACACGAAGAAACTTCAAAGCCTGTTTTCGGTAGAAAGTATCAATTCCACCATTTTTGTGCATAACAGCTACCACAGCAAGATTAATGCATCGATCCAATGGCACCAAAAATGGGGTTTCAGGCTCAAATGTAAGAATCACACGGAGTCCATGCTCTGGGTTCTCCTTGCACTCAAGTGCAAGGGGCTCTTTCAGAAAACGCCTGTTACGACCTCCTAGCTTGCCAAGGAGTTGCAATGCTTTTGCACCCCAAGAATAGGGAGCAGGCCTCAAGTGAGACCATAGGGCCAAAATCACCTCAGACATTACATTAGCCATGCTAGGTTCCAAGAAATCAGGATTCAAACTATCTACCCAAAACTCCAGTGTTCTTAAACCTAAGCCCACGAGATCATCGCTTCCTTTAAGACACAAAACAAGAGGCTTCATAAGACGGGGAAGGTGTGGTAACAATGAGCTTAAGCGTGCAGGCAAGGTTAAGCACAACTCCAGCAAAAGGTCCCTCATATCTTCCCCTGTTGGACCCTCAAGCATCATCAACAGCATATTAAGACAAGGTTGTAACATAGGAATCAAATCCCTCATGAGAAGATCAAATTTACATGCTGCCAGTGCTCGAAACGTTGCGCGAAGAAGTTGCATATAACCAAGAGGCTTTTCAACTTCAGTAGCATTTTTCATGCAAACTTCCATTATAACAGGCACGTGAGGTTGCAAAATACGTTCAAAATCTGAAGGCGCCTTTGAAACTGCGCCAAATATGAACCGAAAGAGATGCAATACTAGTTTTGCTGCAGGTTTATCTGGATGCTTCAGAACATCAAGTTTACTGTTTACAAGATAATTAACCAAAACATCTGCAAAAGGCCGATATACTTTAGGGGCTTGCAGAAGTGTGGAGAATATGTGAACCAATTGGTTGTTGCAAATCATGCACTCAAAAAGCTCAGGCATACATAACGAGAACATGTCCATTAAATCTCGAGGTTCCATGATAGCCAGAATCTGGGAAAAGAGTTGCAACATATCCCTCTCCTCATCCTTCTCCTTGAAGAGAGCCAAGCAATGCACCCCACTCTTTAAAACACCAGAAGCCTTCCGAACCTACCCAAGACCAAAGTCAGACCAAGTGAATCAAACCACAAAACAAACCCCAAAATTCATAACTCAATCTGTAAATACCTCCTCTTCTCGCATCCCCTTAAATGCTTGAGGCGCTGGTAAATTAGATGATGATGAAACAAGCACCTGTGGGTGTGTTCCATGGGTGGAAGCAGAAACCTTAAACCATCAGAAATGTCGCATAAGATAACAAATGTTAAGCAACTCAGAACAAACTATTGACATAGTTAATAATACCTGTGATCGCGGCAAGTGTGCATGGGTAATACTCCATATGATAGTCTTCATTCCTGACAATATATGCAGCACAGATTGATCAGCGCATGAAGGAAAAAAAATTAGCAATACCACTCAAGAACATATCAGAAGTGGAAGAAACTTAAGATCACAGATTCCATAAACAAGTAACACTATAATCTATAACTGGAGACACAGAAAAAAAAAATTACACTAAGGATCACTTACCCATGACCAATGTCTTAATCAGATGTTTACAATCATTGACTTCCTTAGAATGTTCGACAGTGACCTGCAAATTCAAAACTGCCTGCAAACAAATGATATGCCAAAGAATTTATTTAATTTTAAATGCCATGTTTTATGAAAGGGAGTGCAGTGGCTATATAATCAAGCAATTAAAGAATTGGACAAAAAGTAAGTAGACAAACTTCAAAGCATGGATATCTATTTTCAAGTTATTCTTCTAATACACCCAATATGTCTACATTTTCTTCCATATCAAAAGGAATGTCAATCTAACTTTCTTAATAAATGCATTAATGTCAGCAGTATTTTAAACCCTTCAAAACCTGCAACGTCCTTCTCGAATGTCTTTATAATTGCAGAAAATTTTAAAAAGGAAATTGAAGGCTTTTAGATTCCATGAGCAACTGAAAAGAATTTATAAATCCACCGGCTTAATCCTCAATGATGAACATATTAAATACCATTTTTATGACCTTTTAAAGTGTAACATAGGGAATAATCTATAGTTAGCATTTAGAAGGGGAAAAAAAAGGATGTACTTTAGCATTAAAAAAATTAAAGGTGGAGAGTACAAGAAAAAATTAAACGGACAACTAGAAACCATGAAACAAATTATGCATACACAAACAGTAATCTCAAAGAGAAGTTGTCAAAACTACCTGCACAGGGAGCTCAAGCTTTGACCTTAGAGTAGCACGGTCCTTTCCCTCCTCAGCCTCCTCCAACAGCTATCAGGAAATACAGAGACACGTCAGTATCAACAAATAAGCAAGATACAACAATCAATCAACCAAGATCATTAGCATCTGGATAAGATGGATTTCAGCAAATACAAAGAACCTCAAAAGCCAATAGCATCTTAATAACAGTCAATTGACTACCAACCACTCCCGAAACATAATTAACCAAATTATTTCAATACATTGTCGGAAAACAAGAAGATAATTATTTGAGCTACAGACAATATGACATGTAACATAAAACTCCTTTACTGCAGCACATAAACCATACAAAGACAATATATATGTATAATACATAGGAGAGCATTTTTGCTCACCAATTTAACCCAACCCAAGGTGTATCCTCACCACCCTTGTCAACACTTGACACGTGTCCATATGCATAACCATGGTTCCATAAATACAAAGTAAAAAGTTAACCATGGTTATGCCTATGGACATGTGTCAAGTATTAAGAAGGGTGGTGATAATAGACCTTGGGTTAAAGTGGTTAGCAAAAATATATCCAAATACATAGCCCATATGACGAGACAAAAGCTTCCACATGAAACAAAAATATCAAATAAAGAAGAGACCCTTGCAGTTGAGAAAATCTACAGCAGTCAAAGATTACCTGAGGAATAGTCCGCTTGAAAGTACTAAATTTTCCAACAAAAGCATCCAATATACGCCCCTTCAAAGAACCATAATATTTTATAAGCTAAAGGAAAGAGAAAACTCATAAAGTTTACCAATTCAAACCATTCTAGGCAAACAGTTAGATAGCAACTCAGACCAATAGAATCCGTGCTTCATCCATAGATGGTTGGTCGACACCTTTCTCAAATATTGGCTCCACCTGTGTACCAACAAATTTATAAATATAACTGAATACCCAAATGAAAATAAAAACTGCAAAATCTCTTGAATAATAGAGTTAGCATATGCACCAGATTCAGCATCAAGCGAGCACAAGTAGTATGAATGCTCAGTGACAATGAAGCATCATGCATGTTGCTTGAAAACAAGTATATGATTCGGGATAACTGCAGCACATAATGTAAGTATGTTAGAAGATAATTTAAGTTATGATGAAAACTGTGAAGATACACATCAACAAAAATCAAATTTTAAAGCAATCAAATTAAAACAGAAACAAAGTGCCAAATGAGCCACTGACCATTACGGGAAAAAAAAACACAAAAACCTGTTAAACAAGCAAATGCTGACACTTGAGATAAATTACAATTCAAAGTATGTGTAACTAAGTTAATTATCCTTTGTCTTATGCCTTTTTGTTAATTGGTTGATTATCCTTTCATATATTCCTCTAGAAGGCCCAAATTGAGCATTGCAATTCATCGCCTAAAGAGAAAACAACCAATAAAAGCCTGAAATAGAAGAAGTATAATCAAAAGTAATCCACAACATACGAATTCCTGTAATTGACATCGTCGCTTCCTTTTTTTCATTTCCAATTTCAGTGTACATACTAACAGTATCATGTATTTACCTCAGTTCTCAAATTTATAAAAACTTGATAAGAAATCATGACAACAACAACAACAACAAAAGCATATGATAAGAGGATAAAATTGAAATACAGTAGTAGCAAGACTCTTCGGGCATGAATAACTGTATAAATCTTGCCACTCATATCTCCAACAGCTTTATAGGCATTATACCCTCCTGTATGACATGGAAATTGATTGATTCTGTGTTTTCTCAATCCAACAAAAGGAAGGTTACTTTGGGTCATAAAAGACTTATTTGAAAGCATAATCATAATGCAGGACAACCAGTAAGTGCCATATATCTTAACCTTGAAGAAAGTTCCTTCAAGGATTCAGGTTGAATCAACTTTTCTTAGATAGGAAAAATGACCTTCACAACAAAGAAACTAAGTAAAAGGGAGATGGGCAAACTGCCCACCTAAGACTAAGCACAACACATAGGGCAAACCAACTACAGACACAAGACTAGCAAAACAAACATCACCATGAAACTCCCACCCATCAACTATGAAACCATCATTATCCTCTCACTTTGCAGAAGTGCAACAATCAAGTGAACATAAGTAATTCCTGAAATTCATCCATGGAGGATGATGATAAAGATGTACAACCGTACAATACACAGTGAATGAAAGTTGTACAATGATAAATAGGATTGAGCCTCATCAAAGCCAAGACAGTGATAACACTGGTTTTACATTAGATATCACACAAAGGAAATACCTGTGACAAGGAGAGGTCTGCACGAACATGATGAACAATCTCTGCAAGTAGACTATATGCCAATGGCCTCAATGTCTCAAAGCAGGCTCGACCACTTCCAACCAGAACCCTGAAAAGGTTAAAGAAGAAAAGGGCTAAAAAAATCGAAGCACAGTCAGCTATAACAATATTCAATCTTCTCTAAGTTCAGGAGGAATAGCTAATTCTTATTTGTATCTGAAAGTTAAAAAGTCAGGAAGAACTCCAAAGTAGAAATGTGGGAATGAACATTATAGTTCTGTCCAGTGGAAGGTTGTGCATTATCAAAAAACAACAAATATGATTAAAAAAACTGCTCACATGGGAAGCAGATTTGGGGGAGAACCATCATGTCGTGGCCCTTTCCCTAATAAACTTCAAAATCTTAACATATTTTAATCTAAAATTCAACATGTCGGCCAAAAAAATATTTCAATCTGATGGCGACCAATATGAACTTTCCAGCAGAAGGATCGTTTAGGTGGGGGCAAAGGTTCCCATAAAATTAAAAGAGTAATTCTATTATCTACACTACGTGTCAAATTTTGGTATTCATCTGTCCATTAGCAGCATATTTATATACATCTCTTCAAAATGATGCTTTTGTTTAACCATGAATACATAACAGAAGAAATAAACCCCTCTTGAAATCTGTTCCAAGAACATGTTTTAAGACTACTAACAAGAATATCTTTCCTCCATTATATAAAGATATTGCATTTATCCAACTCAGCTTGACAATGAACTTTCTGGATCATTGTTTTGGCAATTAGAGGTCACCATATGATTGAGTCAACAGTGTTACCTTTCCTCCAATAGTGTGTCAATCAGAGGAAATAAACCCCTCTTGAAATCCGTTCCAAGAACATGTTTTAGGGCTACTAACAATTCCTGTATTCATAAAATATTTATGATTCAGACTTACATTCACGGAAGAATAAAAAGATCCAAGCGGAGAAAAATAAACTAAGAGACAATAATTTTTACCTTTCTAGTTGATACAGAGTCTGAACATGTAACTAGCAAACTGACTATGCTTTTACATATGCTTTCTTCATGCGGCCTGATATAATCAGCAAAGCTCTTCAACAGATACGTTAAAAACGAAACTGTCTGCAATGGAAAAGAAACAAATTAGTAAAAACTCATGAAAAAACCTGGACGGGTTGGACAAAAAAATTAAATGATTAAACAAGCGTAACAAACAACAGTGCCCTGCTCGTGTAACATTTAATACATATAAACTCAACAGAAACGCCTGCTTACCTTCACCTGTGCACCCTTCAACTCAATGAAATGAGTCTTCAAATGAAGAGGAACCTTTTCAGGGCCAGGAACAGATATAGCAGCAACCATCAAAGGCAACAGGTGAGGAATATTGGTCTGCACAAGTCGACTATACAACTGAAATAAAAACATGACCACCAGGGGACTCTCGTTTATAATTTTGAAAGAACGTGTACTGGGGTTAAGCTGCCCACCACCAGCATACCCACTACCACCAATACCGCCACCCCCAATTCCGCCACCACCGATACTGCCGATACTACCACTCAATGGTTGATCTAAAGAAGTATCGATAGGCTTGATATCTTCCCCACCCACCGCCCCATTTTCAAAGAAATGGTTAACCGTCAACTTAAAGTTTTGGTAAACTTTACAAACAAAGTCCAAGAATGGCTGAACTTCATTTTCCAGAGTGGGCCTGAAGTTCCTAAGGAGGTCAAAGATAATACGGATACATATTAAGCCATTCTCTTCGTTGTCAGTGGTTAGTACTTGCATTGCGACCTTCAAGAGTTCCTGGACAAAAGGGCGGAGTACTTCACTGTGGGGGAGACGATTGAGAATCTCCACCACGATGTTTCGGAGCTTGTGTTCGGGATTGTCTGTGAACTGTGGTTTTGTAATTTTCTGAAGAATCACTGAGAATGCATGAAAGTAGCATTTTAGGAAATTCAAGTACTCGGCAGTGTGCGCAATCTCTAGGCTGTCCCGAACCTCCATTGCCATCTGAAGCCTTGCCTGAATTGCTGTTCCAAATAAGAAGGAACAAAAGAAACAAGAACATCGTCAAGACCTTCGTTCAAACGTAGTTAAATCAATAATTAATCAAATCAAAATTGAGCTGTTTTGTTTTGTTATACTATTGGGTGTGAATACAGAGGACATGCTTGGTTCAATAGGACCTGCATTACTGGAAAATAAATTAAAATTTTGCACAGGAAGATGAATATGATTCTCATATTAAGGGCTCGTTTGATTAAATTTTATCAAAATTATATAACTTTTGCTCAGAAGCTAAAGGGAGGTTTAAGAGTTCAAAACCATAGTTGAATTATGCTTCAGAGAGAGAGAGAGAGAGAGAGAGAGAAAGTACGGAGGTCAAGCTCGGTGAGACGCCGAGCGTGTTGCTCGAAATTCTGAACCGGACTCATGGCTTAGTAGAACAAGCAGAAAGCAACCAAAAAACCCTAGCTTTGCCGCGAAAAACACGAAACGCACAGCTTCGAAACCAAATTTCAAAGACTCTGGTTGCTCAGATTAAAGTGCTCCCGGCGCGACTCTGCAGCCTCCTCTTCTTCTACTTCAAGAAGCACTCCAAGCAACCGGAGCTCTCCTACTTACTGCTGTTGGTCTAAAATGGAAGAGATCGTACGGATAAAACGGAGGAGAAATTGAATTTCAATGTTGGAAATTAGGGTTTTTTCGAGTGATGGTCTGGAAATGGTCTTGTAATTTCTCTGTATGTTATGTTATTTACGCTGACAGTGTTCTATGTTTCTCTCTCATCGTGTCTTCGAGGACTCGAGATTGGGGGGAATTGCGTTGAGTGGTTTTCCGGGACGACAGCCGTTTTATAGAGTGGTTAACGGACTCTGAAACCGTTAGAGGCCCAAATTTAATTTAGGGACCTGATATTGAGATATTGGGCTGATTTTATTTGCAGAGGGTTTAGGGTTTAGGAACCTGCTATTGAGATAAAAGGCCGGGAGAGAAGTTATATTTGTACCCAGCATCTGCTCATCGCACACACCTAGGGATCGTTTGGTACGATGGAATGGACTAAATTCCGGAACTGTCTTTGATTAGCTCCTCAAATTGGTCTAAGCTGAATTAAAGTACTGACTTACGTTTGGTGTTGCATCGGACTAAAAAAATAATATTTAATTTTAATTAAGGATTTTGACCTGAAAATAAATACAAATAAAATTCTAATATTTAATTTTAATTAAAGATTTTGACCTATAAATAAATAAAATTCTAATTTTTTTTAAAGGCTAAAACTTGTGTCCTGTTTTTTTCTTTCTTCCTCTTCTCTACTTTGTCTTTTCTTCTTCCTTTCCTTTTTTTTTTTTTTTTTTTTTTCTTTTTCTTTCTCTTTCTTTCTTTCTTTTCTTCCTTCCCTTCATTTTCATTCTCTTTATGCCACACTATTTAAGATTTCATTTGGAATTTTGTTTTGTTTTGAATTTTTTTTGCATTCACCACATACTAGAAGTGGATGGTTCTCTTAAAAGTTGGGGTATGGAGGCCGAGAGCGCCCCGAGATGAGGATGGTTGTTCACTCAACTAGACTAGGGGCAGACCCAATCAAACCATCAACCCATAAGTGGGTTTGTGGTGGCTGGTTATGGATTTGATGATGGTGGTCAGATGGTCATGGACTTGTGGTGGTGGTGGTCGAGCTCGTGTGTTTGATGGTGGTGGTGGTATCCAGCCAGACTCGTGTGTTCAAAATAACACCCTCGCTATTTTGTGAACCACGTTTTGGGCTCACTGTATTACACAAGCTAGTCTTATGTTCTTTTCCCCATTGAACTCTGCAGTCCCATTTAAGTTAATCATCTCCCTTACCAAACATGGGTTTCAAGTACTATTTAACCCAACCCAATCTAGTGAAGCATAGTGAGTCATGCCAAACATGACCTAATCTCCATTGTGGTTGGAGAGAGAAAAAGGGTAGAAAAAATAGGAAGTGTCATGTACACCCATTGAAGTTTTTGTGTTTGAACGTAACACTGTCACTTATTAGGAATGGGTATGAGAATAAATGAAATTATTTCAATCAGTTATTTTTTTTCACGTTTACTAACACATAAGGAATAAAACAAATGTAAGTCCCATTTTAAAAGTCATAGTTTAGATTTCAGTTCATGAGAATTAGTAAATAGTAATAATTGGAATAAACTTCATTCCTATTATGATTCTATATGATTAGTAAACAGTTTAATGAGAATGACTTTTCAAATCAATTTATTACTTCCCATATTTCTAAATTTCCAAATTGATAGTAAAAATATTTAGTTTAGTGTTATTAATTCACTCAAATTATAAACATGTGAAGGAGACATGTTTATATTTGAAGATATAATATTAATACATATATATAGCATAACTGAATTGATAATATCACATGGCAATTTTATGGACACATTGAAAAACTCGTCGTCTACAAGGTTGTCAAACTAAGGCCCTATTTGGGATTACTTTTTTAAAGCCAAAAACCTACTTAACTTTAAAGTTAAGTAGTTTAAAGTGTTTAGTAAAAATAAAATATTCCAATTATTTTAACAGCAGCTTTTAAAATGAGACTCTCTCAGTTGCTTTTCAAAGCTGTTTTAAAAATTAAAAAATAAATAAATAAAAGGCATTTAATGAATTGTTACATGAATAGCTCACAAGAGTCATTCTTCTACATACATGGAATACATGTAAGTTTAGGGATAACCACATTTATCAGATAACCATAACAATTGCTTCATTTATGTCTTCAAACATAATCCATATCTCTTAACCCATAAGAAGTGACAAAGCAGTACCATGAGACTTCACATCACACCTAATAATTGGCGGTATATATTTGTGATCTATCAATTACTTGGCTCTTAATACTTATTGATTTGTTTAACCCACATTGGTAACGGAAGGAAGCAGCCCAAACTCTAACAAGAAGCCAAGAAATAACAAAGCGATCAAGATAGTCCAACCACTCTTGTCAACTTCAATTAACAAAATTCAGTGAAGTGGACGCCAAGGAAACCAAAACAAAAACCCCCCCATGATTTTTTTTCCCTAACTTCCTCTAAGCAAAGCTAGAACCACACCATCCGTTTCCAACGACCTCCTCTTGCAGCTCCCCATTTTGAAACTTGTATTAAAAGGACCTTTCCTCATTAATTCCACCATTAATATATTCTTCCCTTTCCTTGCGTTGATTGAGCATGATGAACACAGAGGAAGGCAAATTGGTGGTCATGGGCCGAGCAGAGATTGACACCAGAGCACCTTTCAAATCAGTCAAAGAAGCAGTCTTGTTGTTTGGGGAAAGAGTTTTGGTTGGAGAAATATATGCCAACAAGCTCAAAGAGGTTAGCTATAGCTCCTACCACAATACCATTTTACTTCATTTTTTTTCTAGTGTTAATGTTCAATTTCTATGTTAGATTGGAGCTGCAGGGCATGCTGCTTCTGCTCAATCAACAATTGGGGTCTTGGAAGCTGAGCTTGAAGAAACAAAGCGAAATCTTCAGAAAGTCAGAGAAGAAAACAAGATAATGGCATACTGCATAAAGTCACTAAGAGATGATCTTGACCGTGCAAAGAAAGAGCTGCACAAGTACTTGAAGGCAAGAGAGTTTGATCAGAAGGACCCAGTTGATCCTGAGATTGAAGAAGAAGACCTTAAATTCATTGAGGATGGCGCCGCGAAGTTTGAAACCAAGACCATGTTGAGCCAAGACGCAGAGGAATTGGTGCAGAAGAAAAGATATGTGAAATTTGCAAGTCCTCCTACACTGGCCCAAGTCATTGTTAGCAAAGAAGACTTGGGGGAGAGAGTTGGAAACCCTTCTGTCAAGAAAAACAAGAAGAAGCCATTGGTGCCTCTGGTTGGGTGGTTTTTTGCCAAAAACAAGGCAATTCAAGAAGGGGGTGGGGGGTCTCCAAGAGCCTGAGGCTCTCATGGGCAGAGTATGCAGAGATTATTAAGTAAATATATTCATTTCAAGAATGTTTGTTGTTGATAAATGAAGCCTGCAAAAGGGTTTCCATTAACAGTCAATTTTATTGAAATAATCAGAGCTAAGGCATCGCTTTTTTCTTTTATTTGGGTTCTCTCATTTTTCTAATAAATAAGGAAATTGCTTCAAATTTTTGTAAATTTGTAAGGCGGGCTTGGGCCTAAGCTCAACATGAATTATGTAAACATGTTGTTATATGGGCCACATAAGCATTGCCATTGTGTGCTGTTTACAATGAGTACAGGCCGAATTAAAGTTCATACAAACCCACAAACCCATCTCTTTTGTTGGATGATTACCCATCACCTCTATGAACAGAATAATTGACATATGAATCGTATTTATTGATTACATCTTCATTTGCATAAGTAGTCAAGTTATATAAGGGGTTTGTAGCTCAAATAGTTAAGAGTATTTATCCATGCACCGAGGTTCTAAGTTTGATTCCCCCTTTCCTTGAGGTTATAGGTTCGATTCCTCATTTCCCATTATGTAAGGGACTTGTAGCTTAAATGATTAAAGAACATAACCAATAACATAAATTGCAAATCGATATGATACAAATAGTTTTGTTATATCACTATATTCGTTCACATTTTGAACCGATGGTCAAAATGAGCTTACTTGAGCCCAATGAGCTAAATCTCGATCTGATCAAAATCTAACTAACCCAAAAACGGGTTGTATAGACCCGAAATGGCCCGGGACAACCCCATTGAGTACCCTAATTAATTAAATGATGGCTATAGTGAACACAACAACTCCCTTAATATATGGGCAAACAAACAGACCGACAGCAAGTCCAATTCGAAGCATGGTGGGGAGATTGACCCCCACGTACCATAGTTAATTTGCCCCATCTCTCTCGCATGCCCAATTCTGAATTTGTAATTCATCCCCCATCCCACAAATTCGTGGAACAAATACATTAGGGCACGCATAAAAACAATAGAATTTTCTTTCATTTTTTCAGGCCGGTGAGTCGGCGGAATCCAATAGGAACCATACATTAGTTATAGTTTGATTGAAAATTATACAACCATGCACATGTAGCCATGTGAAGCCTAGCAGCGATGAAGACAAAAAATTTGTACTAGTAACATGCATCATGCATGCATGGCTATGAAGTATACTTCAATTTTAATATAAAATATGTAACCAAACTAACGACTTAGTAATTTAATACATATAGTGCTAATCACTCATTTGAGCTTAGTCTTCACTCAAGCATCATTCCTATAAAATTTCCCCGAAATTAAAAATCGTAAGACATTTGATTATGATTGTGAATATTGTTGTTATTTATTGAATACGTTGTGTTCGTTTATTTATTTTATTACAAAACTAGATAACTAAATTCTTTTCAATTTATCGACTTAAAAGAAAACACTTATCGATTTGAGTAATCTTTGTAAAGACGATCCGGTCGTATCATGAAAAACATTATATAGCAGATTCAAACAAGTGATTAGCGTAGTATTAGAACCCAACCAAAAAGCAAACTTGTATAGATATAAATCTGAGTTGTCGTCCCATGCAACGCAATTAGATTCTCATATAAAAATATAGAGCAACACCTTGACCCCTCTCTCATATTCTCATAGTTCAAAACGACACCAAAACCTTGAGAAAGTCTAAAAGCAAAAATTATGAAAACCCATCTATGCATTCCCAGGATGAGAAGCAACGTCAACTCGTGCAGCAACAAAACCAAACGCCTGTCTCCGATGACTCTGCTCGAGCGGTTTCGCGAGGCGGTTTTCCGTTTGATCATGCTGTCTGCTGTCTCATCCAACAAGTCCACAAGCCACGCTGGCCGATCCAGCCCAGATGCGCAGCGGTATTATTGTCCGCATGATGACCCTCACCACAGCGAGGCTGTAGCCGATTGCATCGAGTTCATCAAGAAAAAGGCTTCGCCGGAGGACGGCAACCGGGGCTCTTCCGCTAGTTCTAGTAAGCTCCATTGATGCCGTGGCCGATCGAGACGTGGTTATACCAGTTCTAGTTATGTGACATATTAGCAATTATTAGTTTTTATTTCATATTTGAATTTGGGTGAGTATATTTTTCATGGGTTTATGCCATTCTTTGTTTTTTTTTCTTTAGATTTTCTTATAGAGGGAGAGGGTGTTTGCTGAGATTGTTAGGAGTGAATTGTAAATTGGTATATGCATTTACAGGGAATTAATTTCAGATTCATAAATTTGTCTTCTTTTTTTTTTTTGTTAAGAAGCTTCTCAGTCTTTTTTTGTTTTTGTTTTGTTTTTTCACATGATCAGAATGAATTCATTCATTCAATGAAAAGGAAACCATTTCCATTTTGTTTCTGCATTTCTCTTCTTTATCATTAGAAAAAGACACTAAAGCACACATAACAGCCTCCAAATTCTCTCCACAGTCCACCAATGAAGGAAAAGCCCAATCTAAAGGTGATGCTTGACTTTTAAGTATTGGCAGAGCATGGTTTATATTCTACCTTTACCAAGAAAAGTGATAAAAGCGTTTGGATTGATTTACTAGCACAAAGAAGACAAAAAGTAGTCCGGACATTAGAAAAAATTCGGACGTCGTAGAGAACAACTATATATATATATATATGGTTTTTCTATTTTCTTGAGAATGCAATATGTATGGTGTTTGTTCCATATGGAATCGAATTTGCAAGGATAAGATGCTTGTCTTTAGTCAGAAAAAAAGAAAAAGAAAAAGCAGATAAGATGTCTGTGAAAAATCTTTGGTCCTCAAAGCACTTCGTTTATAAATTGGTACATACTAACGACACATGTTAGAGAATTTCATAAATTCAACATCATTGATGAAAGTACAAGATTCATGAAATTTTTTGTCATATGATAATTAAAGGTGTGCATCGGTTCGAAAGTAATATAATTTAGTCCATTTATATAGGATATAGATTCGTGATGTTTTCAATCCAATATGATCGGATCAAAAGTTTAAATCAAATCCAATCATCCAATTCATATTGAGAATTGAATTAGATAATTGGTATCACCATAAAAATAAATGGACAAAAGAAGAATTCATTGGGCCAATAAAAGATCCAACCCAAAAAGTAAAAGCATACGAGCTAACAAACCTGGTCCAAAGTCCATAAAACACATATATGGGCTTGAGCTCACCCAATACCATACTTGGGGGGCTTACGAAAAGGAAAAAATCAGACGAAAAAGAAAAACGACTGTGTCTATTCAATTTACATTGCCGAAGGTTGGAGAAGGAGGCAGGAGGCGGAGGGCTTCACTGAAATTTTCAATTTCCCGGAATGAGATAGACCCAGAACCATATTAACCGATTCCCAATGGCTGGTGTGAAATTTTTTACATTTTTCGCTTAGATTTGGTGTCAATTAGTGGAGAATTACTGATTTTATTTACTATTTTTGTTCTTGCTGTGAAGGGGGTTCAGAAAGAGAAGACAAGGTCTCTATGGAGCTGACAGAGGAAATTCTTCAAAGCATGGAAGTTGGATTAGCTTTTAGAGACTATGTAAGTACTTTATCTATCTGTTTCTGGTTGTTTTCATCATTTAACAAATAAATAAAAACCACCATTTTCTTCGAGCTTTGTGTATTTGAATTTGAGTATTTGCTTTTATGCTCAGAGTGGTAGAATTAGTTCATTGGATTTTCACAAGGCGACTAGTTATGTAGTGACTGCTAGTGATGATGAGTCGATTCGTTTATATGATGTCTCCACTGCAACATGCTTGAAGACCATCAACAGCAAAAAGTATGGAGTTGATTTGGTTTGCTTTACTTCTCATCCTACCACAGTTATATACTCTTCCAAAAATGGCTGGGATGGTATGCTTCCACTTTACCTCAACTACCATGTTTGATATTTATGTTTGTCAAATGTGTGGCATACTTAGAATGTGTTGTTTATATGACTGGTTCATTCAGAATCCTTGAGGCTTCTCTCATTGCATGACAACAAGTACTTGCGCTATTTCAAAGGCCACCATGACAGGTCTGGTTTCTGAGATTATTGCCATGTTTTTTTTAAACTCAAGTGGGTGGTTGTACTGAAGTATTTGAACATATCGGTCTAATTGGAGAAATTGGGTTCTGAACTTTTGTGTTTAGGGTAGTCTCACTTAGCTTGTGTTCTCGCAAAGACTGCTTCATCTCTGGTTCTCTTGATAGAACTGTTCTGCTTTGGGATCAGCGGGCTGAGAAGTGTCAGGTAGGGGCCTTGGCATATGGGTATTGGGTTTGGTTTCTTATATTACATGTCTTTCTTTGAATGATTATAACCTGTGTGCGTATTTTAGGGTCTCTTACGCGTACAAGGAAGGCCTGCCACAACTTATGATGATCAAGGGCTAGTTTTTGCAGTTGCCTTTGGTGGATTCATAAGAATGTTTGATGCCCGCAAGTATGAAAAGGTCAGTTGTTTATATTTCAGTGCATATGGAAATTGAAATTTTGCAGCCGTGTAAACTGTTTTATCTGCATATGACAATTTAAGCATGGCTGATCTGGTTGTCTAAACTGTTTCATCTTGTTAGGGTCCTTTTGATATCTTCTCTGTTGGGGGAGATATGTCTGATGCAAATGTTGTAAAGTTCAGTAATGATGGGAGACTTGTGCTTTTAACAACCACAGATGGACATATTCATGTTCTTGATTCGTTCCGTGGCACACTTGTAATTTGCTCTCCTCAACAACTCAATTTTAATTTGAAAAAGTTTGCTCTCAACCAACTCAGATCATCTTGAATTTCTTGAATTGGTAGCCTTTACATAATTTAGTCTTTCTAATATGGTTTTTTTGTCATTGTTTAGTTATCCACGTATAATGTAAAGCCAGTCTCCAGCAGTTCAACATTAGAGGCTTCTTTCAGCCCAGAGGGGATGTTTGTCATATCAGGTATGCATGTCTTCTGTTTTGTTTTTTCTCTTTGTTGTACTTATATGTGCCTTTTGTGCTGAGTGGGTATAAAATTCCCGCATAATTGTCACTTACAATTTCTTGTGTCATGTGAGTAAGCTCTGGGACATCGTCTTGTTGATTGTTGTTTAAATGCATAGTTTCTTCAAGGCTGTGGTTTCATTTTTATGCATACATCTTATTCAATATACTTCCCAAAAAACACCTGCTTTCCCTAGCATACCCCTGAATTCCACCCATGATAATTTAACCTGGCTGGACTGGCAGACAAATGATTTCTTGGTTTCCAAACTTTTGGCAGGTTCAGGTGATGGTAGTGTCTATGCATGGAGTGTTCGGAGTGGGAAAGAAGTATGATAAATAATTTTCTGCCTTCTTCCATTCGTATTTCTTTGTACTCCTTGTGCTTCTAAGTCACAATTAATGTTTGTAACCTATCCAGGTCACAAGTTGGATGAGCACTGAAAATGAACCTCCTGTTGTCAAATGGGCTCCGGGAAACCTCATGTTTGCCACGGGATCGTCTGAGCTATCATTTTGGATTCCAGATTTGTCTAAATTGGGAGCTTATGTCGGAAGAAAGTAGAAATTTTCGGTCATCTCCCCCTAATTTCTAGCGCCAAGCAGCTCAAAAGTGCCGTTTAGTTGTCCATTTGTTAGTGAAACTTGAAGTTACAGCCAGAGCCAGAGTTCCCTAGCTATTGTCATGATTCAGCCTTGCTGCTGGGACCCCATTGAACAGAAAAAGACAATTGTACTAACGTATGAGTCATATTATGACCCAAAAAACACAAACGCATGAGTCATTTTTTTAAATCCAAAATATAGATTCTTAAAGGATTTATAGATGCTCTGCAAGTAAGTTCCAGGTCGTATGGCCTGCTCTTTGTATAGTCAGTGTCAGGCATCTAAATGTAAATATTTTACAGAATTTATTACTTCCAAATTTTACATAGTGTGCATGTTCCATGATTGTAAATCGTATCATGAAGATGAAATGTCAGATCAGATATCAAGTGGTGGAGGCAACAGTCACACTAGTGCCAAAATAGGCGTTTTCTAATGTCACACTAGTGCCAAAATATGCGTTAGTAATTGACAGTCGTTGATGGGTGTACCGTGTAGACGATGCACATATCAACAATATAGAGTAGTCTATTGAAGCGTGGAGAACCGACAACCGTGGATGGTGTGGATTCCGCACCCGAAAAACTCGAGATTCACTTAAAATTCAAACTAAGGTCAGACTACTGAAGTACTCCATTTCAAGAGAAGAAGATAAAGATAAAACTCATGTGGGAGAGATTATGGAAATGTGAGTAAGTGGACGTATTATACGTACGGGTAAAGCAAAATGTCTTATGGACCCATGCGGACCAATAGGTAAAAAAATATTGAACCGCAATATATATAGTTGTGATGAAAATGGCAAGCAAACCAACTTGGAACATGGCTTTGAAGGCTTTTACATAGAATTGGCTGAAAAGCATGATGTATGTCATGCCTCATTTTGCTGGTAAGGGACATTACGTACTTGAAGCCTCAGAAAGCTTTAAAGATCTTCTTCGATCCACACCTAAATCTCTCTTATATCTATCAGCCAGGAACAAGAAGCATTGTCTGTTAGTTACTTCTTTGAAGAGACCATGCTCTCTGTTTTTTTATTTTTTTCCCTCTTGAGGCTTTGTATGCTCTAAACGACAATTAAGGTCAGCCCTAAGCTATAAAGTTTGAACTTCTGTCAAACCAGAAAAAGGAATGCATCCACCCAAAATCTTGTTGATGGGGACCTCATTTATAGAGCTGTCCACAAGCTGAGCTCTACCAGACGCAAGAAAAATTGAACCCAATTGTGAATATATATATATATATATCATATATATGGACTGATGGAGAGTGAATGTCTTTGTGAATGTGTCGTATGGCTCATGTCACGTTCATTTGTACACACATTTCATTTCTGCTTGTTTAACTCATTTCGTACTCATGTGAAGAAGATGCCATTTACACTCGTCAAAGTTTTAAGTGATTCTAAATCCAATGGTACAAGAAATGTGTCTTTTATTTATATACTCGAAGCTAGGGCTGGCAAAAAATACCAAAATCCCAAAATTGACCGACTAATTGACCGTGAAAAACCGACTGGGAAGCCTACCGAGATATTTGGGCACTAAAACTCACAATTTTTATATTGAATAAGTGAAGGGCATGAATATCAGTCCAAATAATAAAATTTAGTGTAAAGTCAAAAATAAGACCACATTATGAATGAAATGTAACACCTTCCAAGATTCAACACTTATATTATTCATGATTGTTGGATTTATTTTAATGCATATATAAAATAACTTGCTTCATATCATATATATATAATTAAAAAAGGAGGAGGAGAAGAAGAATATTTTGGTATTTCCAAAGTAGGTTCAAACTTCAAAATATATCCTCCTCGCACTTACCACTAGCTCCCAGCTACTTTATAAAAACGGCTGCATATAAAATAAAAATACATTCACACACTTACATCATTTTTGCCCTAACAGCATATCTTTCTATATTTCCTTTGTACACCATTTGATATCATTGGCAAATCTTTTCGACAATGCCCGTTGCCCACACCCACCACAACAACATAAACACAACCCACCTTGACAACTCCAAAACCTAACGTAAACCCACCGTAGTTCCCTTCAAGTTCCAGGGCCCCACACTTAAAATCTCTGTAGAAAAATGACGTCACAGCTAGCACAGCAAGCTAGTCAAAAACTGATCTTCTTCATCTCTCTAGTCTAGCTGCAGTTTTAACTTTTATTTATTTATTTATTATTAAGTGCTTGAAAATGAACAGGCCTTTTATTAATGCATTATTTAATCCAATGAAGGTGACTGCAAACCGTCCAGCAGTTAAAATCTGCACCATCGGATCAATGTTGTTGCATTTTAATTAAGAATCATGGGATTATTATTGTTATTATATCATTGAGACTCCATGCATCTTAATTAGCAAATAATTACCATGGAATATTCTTGGGAATAGGAACAACTAAAAGTTAAAAGCAAGATAATCATCTGCAGATTAAGTTCATTGCATGACACGTGTCCAATACGCATTGACATATAGTAGTTAAGCAAACATAATTAGTAGTAGCCATTCAGATACTTACAAGCTGATGCAAGATCATAAACATTAACATGGGGATACTAATTAATTAGTCTGGTCTTGATTAATATGATCTGAAATAATCAGGGGTCATGTGGCCGTAGGAATTGAGGCTGAGCTCAAGGGAAGTGCGGCCATTGTTGCCGTCGTCGGAGCGGTACCAGCCGGAGTAGTAGCCGTCGGAGGTGGACTTGATGTTGCCAAAGCCATGGATGTCTTCACCATGCATGGGGAAGAGAGGGAGGGTCTCAATCTCTGGGGAAGCTTGCAGGTTTTCTTGGTATTCATGATCTTCTTCATCCATCGTATTTTCTTGGTCACCAAACACTTGTCTTGATGATGATCTCTTGTCAAAGAGAGTGTAGGGTGAAGAATATGGATCAACACCAACCCATGATCCAAAGTTGTGACCAATATTATTATTAGATCCACCAACATGACCACTACTAGTACCTCCTGCAGCTGATATTGAGCAGTCCTGCAATTAATTCAAAAAAAAAGAAGAAAAAAGAAGAAAAAAGAAGAAGAGAGAAGATGGGTTAATGAATTTCACATTTGTTAAAAGTAGTCAAACTGTTTTTTCATTTTAGTACCAGTACTAGAGTAGTGGACTGTAAATTGGGTCCAACTAGTTTGGCTTGATTTGAGAAATGGGGTTTTGTTAATTTGGTCATGAAAGGGAAACAAGGGGCCAAAGGGTTTCTTCCTAAATATAGAAAATTTCCAGTGGCTTGATGTGGGATGTTTTTGTATGAGTATATTATAGTAAATTAAGCTTGCACTGTGCTCACATGGGTGCAAAAAATTAAGGTGGTCAAGTTGTAATTAAGCAACTAAGACACACAATAACTTCGTGTTATATACTTGCCCTAAAACTCTTCTCCATGGTCATAGATCCATAGCCATAGCTCCCCATTTGCCCAACAGCAATCACACCAGCTGAAGAAGCAGAAACCCCTACAAATAAAAAACACCCAAATAGTAAAAGAAACTCGAGAAGGTAATTAATTTTTTAATTAGCTAAAAGGGTTGGTTGTTTAATCAACTAATTACCAGCGGAAGCAGAACTGTTGGGGTACTTGTTGCTGTGATTAATGGGTTCATAAGCAGTAGGAGCATTATTATTATTAATCCCAAGCCCTGATCTTTGCATGATGGGTGGGGCTGGTACATCAATGAACCTTTTCTTCTGCCTCTCACGAGCCTTGTGGTTCTGAAACCAATAGAAAACGTTCTTGCCTTCAATCTTGCCGTACTGTCTCAGCCGAGCAGAGATCCTCTGAATCTGCTCTGCACTTGGGGACCTCACACCATTGTTGTAGTAAAGGTCCTTCAATATTCTAATCTGATCACTTGTGGGTGTCCACCTTGTACTGCTTTGCCTGCACAGAAAATTAGTACCACTACTAGTCCCTTTGTTGCTGCCATCTTCATTTGGTTGTTGTTGGGTTTGTTGAGGTTCCATTGAGAGGGCTTGGAAGGAAGAAAATTACAAAGGGAAGCAAACAAAAATGACAACAGTGATCACCAGAGAGAGAGAGAGAGAGAGAGAGAGAGAGAGGAAATGCATGAAATTGAAATGTTGGGATTGGGGATCAAGATGGGTTTATAATTAAGATGGGGGAGGGGCACATGGAGAGATGAAGAGAGGAAATCAGAGAAATATCTGAGAGAGAAAGACTGAAGTTGACAGAGAGGAGGTTCATAAAAAGGGAAGGGACAAAAGAGGGCTTAGAAAGGGAGGGTATCAGTGGGAATTACTGGGTTGAAAAGGCATGACCAGAATATATGAAAAATTATTAATGATGCACTTTGAGAGAGAGAGAGAGAGAGACAGAGAGAGAGAGAGAAATGAGAAGAATAATATAATATAAAATGTGGCGTGGCATGATATGAAGTGATGATATAATGGATTGGAAAGAAAGAAAGAAAGAAAGAAGAGGCTTCTGATTCTGAATGAATGAATGAATGACCATAAAAATGATGGGGGTACTGTGTGATTTAGAGGTTCTTCTTTTAATGGAGATCATAGAGTCCTTTTTATTTCTTTTTTCTGATAACAAAACCAGGCCAAGATTTAGCCATAGCCAGAACCACAAGATATTCTTGTACTTACCTAGGGTTGTCAAGGGCAAAACTGTCATTTGAAATTGATGAACTACCCTATACATATAGGTTCCAAACTGTACTTGAGGCTCTTTGCCATTAGGGTTTCTATGTTTTTGGTTCTGCTACCCCTCTTTTAAGCCTAGATTATTTGGGTAAAACAATCTGGCCTGAGCTGGGGAGGTAGAGTAAATACATATATTTACAGCCTTGAAGAATATATATATAGAAGTGGAGAGTTTTGCACTACTTCTGGGCCAATCACAGCATGGTAATAATCAATGCAAATTACTCACAGCTTCTAGCTATAGAGCCTCCTACTCCTACTTGTGCCCATCAAATCTCCGATTCTTGACAGAAAAATTTATTTTTCCAGTCTGTAAATATATATTAATATGCATTACTTTTGAATTTGTTCTCCCCAATTGGTTGCCTGCATATTTATATACTGTTAATTTTCATGTTGAGGTAACATAAGCATGCATGCATGTAATGATGTAAGTCATACTTACTTTGATTGAAAATTATGCTTTTGACATTATGAAAAGAAAGATCAAATTTATGATCTTTAAGCTATCAACAATAAGAATGTTAGAATCACAAGGAGAAAATCCCTGGCGACCCACCCAAAAAAGAACAAATAGTAGAGAAAGATGGAATCCAAGCCACTCCATATAACTCAATTCATAGTTTGAATTTGAACACGACAACGGACCAAATTTCACCATCAAATCAAAAGATTTAGTTTCTATTAGTCCAATTATGAAGCACACTCCAACTTTGAGCATACATTTGGACTACTTTTACTAGCATTGAAACAATTTGGTCAACAATGGTATAAACAAAAGTGTCAAATAGTTTCCCACGTTATAAATTAGAATCTATATTATAAAGGCACTCAAAATAATGAATCTGAATCACACGACAAAAGTTAATACGATTAGTAATACTCTAAATTCACGATTTGACAATCTAACACTCAAAACGAGTCTAGGTGGGTGGTTGTTTAGGGAGCACTAAAAGTGATTATCTAACAAACAAACAAAAACAAAAATAAAAACCCTTCTGTCCCATTTGAATCAAACAACAATAAAAAAGCGTTTCTGTTATTAGGCACTGCAATTCTCCATCACACCTTAACAATGAAAGAAAGACTATTAAAATAAAAAAGTTGTGTTGCACAAAGCAAAAGCACGCAAACTCTAAGTAGGAAGTGATATATTAGAGCAAGTCCGCCGCAGCAGTTTGGCCCGAGCAGGAGGGGCTCTAGGCTCTCGAGACGACTCCAACGCGCACAAAGCAGCCCAGGCTATTGCCTGGGTTTGATGATGCCAACACTTTTCAAATTTGTTTTCCATTGCTACAAGACACGGGCAGCACCTGGGGTGTCTGATCAAATTTTTCACTGCAATCCAATGATTGCCCTTTTTTATGTAATAACAAAATTGAAAAAAAAACAAAAAAATTCAGATATTTTTTTTCTATAAAGTTTAAATAATAAAATTAATTTTTAAAGTTTAATTAAAAATAAAAAATAAATTAAAGTGAATAGTAATTGTCATTGCCCTTACTTATAAGGTTAAAAATAAAATTATAAGGGCTGCCGCTATTTACGTGAATAGTGACTGAACAAGAAGTAAATAAAGTGCAAGCTAGAGAATCCATAGTCATGAATCATGATGCCTGCAGTCCTTTATGCTACAGAGCACGCGCCCCAAAATAAATGCCAAAAAAGCATTTAATATGCTCTGTGTCATGGTTTCTGAAGTTTTTCATGCATATAGTCTGCAGAGGAGGAGGAGAAGAAGAAGGAGGAAGAGATCATCATCAAAAGCTTCATCATTCTTTGCCACTGCCGCTTTGTTTGTACCACCCATCATCCCTCCTCTCTTAGGTCTTAGGTCTTAGGTCTTAACTCTTCTCTTCCCATACACACGCAATCTGCATGTGGTCCTTAAACCCATAAACCCCCCCAGCTTGGTTTGCGTTTTATGTGTTAATATTGTTCTCATTAATAATAAGTAATATGTGTGTTCTTCTTTAATCACACATGACGTCTAGTCCTTGAAAATAAAAGATTAATCCACCATGTTAACGTGTTTTGTGTGAGGATAGAAATGATTATGTGTCTAAGCTAGTTGCTAGATTTTGTCTTTTTACACTAAATTTTTGGGCAAATGGAAAACATTCATTCATTCTCTCTAGCTAGCTAGCTCCTTGAATTCAACCAGTCTCATTCCTTTTTTCTATAATTCTGACTGTTGTACATCTCTCTCTCTCTCAACTCAACTTTTTCAGATTGCATAATATGTTTGATTTTGACACTATCATCATGAGATTTCCTTTCCTTATCATGCATTTACATGGGGTTTGGGACTCTGAGCCTCTCTCTCTCTCTCTCTCAAAAGACAAATAGCCAATTAGCCAAAGCCTACAGGGAGGAGGGGAGAAAGGAGATGTGGGTTTTTGTTCCTTTGTCCAAATAGTCACAGTCTTGTTTTCTTTGATCAACTTTTAGACTTTGATTTGGCAGTGAAGTTGCACATATCTGTCCCCCTTCTTATCCAAATTCCTGAGCTGCTTACCTCATAATTGAGTGACCTTAGTGTGCACAGCCGCTGTGCCACCCTCCCTTTTCTTTCGGGTAATCATCCTTTGGATGTTATTTTCTTCCCATATCTCTCAAGATACATCACAATTATATCATCACTGTCTACCAGATCTCTCTTTCTCTCTCTCTCTCTCTCTCTAGACTCCTATACTTAATACAGTCTCATTAATTTTCTTTTTGGTTTCTTTCTCTTAAGTCCAAGATGGAGACTTGCAACTACATCTCTCTAGAGCAAGAACCCTAGCCTCAAGTTTTAATTTCTTTCTCCTTGAATTCATTCAATTTTTTTTTCTTTTGCTTCTTATAAAGGAAATAGAAAGAAACCCTATTACTTAATACAGTCTCATTAATTTTCTTTTTGGTTTCTTTCTCTTAAGTCCAAGATAGAGACTTGCATCTACATCTCTTTAGAGCAAGAACCCTAGCCTCAAGTTTTAATTTCTCTCTCCTTGAATTCATTCAATTTTTTTTCTTTTGCTTCTTATAAAGGAAATAGAAAGAAAACCAATATATATATATATATATATAAACATGCATTTCATTTTAAATATGGTGAATACAAGAAACTTTGCTTAGAATAGTTAATAAGACGCCCTCACACACACACACACACACATATATAATATGTATTATATTGCTTGCTTGCTAGGTAGCTAGCTAGCTAGGCTGCTGCCACTTTGCCTCTGAAGTCTAAAGTTTTGATGGCAGGGGCAGCGCAGTTGCCTTTTCATGTGGTTTAATATGCTTTGTTTCTATAGCACTAGGGTCATATATAGAGTGGACCCCACCTTACATAATTGATGCAAAGGTTAGGCCCTTTGGGGGTTTCAGGGTTGGCATGTAAATGAAGCATTTGTGGGTTATTGAACCAACGCAACCAGCCACTACCGTTGCGTTCAAACTTCTCTCTCATCTTGTTTTTACATTTTCTTTTGTTTGGGTGAAAAAATAATGGCTTCTCCTTTGTTTTGACTGGATGGTCTGTGGACCACAATCTCAAAGTTTGGAACTTGGGTTCGGGTTGATTGAGGAAAACCAAGATTAGAAATTCATGCCATAAACAGCTTTGAGCAGTAATATTTTCCCACTTGTTCTTGTTGGGTTTTATTTTGTGATGATGAGTATTTTAATCTTCACTTGTTTATGCTCACGGTCCAATAATCTAAAGATATTCCTAAACTTAACCTCGATCATCAAAGGATAATAAGAGCACACCCATTTGGCCGTACAATCAATCACTGGGATATATAAAAAAAGTAGCAATATGCTACAAATACAACCAGCTTCAAGTTGGTTGATGATCCAATATATAGTACAATTCACCCATGTTTCAAACTCACAAACCCAATACTGCTACCCTAATTACGCAACCAGTTGCTTATAAGTAAAGCATCCTAATAAAATTGAGGTGGCATTCCAGCCAGTAAGTTTCATTTTATGTCCACCGTCTTCGCCGCTTGCTCTGAACTTCAGCTATAGCCTATACTATACTCAAAAATGCACACACATTGCTCTTGGAAAAAGAATAAACCAAAGCACAGTTGACAAGCCTAAATAGATGTAGAAAGATACAAAACCAATCAGATTCTTTTCCTACAGCTCTTCCTGAATATAAATATGTAACAACCTTGATGACAAACTCATCTGAAGACCACACGTCAAAAACCAATATTTAGCCCTTCAAATCTTGAAATGGCCCAACTGCAACACTTTAACTTGACAATGAAGCACCCATCATCAACTAGGCCCCGAAATTCACATTGACCCCCCTTCCCCGGTTCCACCTAATTCCAGATCCACGTCGACTCCAGGTTGAGTCATGAGGCTCTGGGTGGACGTGACTTCTTTCTGCAGATCCCCTCATTTCTGAGTTACCTACTCTTCTAGTTGAGTGTCTCTGACGTTCGCCTCTAGGAGTGTTCAACCGAGTTATCTTGTCCTCTTCATAGGACAATGGTTGAATATCCTGCAAGTCAGGTTCTGGAGCATAACCCTTGGGCCGTTTGGATTCATCCATTCTTCTAAATGTGATAGATATCCTAAGACATACAATAAAGGAGCAGGTAAATAGCCTAAACATAAATCATTAATACAAGAACTATACTACATTGTTTTAGCTCTTACCGTTTCATAGGTACTGCAGGCACACAATGCTTAGCCACATCAGCCCCCCTTCCATTTAAAACCAGAACAGATCTGCATGGGAAAAGGCTGATTGTTAAGATTTTGAATCCAAGAAAAGGCTGATGCAAATATTAAAACTTAAATATAAATAAATGTATTTTTTTTTATAAAATAGAAACGATATTTTCAAAATAGGGTACCAAAACACAAAAGGTGTGGGTAAGGGATCCACACGAGAAAACACAAAACAAGAGAAAAACGGCTGCCTCAAGAACAAAACACCAAAGGAACAGCAAAAGGCAAATAACGAGAGGACGCCACACAAGCAAACATCAAATCACGGCCCCTAATAAGTCTCGCATGCATAACAGACGAAACTGCCACATTTCTAAAAACAGGAGTGATGGATAAATGTAATTGAAAACAACGGGTAGAGGCTAAACAAGGGCACAGAATGCACAGGCACAAATATGGATGGCACACTTACCCGACAGGCAAGGGGATTGCAAATGAACCCTCAAACTCGCCAGCACCAATAACCTTTAAGTTCGTTCCGAAAAGTATGTCGCATTCACTAAGAAATGAAACAGTACAAAAAGGTCGAAGGAAGTCATGGTTGTCAACATGCGGAGGTATACAGTCCCCTTCTTCATATATATTGACAATGCAACTATCAGGTACACAGGTCGGCGGAAGCACATGCCACTTTACCAGCCTCCTAATGATCACCTTAAAAAGAGGAGGTATAGGATCTACTACGTCATTCTGGAGGATACCAGGTGGATTACCATTTTTATCCTGAAACCAACAGAGCACATCAGATGGAATGCAACATCTAAAATCACTAGCACTTTATAGTTCCTTTGAGCATATTTTGGTAATTATACTGATATCCACCAGAATCACAGTTTAGCTGATCTCTACAAAATTTAATAGTCAAATAAGATATAAGGTCACCAAATATGGATGCCATAGTCAGAAAAGTATACCACTGCATAATTGTAGCAACAACCGAACTGAATGGTTACTCGTCCCTTGCCCCTCATCCACTTTTGGGGTGCTGTATATGTACGCGCTGCAACAAGTTCAGAATAGGTTAGCCAAACAGTATATACATTTCCCAATAAGAAAAAAAAATTGAAAATTCAATATATTAGAATGGAACTGGAAATTAAATTCAGAAAAAAACTTAAAAGGATATAGTAAAAGTTCCATATAACAGAATTAACTAGCATAAAAACAAGTTTAAGCTAAATAATAAATTTTGTATGTTTTCCTGTGTCAACAATACATTAAAGATGACTTACAACTCGTCAAGAAAACAGTGGGGGAATCATATCCTGGCGTATACCACTTAGAAAGTATTTTTGCCAACTTACAACTAAAATGATTACTAAATATACATTGAGGGCCACAACAAATATAATTTTGTAATAGGCAACCAAAGACATTATGTGCAGTAAGTAATATAGATCTAACCCTGCAAAGTTAACTTAGTTGTAGAGTTTGAACGTCTTTACTTACATTCTAGCTAGGCAATAAAACATTATCCTTTTCTATGTATGGAAATTTAGTACATAAAGCTCATGTATCAAATTAGCATACATAGAAAACTCCTATTAAAAACTGATGTATAAAGCTCATGTCCAAAAACTGCAAGAAATATCAACAGGAATACCACACTGTATTGGCATTCCAAAAGCAAAGACTGACCTTTCAATTCACCCTTCTTGCCCATCTCTTGGAGCGAATAAACAAAATCAACTATCCTCTTCTGTTCCGCCGCACTAAAGATACCAGTATGGAGCTCAAGTCCCTCCAGAATGTTAGCAAATTTCCCATTGACCCTCTCCAAACAAATAAAATCTTTCTGCCTCTTTACATTCATGAACCTAATGTACTCCCTCTGCTCCCTAGACAATGTAGGCTTCGTTATCCTCAACTCTCCAGTCGCGGCATTTACATTCACCACCCGCTTACTCAATTCACGCTCTTCCTCTTCCTCTAGCTCGTCTTCCTGCGCCATATCGGCCCACGACATTCGAGAACTTTGAGTCTCTACAGAGGGGGATTTAGGGGCCAAGCCACTGCTAGAAGCTTCCGGGTCGGATTCAGATATCCCATGAACTCCGTCTTTCCAACTACCTAGTGAATTTGAGTCCTCATCATTATAATTATCTTCACCATTATCACTAGCCCCCTGCAATTCCGGGGTCTTCGGTGTCAAATCACTCGAATTTTCATCTGGGTTGACCGGTTTAGAATCACCATCAAGTTCTACAATACCCATCAATAAATTCCCAATAAGGCTTTGCCACAGAAGAATTCCAATATCAAAATTTATTAAATTTACTGTTCTCTTTGTACTTAAACGCAAAAAGATTTGAAATTTTCCTACTTTACATACTATCTAGCCCTAAATTTTCCAGGGAAACAAACGGAAACCGAATAAAGGCGTACCTGAGCCGAGGGAGCGGACGCGATCGGCGAGTTTAGTGGAGCAGTGGTTACAGAGATCTCTGGAGAGGAAGGAAAGCCAGGTGGTGAGGAACTCCGACGCGATTCGGAGATCCGAGGGCTGGTACCCGACGAGAAACGGGTCGACCGGTTTGTCTGGGTTGGTGTTGGTGTTGTTGTTGTCGGTCATGGCCGGCTCTGTTGCTGCGGCGAGTTGACTCGGCGAGTTGATTTTTGCTTGGAGCTAAAGACAGATGACAGGTACAAGTAGAGAGAGCGGGTAGACAAAAGCGGTATTTGTGGAGGTTTGGATTGCAGTTGAACCCAAGTTTTGTAACTATAAAAGCTTGGGATATGGATGCAGTTCTGGGCTTTGTGGCGGGGTAGATTTGTATTTATGGGGTGGAACAAAGTTAGATTCGGCTGGGATTTGGATATTTGGAATCGCATTCCTGTATGGCATCGGACACGTGTACGGTTCGTAAAGCAGTTGGGATAGATAGAGGAATGCAGGCTCACAATAGATTTGCCTTCTGAACGAAGTCGTGAGGAGATTGGTGCCCCAATGCCGAGGTAATTACTTTTTCGGATTCGCTTGATAATGCTTCCGTAAAAAGCACTTGTGGTTATAAAAGTTTTTATTAAAAGCAAGCATGTTCTTGACAAAAAAAAAAAGCAGGTTGAAATTTTTAGGGTTAATTTCCATTTAGTACCCTAAATTCTTACATTCAAGGCATGTTTGTCCCTGCATTTTCAATTTTAAAGATTACATATTCTAAGTTTTTCAATTTTTTGCAATATGGTTCCGGCGTTAACTTCAACATCAAAATTTCTATTAAGGATATCACCTATTTGCTTATTTTGATGTCAGTTGACGAGTATTTTTGGGTAATTGGTGTCTTCCCTCCCATGAAGAACACATTACACGCACTAATACCAAACCATTTTTTAACAAATACCATTCAACTGACATTGAAAGAAGTGAATAGGGTGGACCCAAGCTTGCCACGTGTAGGGGCTTTTTTCTTCCTGCAGCTAACGGGCTGGGCTGCTGCAAAAGGGGGATTGAGGAGATTGCCCCTTTTTGTTTAGGTTCGAAAATTAAGCCCCAAAATACCTCGAAAGGGCAGCGAAACCTTAGGAGATATTTTGGATAATCTTCACCAATGAAAATAATAGTGACTTGCAGATAGTTTTGGCATGCTTACAGATGGTTTTTCAGCTCAGCATGAGTGGCATGAGGCATGGGGAGCAAAACCAACATGGGTTTAGCACTAAGAGAGAAATTAGGCTGGGTTTATGAGAAATGAAAGTGTTTAAGTAAGGAATGAGGTGTTTTGTGAGGAATTTTGACTAGAGAAAGAGAAAAAGGGAAAGAAAGGCAGGGTTCTTCCAGCAGCTGCCAGAAGAACAAATTGGAGAAGAAGATGAACAGTGCACGAATTTAAGTTTTGCAAGATAGAGAGAAAAGCTTGCTCTCTGCAGGTTGTGAGTTGTGTTTGCTGGGTAGGGAAAGGCTCAATTTATAGCTGCCGGAAATCACCATTTTTCAAGAAACCCTAATGGCTTCTTCTTACTTTGGCTGAGCTTTTCTTCCTTTCTCCTCTCCTTCTCTGATTTCCCTTTCTTGGCAAAGATTGCTTCTGTCTATCTTCATGAATTTAGGAGATTTGGGGGCTCAACATCCTCCTTTCCCGCGGCTGTGCAATGAGGGCTTCCACTCTTGGTTTGCTGTTTTTCTTCTTTTCTTTCCTCTTCCTTGGCTGAATCTGATGAAGGAAAGGAGGTGCAAATGTATGCTGGTCCAAGGGATGCTTCTGACAGCATGCAGGATGGTATTCATCGGTTCTTTGGATGTCTCTGGCTTGGGACTGGTTTCCAGCAGCTTTGTTTAAGGAACCTGCCATCTACTCCTTCACGTGTTCTCTGTTTTTTCAAAAGGGCTGAAGCTATTGTGGGCCCTTTTTTGGGCTTTTCTAAGGGCCAAGATGGCTTTCTAAGCAAATGGGCTTGTTGGGCTTCTTGATTTGGGCTTATTATTATTATTTTTTGGTTGGGTTATCTCTTGGCTAGGTTATTTTGCTTGGGCTTTTGGGCTATTTTTCTCTCTTGTGCTTACCCACATGTTTGGGCCTAAGAAATGGGCCTGAGTCTCGAGGCTCCCAAGCAACCCGAGACTTTCCATTTCTTGGTCCATCAATGGGCCTCATGTTGATTTATTACCATCCATGCCACAACCCACTCAAGCAAGCCCCGGGTCTTTTTTGAGTGGCTTGGGCCCACCTAGGCTCGTAGCGTGGTTGGGTGCCAGATAACGGCATGGCATGTTGCTCGGCATATTTTACCTTATCGCCCTTGGGAAGGATTGTTTTAATTTTTAGCATGATTTAATTATATTTTATCATAGCATGATAATTTGTCTATTTAGTGTGGCGTGTGGATTATAACTTGCATGCGATAGATCCTTTTTTTCTTTTCCCTTATGGAATATTGTATTGGGCTGATAATTGTTCGGGCCCAATCCATGGATTTTTTGGGGTCTCAACACCACGCAAGTAATTAACGAAAATTTTGACGATGAAGTTAACGCCGTAACCATATTGTAAAAAATTGAAAAGTTTAAGATATGTAATAGTTAAAATTAAGAGTGCATGGATAAATGTGTCTTCAAAGTAAGAGTTCATGGTACTAAATTGAAATTAACCCAAATTTTTATAGAAAATCCAACTATTTCTTGAAAAAGCGTCTGAGAGTGCTTCTATTATGTAGAAAGCAAGTTATAGTGATTTTTATTAGAAGCAAGCACGTTCAAATTTTTATAAAAATCTAACTGCTTTTTGGAAAAGCCTTTTGAAAAGGTTTCCTTAAGAAAGAAGCAAGCACATGTCATGATTATATTGTTATTTTTGGTTGTCTGAAAGTTATGTTTAGATGCATGAGTTGAATAACAAGCTCATTGCACCATGAAAATATAAGCTCCCTTGTTTGTTTATTTACAACCCTCTTGTAATTTGAAGTAAGATTAGTAATTTGATGGGAAAGTGTGTGAGTGCATGGAGGGCAGGGCGGCAATTTGAAATCGTTGAGGCCCAACGAAAGCCCAACCAAGGGTTGAGGCCCAACGAAAGCCCACCCAACCAAACTATTCTCAAGCAGATTGGCAAGGTCCTATAATCGCATAGTGGAAGAAAACCAAAGAAAAGATAAAGAAAGTGATAAGCAAATCCATCTATCCATCCATCCGCTCACCTCGCTGCAACAACAAAGTTGAACAATGGAGGCCAAGCTTCTCTCTTTCCTCGCTTCAACACCATCCTCACCAACCCACCTTGTCCTCTCAAAACCTACAGGAACAGGACACAACCATATCTTCTCAGGATTCTCACCTACCCGTCCAGGATGTCACAGAATCTCTACACCCATTTACAACAACACTGGCAGTGATGGTGGCAGCACCAGCAGTCCAGAAACTGACAGTAACAGCGTGCCGCAGCCACTGGCACCGGATACCACGGGACTGCGATTTCGAAAGAGGTCGAGAAGGCGGACGAAACTGCAGAGAGAGGAGGGCAGTGATGGGGATGGTGGACGGTTCACAAAGGCTCAAGCTAGTACTAAACCTTCTGCTGCTCCGAAGAAGTGGGAGGATATGAGTCTGGGTGAGAAGGCCTTGGAGCTTTATGTGGGAGAGAAAGGGTTGCTATTTTGGATAAACAAGTTTGCTTATGCTTCCATTTACATTGTGATTGGAGCTTGGATTTGCTTCAGGTTTGTTGGACCAGCACTTAACCTTTACCAGTTGGATGCACCTCCTCTCTCTCCCACTTCAATCCTCAAGGGTTCCTGAGTCTCATAACAGCAATTAAACCTGCACAACATCCAATATGTCACCAATCTTAGAACCCATTTTTCTTTTCTTTTTTCTTTCTTTTCCAGAGAGATTTTGTATTTCTGATTTTGATGTGATGATAATTCACCATCGTTTCACCTTTATAGTAGACTTGGGTTGTCCATACCAATCTCAGCTCAAAGATTCAACATAAAGGAGAAGCTAGAAATTTGTCTGTGTGCGCATGTTGTGTTGAATATGTGGGACGAAATGTCACCAGATACTAATTTCCGAGAATTAAGCGATAGAGAATCCAAAAGAATGTTTGAAGGAAAAAAACTAGTTTTGAGCATGTAATATTACTCGATCAATACAGTATACACGCACCCATCCTTTCTATATGAGATGAAACTATGGAGCTATAAAATTACATTCTTGGCGAGCTGAGACTAAGATTGAAATATCAATCTACTATCTTAATAATGTATCACCATGGAGATAACCAAAGGTTATAGAAAACGTTCATCTTCACCTCAACATAATTCAAAATGAATGGAAGGTTGAAACAACTTCATAATTTTGAAATACTACATGACATTGACCGGCTGAGCGGTTGCATCTCTTTGAGTCTTGCACCTGCAGAAAACAAAGGTTCCAACATTCAGAGCAAATTACAACGTACTAATGGAGATAATGTACATGTCTCAACATGGAGCATCACGAAGTACACCCATAAATTGTAAACAGTTGGTGCAATTCTAGAAACACATATTTGCTGATGGGATCAGTGGTACACACATTTGAGATTCCTGTTCTTATTAAAAAGCGAAGCAAAGGAAAAATTGAGAAAGAGGTTTGACTACTCCCAAGGCAAGAACAATCAAGCAACAATCTACCAGGATATATTCCATGCGTTACGGGAAAAAAGTTTCTACGCCATCAAAAGTTGGGATTAAAACCCAGGAATAGGATAAGTAACAAAGGGTATTCATAAAGGGGCGGAAGCAAACTGGAAATAGAAAAAGAGGAATCGATGTTTAGTTTAGAATGCATTCATCATGAATTCAACTTAATAAGATTGAAAACTAACCTATTGCAATTTAACCGAGACGCATAATTATGATTGTTGCAATTTGTGCACATCCAATCCCCATTACGCCATTGCTTTGCTCTGCCAAGTCAATAAAATATAAGTAACCCAGACCACAGAAGCTAAATTAAAATTAGGGATAGTCCACAATTTATCCACATTCAAAAAGCTGTGAAACTGAAAACAACAAAATAAACATGAATACTTTAAATTTGTTAACAAGAGTTATAATATACACATATCATAAGATTCAAATACCAAAAAAGTTATCAAACCAACAGAATGTGACACCTATTTATGCAAATGTAAAAGGAAAAGGTGATTCCAAATTTACCCTTTGCCAAGGAGTGTAGGTGTCGTTGTTTGCTGTGTCAATGGCATGAGGACTTGCAAATTCGGAGCCATGCCTGAGCTTACACTGGGAGGATATGAAGCATAAGGTCCAGTTACAGGGTTAGCACTGGTGCCTACCACTTGCTCAAACCCAGGATTGGATTGCTGATGCCCAACTGTCTGCATCAGTGAAAAGAATAAGGAAAGGATGAGGAGAAGAAGAAAACATTGACATTGTATGTTATTTACAATGTTATAATCTAAAATGTCATAGAATAGATAAATCATACTTACACTTCCTACGTTCAATCTCTTGTTATCCCAGTCATGAACAAGCTCTTCCGATGCTAATCGCTTCGTTCCAAGAGCTTTATAATGGAAATAAATGAGCATTAGTTACAATTTATGATGCCAGTACTTAATATTGAAACCCAATAACAGTAGCTCAAGTGCTTCTAAAACATAAATCTATGATAACCAATTGCCATACTGATCAAGAAAGAGTGTACCTGGTGGAAAAGCATTGCATTTTTTGCACTGCAGATAAATCACAGGTGGATCAGATATCAACAGTCAGGTAATGAACAATTTTTTATTTGAATGCTCATGTAGTGTCATCATACCTGTGTTCGAGACGAATAATTGTGGAAACCGCAATTGCATAACCAGTCACCGCTGCGCCATCCTTTTGGAACTGAAAGAAGCTGATTAGTAGGGTTTGAATATAGAAGTCCAGCATTATGGTTCCCACCTACAGACCAAGAAGAAGGTGGCTGAACTCCGTATTTATCAGCCCCTGCCATAGACCAGTTCAGAGGAAGCGATTGTTGGGGAGCACCATTGCCCATTATTCCGATATTCATCTTTTGGTCCAGTCCTCCTTGGGCCCTGGCAAAATAATGTGAATAAGTTGGGAGAGAAGCTCCAGGCATTGCAATCGCTGGCATTGCCGCCACCTCCTTTGGTTGCCCACACTTCTTGCACTTCTCTCTTGATGCATAATTGTTGTTAGTGCAACCTATTGATCCATTGCCATACACACCCAACCCACAATCCAGCCAGGAAGAAGAAAGGAAGCCATGTATACGCACACCAACCAGTCCATCCCACACCAAAACACACATACAAGAAACAAAAACCACTCAACCTAATTGATAGCAAGTTCCTATTTTTTCAAAATGACAAAAAAGTAAAAGCAACGAAATACAAAAGCTGCAGGAACAACAACTATGTGCTTTCATTCAATAAAAATTGCCAATAAATCATGTCACTAGCATAACCATATAAGAAAACGTATACTGTTGTGAAATTATAGTGAATGCAGCTGGAAAAAAGCTGTCGATTTGTTCACTAGGAAATTGAGAAAAGTAGAGAGGGGTGATAATATTTGAGTTTTAATTATTAGAAAATTAAGCTCCAGACCAGTATTTCATCCTTCCCCTACATTCTTATTTACAAAACAGAGCATGTCACCCAACTGCCATACTGAACCACTATCTGCTCTCAACAAAACACAATTAACGATTTAGGAATATCACCCTCTTTCTCTTGTTTAAGTTTCAAAGATTGAGACTTTTAATCAAACTTAATAAAAGGTCACTGAAGATGGGTGCCACGGAATGAATTGAACTAAGGAGATGGCATTCTCAGCTAAAATTCTCAATTATCAACAAAAATTGACCCTAAAACTATATTAAAGAGCTGAAGTAGCTACTATTATGCGGGGTACAATTCAAACAGAACCCAACGTGAATACCCTTAAACCCCATAACCTTAAAAACCCATATCCCTGAATTATCCAAATTCCCAAGAACCCTAACCATTTAACATTTAAAAAATTAACGCACACGTAGAGAGAAGAGAGACAGACAGACAGAGAGAGAGGTGTGAGGTCTAACCGGTACAGATCCAATCGCCAATACGAGGGAGCCATTTGGAGTCGGCGGGGGTTTTGGTGTCGACGAGAAGGCGAGGCTGCTTGCAGCGATTGCAGAAGGATCTGAAGGCGTAGTTTCTGTTCCTGCATCCACTGCATTCCCAATCACCTTCCCTTCCTTCCGCCATTGTTAATTATGAGTTTGAAGTCTTACTATTCACCTTGCTCTTCTCCTCTTCTTTTCTCTGTATCTATAAATATTCGTGTCTCTGTGTGACTCACTGCGTGTATATAATAAGCTAGAGCTCCAATGGTAGAGGAGTGAGGGCACAGGGATCGTACGGACTACGGAGCTCTTCAGTTGCCAGTGCAGCTCACACCTCTCGCGCCCTTGACCTCGATGGAAGGATAACTTGGCCCGTTTCGCGGCACCACCGTAATTTGCTAGGCTGGTCCACATAGGATTTAGTTGACTAGGGCCTCAGGGCGTTGAACCTGAAGGTTGAAAAACTTTAACCAATCTTCTGTGGCCCAATATATATTTTTATTTTTCTTTAAACAAAAATAAAGTTTACATTCTCTGGCCCAAGAGATGTAACAAGTTTGATGAGTATACTCATCATGAAAAAGAGCTCTCAATTGACCCACAATTGACCGAGGAAATGGAGTTTACATAAATATTTATCATTGATCTGTAAATATTTTAATTTGACATTGTAACATAATTAGGCAATAATTTTTAAAAATTTAAGAAAACCAACATATTTTGAACTTTAAAGAATCAAGATGACATGAGTTGACATCTCAAGCAGAAATAAAATGATCTTCATCCAAATCAAAATGCAAGCCTATCCCTCAAATCTAGTAGAGAGAAATTTGTGCATGATTTTGACCATTGGATAGACTTTACTTTGATCCAATGGCAATACTTAAGTAGGTATGGGCCTGGCATAAATTGCCACATGTCAAGACACAAGTGGAGGTTGTCTTGCCACTCATCATTGCCAAATGGCAGGTAAGTACTCATCCAAGGCTGTCTCTTCCCATGGAGTTGGAACAGGAAATGACAAGGCAAAGCACAATCTAATCATCTATCATCTCTTCCGGTTTCAAAACAAAGGCCAAGCTGCACCTGGCAGTTTTTGGCCCTCTGCCTCCCCAACATAATGGCATCATTCTTCGGCCACATCTCGACCTTCCACGCAAACCCCCACCCCACCAATCCGACGGCGCAGCCGCACTCACACATGCCCTTATGGACTCTGTCTCATCTCCAAGCCTAAGTCCAACAAGTAAAACAAAGATCGAATTTTGTTACTTTTTCTTTTCTGGGTCTGAAAAAAACAATCTGATATAGTCTTAACAAAGCAAAAGCTGAAATCTTGTTGAGAATGGTTGAAAGAAGTTGTGCTCTTAGTTGTGTAAATGGAAGAGAGATCTGAGAAAGCTGCTCAGGAAGGGTCAAAGACAGAGAGATGGTGCTGGCGGTTAATTCTGTTAGTAACTGTAGCTCTGGTTGCCACTATGGCTGCACTCACTCTCTTGAAGTATTTCAAGCATTCCAATTCAAGTCGTGTCTCGGGTCGCCCCGGCCCCATAGTGCAAAAATACTCAGAAGCTCTTCAACTCTCCATGCAGTTCTTTGATATCCAGAAATGTAAACAAACCCAATTCTCCAATTCTTGTTTTGATTTTATTTTTTTGGTTATAATAACTATGCATGTTGTTGATGTTGTAGACTTCTTTGTTGTTGTTTGTAGCTGGTAAGCTTGTGGATAATCCGATTCCGTGGAGAGGGGATTCGGGGCTCCAAGATGGGAGTGAGGAGGATTTGGATTTGTCAAAAGGACTGTATGATTCAGGGGACCTCATCAAGTTTGGGTTCCCCATGGCTTTTACTGCAACTGTGTTGTCTTGGGGAATTCTTGAATATGGAGATCAGATGAAAGCAGTGAAGCAATTGGATCATGCCCATGACTCGCTTAAATGGATCACTGATTACCTTATCAATGCACATCCTTCTCCCAATGAGCTCTATATTCAGGTCTAATTGCCTAATATTTTTTACAACAACACAAGTATCTGTCTTGCGACATAAGTTTGATAAGAGAACATTACCTTTAGCACGCATATCTCGATAGTAACTTATTAGAATAAACAAGGTTCAAAAGTGTGCTTAGACATTATTTGGTGAACAAATGTAATAACCCGAGCAGTGCTCTAACACAATTGTATGGCTTTTTTTGGGGGGTGAAATTAACCTTTTGAACTTGTTTATTTATTGATTGCTTGTATGTGGTTGAAGGTGGGTGATCCTGACTTGGACCACAAGTGTTGGCAGAGACCTGAAGTCATGACAGAGGAAAGGCCTCTGATTCAAATTAACACATCTTTCCCAGGAACAGATGTTGCAGCAGAAACTGCAGCAGCTATGGCATCAGCATCTCTGGTTTTCAGGAAAATCAACTCCTCTTATTCGAAGTTGCTCCTCATGCATGCCCAGCAGCTGTTTGCTTTTGCTGATACTTATAGAGGTTCTTATAGTGTCAGCATACCCCAAGTGCAGACTTACTACAACTCTACGGGATATGGAGATGAACTCTTGTGGGCAGCTACCTGGCTCTATCATGCCACTGGAGACTTGACATACTTAAAATATGCAACCGAACAGAATGGCCCGGCATTTGCTAACTGGGGAAGTCCATCTTGGTTTAGTTGGGACGACAAGCATGCTGCTACTCAGGTATATATTATTATAAGCAGTTCTTTAACTCGTTTCCATTTAGTTCTTCATATGGTACTTGAATGTTGAATTCATGCCAAAGTTGTCAGATGTAGTTTATAAGCTCAGATTATCTATATTTATAGTCGTCCATTTTGTTGTTAAGATCATCAATATAGCTCTTATTTCTAATGATCAGTAATCATATACGTTGTTGCTAAGAATTGTTTATACAAAGTAGTATATGCTAATTTCATCTGCAAGCATCAGGAGAGAGAGGATACATCTAGCTGACTCTGCAAAGTTCAGATTATGCTAATATTTGTGACATTTTTGGGAGCAGGTTCTACTGTCCAGGATAAGTTTCTTTGGTACAAAAGACATCTCATTTGCAGAGAACATGGACCTTCAAAAGTACAGAGAAACTGCAGAGGTCTTCATGTGTGGACTTCTACCTGATTCACCCACGGCCACATCCAGCAGAACAGCCAGTAATTTTTTCAGTCTTTTACGGTATCAGTGAATCTGTGTGTGTGTGTTATGCTGAACGACTGTGTGTGGGAGCAGACTAAATTGATGAAGTTCTATGTGTCTTGTGATATAGGTGGTCTGATATGGGTGATAAAATGGAACTGTCTGCAGCATGCTGTGGCTTCAGCATTTCTAGCCGTTCTCTATAGTGACTACATGCTTACATCCAAGACTGAAGTGCTGTATTGTGATGGGAAATTATACAAGCCTACCGATCTTCGTAACTTTGCCATCTCTCAGGTATTCAATCTGTTGGCAATAAGTTGTAATAGTTTTGAATGGATTCTGGAGACTGATTCATCTTTTGATGTTTAAGTAAAGCCCCAAAGTTACTGTCTCTCTCTGCATTAATCTGACCAAATTACTAAATATTCTTCAGGTAGATTATGTGTTGGGAGAAAATCCAATGGAGATGAGCTATCTTGTTGGGTATGGGAGCAAGTACCCTCAGTATGTGCACCACAGGGGATCTTCAATTCCAGCTGATGCACATACCGGCTGCCAGGATGGGTTTAAGTGGCTGAACTCTTCCAATCCCAATCCAAATGTAGCTGTTGGTGCTCTAGTTGGAGGCCCCTTCCTGAATGAAACCTATATCGATAACCGGAACAATTCGATGCAAGGTGAACCAAGCACTTACAATAGTGCACTCATTGTGGCCCTCCTCTCAGGCTTAGTTACCAGTTCTTCAGTTGCCAAGACTTTCTCATAGAAGAGCACTCCTATATTCGCTCTCATTTTTGTACAATATGTAGCCTGCAGGAAATCCATAGCTAAATAAACTACATGTAAAATGCCATGAAATAGCTGCTCCTATCAGTTAAAGTGTTTCAGGTAGAGATTGAGGTGCTTGATCTCGTGCTGGTTTTAGCTAGGAACACCAGACTGGTTTGCCCATTTCCCTGAGATGTAAATATGAGTTTTCAATGAAATCAAACTTGAAAGAATTTCAATGAATGCCATCCCATAACCCAAAATGCAAGCCATTCTTCATCTAAAATCAAATCAAACTTGATAGATACATGAACCGTGAAGAGCCTTTAAAGAGAGACAAAAAGTAACTTTAATCCCACATCAAGTCCTTTACCGCCCATGTTGTCAATGTAAGCAATGGATTCTTCTTGCAACACACAACAAAGAACATTACGAATTTACAACAATATTAACTTAATAGTTTTTTCTGGTCGGATTAAAAGAAGGGGATGCAACACAAGGACCCATTCTACTCTCGCCCGAACTCATTAACCCATTTTTTTAAAAACCTTTTTTGTTTGAGTTTCACTAATCTTTTTTCAATACAAAAATATATGAGGCCTACCACTTGACTTGAGCTACAAATCACAGCCTCAGAGTTAAATTCACTAATCTATTACATAATATTTTTTTTTGGTTGTATTTTTTTCTTTTTTGAGCTTGTTGCTCAAAAGTGAAGGACCACTTAACCCAACATAGTTACTTTAATAATTGAATTAAATCCTATCCATGATGTAAATTATACTGGTCGTCCTATAAACATTTTTTCAGAAAATTCAGGTTTTTATTTGTTTATTTGAAAATAGAAAAAGAAAGAACACAAAAGCGAAGGGTGGACAAAAAAGAAAGCACCACAGCTGCCCTTTCCCTCTCACATTCATTCTTGTTATTATTGCCATTTCTTACCCAAAGAAAAAAAAACGGTGTGCTGGACGAGACGAAGACGGCACCAGCACCAAACCTTCAGCTCCTGCACTCAAACCCCGTCAAAATCCCTTGCCTTTTCCTCAATTCCAAAGGTCTGTACTCATTTCTATCTCATTTTCTTTTTTCGGAGCTTTGGTTTGGCTTTAATCGTTCATCTTGTCGTTCTCTTTGCCGTGTTAGATCGTAGCTTTTATTTTGTTTTTGTAATTACGTGCCTGTATCAGTTCTGTTTTGTCACTTTGTTTAAAGTTTAGGCTTTTTGTTAAGATCGGATTGTGCTTGTATGCGATTAGTCAGATGAACTATAAAGCCAAAATTGACGGAATTATCAACCCAATGTGATAATAAGGGTTTCATTTGTTCATTGTTACAAGATTCTGCTGTTAGTTTATCATAATTTGAGTTTTGTACCGATATTAATTTCTTTATTTCCCCCTCCATTTCTCAGAAGTTAAAATTTTTTGAACTGGAAATAGCCTTAGATTTATGATTTACACGTTGGATCTTCTTTAATTTGTGTTTTTTGAACTTATTTTGCATAGGCCTCATAGAGGCATAGTTGAGGGATGCATTTGAGTTAGTGGGCTGTTGTTTGGTCATCTGAGTTCATTTTTGAGTGATGCTGGTTAGTTAATAATATGATTTGTACAGCTTTTCAGGAAAATACAGAAGTACCCAGGTGATAATCACCCTTTTTTTTTTCCTCTTTTGATGAACTAAAAAATTTATTATGCATGTTAAAATTTATTTCCGAGGTCGTGGATATAGCTTTATTCAACTTTAAATCTCCTATCCTGTCTCTAGCAACGTATTAGGATCTTTGCAGTTGAGTGTGTGTGTGTGCATATAACCAACGTTGCTTGAAGTTCAACTCTACATCATGCAGACATCCCAGCTTTTGTGCGCTATAATATGCAGCTTGGGTTTAAGATTTTTTCCTGTATTGAGTGGTGAACGTGTTTAATATGCTTAAGCATAGATTTGCTTGATTTGGGTTCATTTCTGCTGCTTTGACCAGAGAAGTATGCCTCATGTTGCAAGATGGAAACTTGATATATGGCATATGCTATTAAACTTACTCGTACATATTTTCTCCTGTTATTAGTCCTATTTGAGTTAGCAGGCACCTTGTTGCTTATAACTTTGTTTAACCTTCATAATGTGTTATTCCTTTGAAGGATCCAAAGGTGGTTATGCCTTTGATATTGAACTGGTCACTTTACAGTATATTTGAAAGTTTTCATTTTCATTTTGACAACTTTGAACAGGGGATGGCAGCAGAGGAAGATGTTGAGTTGTCAATGTTGAAGTCTCAGCTGAGCCAAACGCAGGAAATATGGAAGCAGGAGATGGAAGAGCGCCAATCGCAAGTGGATGTATTACAAAAAAAGCTTATGGAGGTGAAGGTTTGTATAGAGGGGTCTGAGGAAAATTCGAAAAAGGAACTAGAGGTTCTTTGGCGGAGAGTTAAAACTACCGCAACGCTGTTAACATACTTGAAATCAAAAGCAAGATTAATGGCTGTTCCTCATTTAGCGCATACATCATGTGGCATCAAACAATTAGAAGGGGTGGGGCTTGTTGATAAAGATGGCACACCGTTGTCTGGTTGGTCTAGGAATGTTGATCTTTCTTCCTTTGATAGTCCAGATGAAGACACTTGGATTGGGATTAGTAAGCAACATGGTCCTCTGGATGAACAAGATGCAACTTATATTGGTGAACTACTTAAGTCTGTGCAGATGGTTACAGATGTAATGGAAGCTCTTGTCAAGAGAGTTGTACTGGCAGAATCCGAAACTGCAATTGAGAAGGAGAAGGTAACTGTTGGTGCGGAGGAACTTAAGAAAAAGTCTATCCAAATTGAGAATATGTCTTTGAAGTTAGAAGAGATGGAACGGTTTGCTCTAGGTACAAATGGTATTCTAACGGAAATGAAGCAGAGAGTTGAGGATTTGGTTGAAGAAACATATAGACAGCGTCAACGAGCTGCAGAAAATGAACAGGAGCTTTGTCGTGTGAAGCGGGACTTTGAGTCTCTAAAATCATATGTTAGCAGTCTCATCACTGTACGAGAAACACTGCTTTCATCAGAGAAGCAGTTCCAAACTATTGAAAAGCTGTTTGAGCGGTCAGTATGTTTTGTTCTGCACTCAACAGATTTTCATTCTTCTCAATTATCAAGTGCTTGTTCTCCTATCATTTTGTTGGTTATGCCAGATTTTTTGCTAGAATTTCTTTTTTGTTTCTTTACTAGGTTGAGCCCTCCCTTGTTTCACTGTTGCTTGCATCTAGTTGTCCTGGCAGTTATCACTGATTGAGTGCTTTGCTTGGCACTGTATTGTTCAGATCTTGCTGGTTGACATATCAAGCATGAAACTACCAAGCACTGATTTAGAAATTGTTGGTTTGATCTATTTAGGTGCTGAGTTTTCAAATTCTTTTAATTGCTTTGGTCATACAATTGATTGGTCTTCCGGAAGTTGGAATTTCTGGAGCTATTTTGCAGATAATAAAATGGGTTTTTAGTCTGGTATTATTAGATCATTTGGTCAAGAAGGTAGCTTTAGCTTTTGCATACGGGCACACTCATGCGCTTGCATGTGTTGTTCTTATGTTTTTCAGCAGCAGCAGTCATATGTTTATGCCTGTGCAGTAATCTGATGCCATCTCATCCCTTTCTACATCCATATACCCTAGATGGAAATGTTTTGTTGTTTTATCATATGATGTTGCTTTGAAACAGGCTAGTCGCAAAAACAACACAGTTAGAGGGTGAGAAAATCCAGAAAGAGACAGAAGTTCAGAAACTTATGGAAGAAAATGTGAAGCTGAGTGCTCTTCTTGACAAGAAAGAGGCCCAACTTCTGGCCATGAATGAACAATGCAAGGTGATGGCTTTGAGTGCTTCGAACATCTAATCTGTTACGCTCGCCTGCCCGGTGGTTGATGTCCGGTGGCTTGCTTTGCAACACTGTTTGGATCAATCCCACCCGTCCGTCAACATACCAGAAAGAAAACAAGGAATGAGCGACTCTGGATAGCAATCTCTGTCTGAGACCCTTTCTTTCGATTGTAACATTGTGAAGAGCCCCCTTGAACTCATTATCTAGTTGTGCATTTATGCTGTTGTTTAACCGAACGCAGAAAATCGTACATTAATTGGAATGCAAATCTCATTTGTTAATCAACTGAATATGTTCCACCAATGCTGCATTTGTCGGATAATATTTTAACTAGAAATATTTTATATCAAGCGCGGTACTTGACTAAGAATTCAAGTATTGAGCAAGGGGCATGTAGCATAAGTGGGTGGTACTTGGCTAAGAATTCAAGTATTGAGCAAGGGGCATGTAGCATAAGTGGTTACGAGAAATTACTTCAGCCTTCATTTTGTATTTAAATGATCTCTTTTCAATTTTCTTTGTATCAAAAAATTTAAAAATTCGAGTATTGAGGGTCATGGTAGCCCATAGGGCGCTTTTTTCTTTGTTTTTTTTTAAATCGTGTAGAAACAAATGTTATATTCTTTATTTTTTTTACTAATAATAAATGTTATCCTTTTATTTAGACGTCATCCAATACAACAACAACAAAAAACACTGTGGTCAAAATTTTTGTATTTTCGCATGGAAAAATAAAAGAGCTCGAAATCCCGCTGAAAATACCCAACCAAAAGCAAATGAACTAAAACCCTAACCCTCTTATACCTCCAATTTGCCCTTTCTGATACCCAATTTGTGCCATACGAATTCGCAAAATCAAAACCCTTTTGTGTTGTGTGCGTTCAACTCTGTGTTTTCATTGCTCTGTTTGAATTGACAAAGACGGAAGCTTGAATTTTGGTCACAATGTCAGTCAGAAAAGTAGGTGAAACTCAGCCTCAGCCTGAGGAGGGTGGTTCTGCACAAACGTCACAGTCAATCCGCATTTCCAAGTCTGCTGAAGATACCGACAAGAAGGTAGTCCATTCTTGTGCTGTTCGTGGGCTAAAATTTTTGTGGGTTTCTATGAATGTAACTATGAGGCTGAAAATTTTGAATTTTTCACTTTGTCTTCTATAAAATCTATCCTTTTTCTGTTAGTTTCTGCAGTTATGTGTTTCTGAGTTATTGAATTTGAGGAAGCAACGAGCTAACGTTAAAAGATTTATGCATTTGTTGGTTCCATATATTTGAATTCCATGTTTAGGTCTGACATTTCGTGTTCATTATGCCAATTTGTAGCACCCTCTATTATATTAGATAATATGAGGTTTGTACTGTGGGGCTAGAAGACCCGGAAAATTTGTTTAGCTGTAATCAATGCCCATCTCCTTTTCTTTTTTCAATAAACACTTATGATGCTTTTTTATTTGGATTTTCATAGGGCACAAACAGGAGACTTAAGGATGTCGAGATTTGTGTGCCAATAGTTTATGGGACAATCGCATTCTATCTTGGTAGGAAGGCCAGTGAGTAAGTATTCATTTGCTTGGGTCCTGTTGTATGCGTTTTTCTTTTTGTAGATTATTTGATCATTTTCCTGTATTGTTTTCTGTTATTTAGGTCTCAGTCCCATAAGTGGACGGTTTATGTTCGTGGGGCAACAAACGAAGACCTTGGGGTGGTGGTAAAGCGAGTTATATTTCAATTGCATCCTAGTTTCAATAACCCTATGAGAGTGGTGGATTCACCCCCATTTGAATTAACAGAATGTGGTTGGGGTGAATTTGAAATTTCCATCAGTCTGTTCTTCCACAGTGATGTCTGTGAGAGACAGTTGGACTTGTGAGTTGCATATTGTGATATTGATTTCATCTGCTTGAAAAGGCCCACAAGGCAGATCAATAATTACTGGAGCTCATATCATCTGCAGGTTTCATCCTTTGAAGTTATATACTGAAGACGAATCTGGGCCCCAGTCAACCAAGAGACCTGTTGTTATGGAATCTTACAATGAATTAGTTTTCCCTGATCCTTCAGAAGCCTTTGTTGCTCGTGTGCAGAACCATCCAGCTGTTGTAGTGCCCCGTTTGCCTGCTGGTTTTAACTTGCCTAATCCTGGTAAATTTCTTGCATTGCTGGTTTTTCAACTCCTGCTTCTTACATTCCTTTGGTTTTAAACTTCATATGTTGACTTCTACAGAATCGATTGATTGCGTGTATGAAAAGGGACGAGGGGACACAAAAGATCATCCCCTTAGTCAGTGGTTCTTGAATTTTTCAGAGCCTGATGAGCTCTTAAAACTTGCAGCGGCTCGTCAGGAGGTTAGAATTGGTTGCTATCTCCTTTTCTTTTTGAACTAATCAGTGTGGCTTCGGCTCCATTTGTACTGCGTTTATGCCTTGTAAAATACTACTATTTTTGAACTAACATATTCTTGACTTATTACCTCCCCACCCCCTTTTCACCTGTTAAGAATGAAAACACTCGTTTGTTTTATTTTATTTTAATTTGTTAATATAAGAGCTTGTATGATCATGCTTATTGGTGTCATGTTAAGGCACTGCTGTCTAGGCTTACTCGCTAGAGATTACATGCTATTACTAGCTTCAATGTCGGGCTGGTCATTCTGAACTGCTTCTCTTTGTTTATACTGTATATGTATCCTGGCTAGGTCACTCCATTGTGATCAAGTCTTGCTGGTTGTCTTGTGTGCCCTGCGCTTTCTTGAATGCATCTGATTGAGTTTTATCTTCTAACTTCTTGTTTTATTTATGGCTTGGTGTCACTAGTAGCTATGCCATGTTGCAAGTACTGTTGTCCTTGTCAATTCTTGTGACTTGTTTTGCTCTTTCTCGTAACATGTGGTCAAGTTTGACAAGTTAATACCAGGTTATTGAAGGATGCCTTATGTGTCCTGCACTATCTTGAATGCTTCTGATTAAGTTTTATCTTGTAATTTACAACTTTTGTTATGGGCTCAGGTTTCACGTGTAGCTATGCCTGATTGCATGTGCTGTTGTCCATATCAGTTCTTGTTGCTTTGGTCTTTCTTTATGCCTGTTTTACTGGTCTTACTTCTTGACATTTTCTTCAACTTCATAGGTGCAAGCCCACATTGTTAACGTGAGAAGAAAACTGAGTATGTTGGATGGAGTGCCCCAGCTGTCCAAACCACCCTCTGGATACGAATATACATGATCAGGGTAGATTATCCTTCAAGTTTCCGCAGCAGTGTAGATCGCGGAAGGCCTAAGAACGATTATTGATGTAAACATGTGTATTGTCGCAGTTATGGGAATATCCATTTCGTTTAAATCTCTCTTTTGGAGCTAACGGAAGTGAAGTGTAGGAACAACATTGGATTGTACCCAGCATATCATCAGGCAAGAATTAGAAGTTTATGTGCATGGACGTCTATGAATGTAAAAACATGTATGAATGTTCTTATGCATATGTGCAGTTGTATGTATATTTTGATTAATCCATTTCTGACGTTGAACTATCAGAAGCCATTTGAGATATGACTTAAATGAAAATGGACGATCCTCGGTTCTCACTGCTAGTACAAGAGATCAAAGATGGATTGAACTGATCAAATGGATGACTCAAATTTGTTTACCTAACTCAGATTTGGTCTTGTGCTGATCGGTTTTCACGGAGCTTAATTTGTTCAAAAACTTGTGCTGATGCAGAGTAACGAATGTCATTCCATTAATTGAGTGTTCAAAAGGACTTTTGAATGTAAATGCAGAGAGATGCATGCATGCCAACGCTGGAGAATTCTGACTTTTGATGCATTGATATGTAAATTAGATATCTTTCATATCCCTACTTTAAGGTAAACTAGATGCCTAAGTTTTTCTGAGATGACTAGATTGGTAAGCTGAAATGTCAGCAACAGTTATGATGCTGTCATCAAATTCAAGCAGCCATCTGTATTTTGTCTCTATAAGGTTTCTTGAAGACAAAAGTAACATGGCCATGGTCCCTGCCTCAGTGACGATGATATGGCCTCTACTGACTCCAATTCAATTCTGATCTTCGTATGCTCTATCCGTATATATTCATATCCACAACATGGGTAGCCGCATATATAGACATTACCACCACTCTTTCTATTCAATCTCACGTCGAGACTGCGACTTGTTTCGTTGGTATTGGAATTTGGATCTCAATGAGTTTTCCCCAAAGGACACAACTATTACCAATAAATCACTCTACCCCCTAAATTCAGTTTCTGAATTCTATAATTTTGAGAGAGAAGCGAACGGACATTGATTGAAGGACCGAAGTGACACAAAATTAAAAGTTGGATAGCACTATAGAATTCTAAAACCTTAACTCGAAGACCAAAAAAGTGAGAATTGAGTAATTGAGGATCTAAATATTAAAATTGGTTCATGATGTCATGATACGAATTTTGTGACTTTGTATGTACGTATATATGTAGGAATCCAGGACAATCATTTGGAATGGGAAAGAAAACAAGAGAGTGAAGTTGCAGGAAGACAGATGGGCATGCTGACCTTGAAGCTCTGAGGATGGCTTTTTGAGAGCCTTAGAACATGGCTTAATAAATTCTCCCAAAAAAGTGAGTCAGGTTAGAGATATACCGTGTAAGTTGAAACTGGTGGTGCTCATTTGAAGAGGAATATATGTCCTCACATACCAGCTTCCTTTGTATATATCTGTATGGTCTGGTTTTTGTTTTTATCAAAATCCCACATGGGCAGTCTTGAATGGTGAGACATTTCCGAAACTAATTGCACCTCAAGGAACTCAAGTTGAACATGTGCACCCTACAATTATCTGTCATGGATTTTCACGTAAGAATTCATATCTACAAAAGTTGATAATGTTTGAAGAATTTAACCTTTTTTTTATATTATATATATATATATATTTAATTTCTGGTTCTGAATGAGTTTCAGTGCCAGAAGGCAGCAAGCAACACCAATAGGTGTGAGCAGTTTGCTCCCCATTTTGGCGGCCTAGGGCAACTGGGCTGACATTGGGAGAGTCATAAGGGAAGACTGCCCTTTAGCTGTTGGGCAATATGGAAGTTTGGTATGTTTCTATTTATGTGAGTTTGTGTAAATGACAAACAAGCATAGAAAAAAAGGTGAAACAAAAAAATGTGAGCATTTTGGTCCCCTAAGGAGAGACGCAATTAGTTAGGGAACTGGATTTTTAACCATGGCTTGTAGCCCTTACACCCATTTGTGGGGGCAATTTTGCCCATAAACCAAATATTCATTCCATTGAAGTAGGGTTGTTCGGACGTAATGAAAATAGCGAGTATAAGGCGAACTGTAAAATTAGACGTTTTAACTTTGAATGTTTATTTATATAAAGACATATCCACATGACACATGTACTTAGCGGGTAGTTGCTTATAACCTTTATCAAGATAAATCAAAGTGGGTTGTGGAGATTTTCTTCTTTAGCCAAGAAAATATATAGAAAGTGAATGCTGCATTATTTGGACCCCCTTTCACAAAAAGGCTTCTATTGCATTTGCCATCCAAAATCTGTTCCGTTCCTGACAGATTTTATGTTGGTTTTAGGTAGCTGGGGTTGTTTTCCCTTTTATTATAAAGAGTTGTGATCCATAAGTAACTTAGGTTAAAGCATTAGATGTGATGTGTATCTAATTAGCATTTGATCTAAGAGCTGATAAGATATTATTATTATTATTATTCAAATTAAATATTTAGTCGCTTATAATTCTATCTTCACAGATCATACTTTTAATATTTTATTATTTTTATTTTTATTGTTTTTGTGATTTTAGTAGGGATGTCTATGCTAGAGTTTTTTCGATCCTACGTGATCGTTAGTGGAGGCGCACTAAATTATCTTAATTTTGATGTTAGATCGCTCCGTTATTGTAATGGTTCTATGCGACTAGTGTTTTTAGCTAAATTATGAATGCAACCCTAAATTTTCTCAACTCAAAAGAAAATAATAAAAAAAGAATGGTAGCCCATTCATCTATTAAATAAAATACAGAGTGGCTTTCTTTTTTGACCAAAGCTTGGACTGTACGTACGTACCCAAAAGTTTGCCAAACAAAAAACAGATGGCAATTTCTTTAGCTGGTGGGATGCAATGGTGTGACAATGAAATGTAAAGTTTACTTTTATGCATCACCTCCTTTTTTGAATCATTAGAAAAATACAGGATATGTCGAGGAAATTGACCTTTATTAATGAAAGGGCTCTTTCATTAACCTTTAATCAGGTTATTATAATGCTAATCTCTTTGAGTTTAGGACTAATTTGTAATGGATGGAACACTACGTTTCTGCATCTTTTAAAAGTTGATCGTGTTTGTATTTTCCTAGATTGCAGATTAATATGATATTATAAAATATTAGAAGTATAATTTGGACTCATTTGGGCCACGCAGCAATAATATATGTACGCATTCTTGTCTTCATCAATAGTTTTGAAGACACATTCTAATTGCGGTTAACGGGTTGAAATGGATGACACAGTTTGAGAAGGACAGAACCATATCCATCCACAAAGACATTATAGATTTTTCTTCGCCCAGGGCACTGTGCTTGACAGCAAAATTGGGACAAATTAATTCATTCTCAAATTTTCCGAACCTCATATACTTGCAACGGGTACATACGCAACGTAGCTTTCTTTTTCTCTCTCGTCATCTATAGTGATACATGACAACACGTGATACGTGACAACCCTATTATATGTAAGTTTTATTTTCTTTACAAATGTGAGTCGTGTCTTTATTAGAGATATACTATATACAAGATGATTAGATAAGACAGTATGTATAACAAAATACACGTACGAGTAAGATAGAAAGTAGTACAAAGAGAGAGAAAGAGAGTGGGGGCCCATGGTGTACAATTAGAGGGAAGCAAGGGTAGGCCAAGCCCCAATGGGGTTTGCTAGCTAACTGCATGCCCTTGAACACTATTTTCCCCAAATGACTTGTGAGTTGTTCTTAGCCCCCACATCTCACATGGCTTTGTTTTCTCTCAAACCAATTCACTCATTCCCACTTTGCCCATATAAATACCTCTCCACCCCTCCAATCTCCACACCAGAACATCACACGCTTCTCTCATCTCTCTCTCTCTCTCTCTCTCTCTCTCAACCAAGTAAAACTATATTCAAAGCTAGCAAGCAAGCAAACACAAGTTTACAAAGCACATCACCCAAAACACAGAGAACATGGCAATCAGCAAGAAGTCAAACAAGCTTCCTCAAACAGCAGCTCTCAAGCAGATTCTGAAAAGATGCTCAAGTTTTGGGAAGAAAAATGGTTACAACAATGAAGGTGGTCTTCCTGAAGATGTGCCAAAGGGGCATTTTGCTGTGTATGTTGGTGAAAACAGAAGCAGATACATTATCCCAATTTCATGGCTGGGCCATCCAGAGTTTCAAACTCTGCTCCAAAGGGCAGAGGAGGAGTTTGGGTTTAACCATGACATGGGCTTGACTATTCCTTGCGAAGAAGTCGTTTTTCGCTCTCTGATGCATCAAATATATTGATTTCATTGATTGATCATGAAGAAAGGAGGGCTTGTTGTTTTTGGTGTCTGAAACAAATATTTGCAAGAGAGATGAAGCTAATTTGCTTGGCTGGCTACCTGCTTCATTCATTCTTAGACGTCCTTGATTAATTTGTATTATAATTGGCGGCTCTGACCGTGATTTATTAACTTTTTTTTTAGTGATTATTGTATATTGATACTTATGATCATGTAAGCAGTTTTTCTTCAGTGGTGGTTACACTCAAATCAAAGAATTCAAGGGAGCTCCTCCCAGGCTCTCCCTTTTCCAATCTCTCTCTCTCTCTCCTCTCTCTCTCTCTCTCTCTCTCGTTTTTATTAATTAATTTATTTAGACACCTTAAGATGATCGATTAAAAGATGGAGGACATGCAAATCCATGATGAAAGTTGACTGGTTTTATGGCTTAGTTTATACAGTGGTTAGCATGATATATATAAAAGGAAAAGATCGACTATATTGGTCAAGATTACTATTCAATCTTCTATTCCCTATTCTTAATTAATTCATTTCAAACTTGCAAGTCCAATTTGAGATATCTTTTTAGTTGTCTGGTTTAATTAAAATATAACCTGAATAAGGAGAAGGGTTTTCCAACATATATATATATATATATATGTACCTTTAAACTCGGGGGAGAAAATCATTGTTCTTCCTCCCCTTTCCCCTCTTCTCTTTTGTTAACAAATAAAAAGGGGGAAAACAATATTGTTTTTACATGTATTTCCAGTAAAGGGGAAGAGAAGCTCTATAACTTTTATCATAATAAGGCAAAAACTTAATAGTAATGGAATGCAAAAACCCAAATTTCCTGGAGATTGAAGTTGTTGGAGTTGGAGTAAGGGTTTCTACTAATTAAGGCTGTGTAAAAGTTATGCATATGTGAAGATAGAGAATAAGTTTATATACCGCTATGGAACTTTCTAGAGATGCAATTCTTCCATGATGGTAACTCTGGATTGTAGGTGGTGACATATAACAGCCAAATAATTGCAAGGCTGTCCATAATTTCTACGGCTATTTGCATCATTTTCATAAATGAAAAGTAGTTTGAACTAGAAGCTCATTTGAGAGTGATTTTGGATAGTCTAGAATTACTTATGTGGAGAAGCACCTCTCACTTGTTCCTTTTTTTATGAAACCTCCCATGTGTTTTTTTCTCCATATAATCACTTTGAGTGATTTAAGAGATTCTGAGGAAAAACATATCTCACGTATATTAATTCTATATGTTAATTTCAAGTAATTCGTTTTCATCTAATTTCCATATGTAATAGCATATGTGTTCGTCAATTACAATTTTTACTAATTGTAATTAGTTTATACTAATAACCACAAGGTTGGCACTAAACAAAAATCCTTGTTGTAGTGCATGCCTCGGCAACGTTTTTACACAAAGCTTTGTACTTATGTGCTAGTGCTAGTTGAAGACACCCACCACACGACATAATCTATATAATATTATTTGGTTTTTTCTTGACAATATCGTACAATCTTCAAGTACCTACTTCATATAATTTGTGGAAGTGACTTGTTTAAACAAATCCATTCTCCCCTAACTTTTCTTATTATAGATTATAGACCCTAATCCCCAAGTGCCAACCACAGACCAGTGTCATGCTCCACAAAGTCTTCTTCAAAAAAGCCATGAAAAAAGATATTGATTAAGAAACCAATTAATTATACGTGGAGTCGAACGCCACATAAAGATTGCAAGAAGTAGTAGCTATTCAAACCAAATACCTAACCTGTTTTTAATGGTTTCCTGCCATCATGCATTTGGGTCCACGATATTAGAGATGTACTCCACCAGTTTTTAGCCTCTGATCTTTATTATTAGTGACGCCATATGCTTAATAGGACTCCATTTTTGTACGTTTGAGAGGCACATGCAAGTGGGTCTCGTTGTCCACTTTGGCTGGTCTTGGTCATTATGAGACTCTTAATCACGCTTTAGTCACTAGATCCCGCCCGCCATTAATCACACTTATCCGGTTACAATCAAATCATGCGATTTTAATTAATCAAATGATGATGATGATGGATTATTGATTGATACGGCCATGCACAGTCCTGCACAATTTGGAGGGTACAAATTCCTTTTCATTCCCTTAATCTCCAAGATTCCAACAAATTGCGTTTCCATTCGTATAAGCTTTATTTTGGAGAAAGGGATTGGGAGAACTACCTAACCTTGTGACGAAGGGGACAAAGCTCACATGAGAATGTTGTGATCAACGAAAGAGGCCATAATCTTTCACATCATCTTTTTCTTCAAATTAAAACATCCCTAAAAGATTTACTCCTTAACTATTCGCATTGAGTTTTCCATCCATGTCAATCAACATTACATACGTACTTTTTTTTGCATCCTGTCGTACAAAGGCGGAATCAAGAATTTTTCAATGAGTGGGCTAGTTAAAATTTTTAGCTTAAAATCTAATTAATTTTTTTTTATATAAAAAAAAATCTTACCTTTGTAGTGTGAATCCCTAAAAATTTCTTGGCATCAACTAAATAAGCTTCATAAATGCAAAGTGCAAAAATATAAATAATTAAGTTTTCTTTATATATTAGTTGTAAACACAAGTATAATAGAATTTGGTTAACATAGTGTTCCCTTCTTGAAAGAGAAAACATATAGTTTTGTAGTTGATGGTGAGCCATACAAGCTTTTTTTTTCCTTATTAAAACATTTTGCCATATAAGTACCCAAAAAAAATGACAGTAGATAATTCCAAGAAAGACTAGTGGATGCGGAGGTCAATGGTCTGATTTTCGACATCCAGGCTGCGACTAGAGAATTTCAAGAAGTGATTTTTATTCATGCCCCTCGCAACGCAACTGTAATAAAGCTGCTCATGAGGTTGCATCTTTTGTAAGTAAGATTTTGTTCCTCCTGAATGGCTGTTTAATACCTTGGCTACTAATGCCAAAGTCAGCGTTCGGTTATAATAATATTAGTTCTTTTCCTGGAAAAAAAAATACCAAAAAAAAAAGAAAAAAAAAGGCAGCATACTTCTTGTAGTAGATAATTTTATTGTTGTTTTTTTCTTCAAAACTTTCCTACAGCCCACCAGTCTTGGCTGTGGTTCCGCGCTGCCGTAATAAATCACAAAAAATCTTAATCAGAGCATCATCCACACCAAATTAGGGTTCCTATAAAGATAATAAAAACGAGAAAATTAACGTTACTGAATTTAACACATAGAGTTTGTCATTTGTCCAAATGGGGTTTGCAATATTTTTTTTGTATATTTAATTGTAGCACAGATCATGAGTGGATTAATTGGGTGAGGAGGTATTCTTGCATTTAACCTTCCCATCACTGGATTATTTTGTGCCCCCACCCCACCCCGCCAGCACAAGAGAATTGAAAAATCGTAAGAAAGAAGCCAACATTTTAGATCTTTACCAACAAAACATTTAAGGCTTGAAGAATATGAAGAACTAAAATCCCAACACACATGGGTGAAGAAAGCTGAATTTGCATGGAAGATATTAGTCAGCTCGTGAAGCTTTTCTGGTACAAGTCTCTTTTTCGTCGACCTTATGCATAATCAAAATGCTCTGAATCTGACATGGGGATCTCCCACATAAATTTGCTTAGTTTGGATGCAAGAACAGATTGTGTTGAGAGGTGGGTCGGCTGAGATTAGTTTGTAGGGTAGACATGTTGGGTTCATAAGCACCAAGAGTAGATAACTAAACCTGCATATGCTCTTTAGTTCACATGTTTTTTCTTCTATTTATTGGAATTTGGGGTTTAATTTTGAGTGCCACACAACTCCCACAAACCAATTTTGTATCTTCACAAGTGGCCAAATGAGGTGAAGGAAATATCAAGAATGTCTCCTAGCCCACACATGTTCCTTCGGGACACAAACCCTAGCTAGTCTTGTTATTAAAAATTTCATTTTGCATTTTTCTTTAATTTGATACAAGCGATATTAGGGGAGGGGAGAATCGAACCTAGAACCTCGGGTGTAGGGGTAACTGCTTTTAATGTTTTGTTTTAAAGTTTCATGAAAACTTAATTAGTGTTGAGCACTTTCTTTCTTGGGTGCCATTCCAATAAGTTTTCTTTTGCAAAAGGTGGATAGGATGAATAATTAAGGGGATGATAGTAACATTACTTTAAAATAACGATTTGAACATTCAAAATAAAATAAAATATGAGTATGCATGAATAATTATTCATTGATCATTAAAGCTTGTCAACATATACCACTTACAATTCTTTTGATCTTTGTTTTTAGTATTTACCAATCATCTGAAAAGTTATACTTTGGGCCTAGAGTTCAAGAATCAGGTTTGGGTTTTATTAAACGATCTACCGTTTTATGGGCCATTCCATTATGAATGGTTCGTCAATTGTGCAGAGTGCGCAGAGAAGTTAGGAGCTCAGAAACAAACATAAGCAGAACAAAAACACTTTCTCTAAAAAATAACTTTCATTAATCTTAAAAAATTGCCCGAGTCATTGGAAAAACTACCTACCTACCCTGTGTCTCGAGGTCTCAAATTTACCCCAAGCTGTGCACAAAACTTGTGTAGAAAAAGAAATGAAAAGATGGGCCAAATTTGCAGGATTTTAGCTCCATTATTCACATCCTTCCAGTATTAAACCCAGTTAGTTTCATTCTCTTGGCACTATGGGCCTCCATGATACTGCCAGTCGGCCATTGGCATGACGCATCATGCTGGAAAGTGCAATTAACTCCATTACGGCATCCCCTAGAGCTTTTAAAGTACAAGCAGGGTTTTCGATTCTTGCAAGGTTTCGTTTCTCCTCGTTTAAAATTTTGAACCATTTTCAAGTCTGTCAAGTGATTATGATTGTTACCATTTTGTGCAATAAATGGGTCCTGGATTTCTACTCCATGTTGCATAATGAGGTTCTTAAAGTAGTTCACATCCTTCACATGTCCGGCTTCTTTGGCTGGGAATAGTGGTAAGGGAGCTCTATTTGGATCATTCATTGCACTTAAAGGGAATGGCGGTAATGGAGGTCTGTTCGGTTGAGTCATTGCACTTAAAGGGGGTTGCGGGGGTTGTGCTTGGTTTTGATTTGGCAGGCTAGGCAACTTAAAGAAGTTGGATTTGGGGCTGGGCAAAGGAGGCGGTGGTGTTGGTCGATTCAACCTGGATAGTTGAACATTATTTGGCTGATGAGGGATTGTATTCAAAGCAGTTCCCACTGTACCTGGCATAGGGCAGAAGTTTCCACCTGCAGCTGTCCCTTGCATATCAGATTTTGGATGAGATGAGGGAATTGATGGAACTAATGTCTTTGGCCTGGGTGCAAGTCCTGCATTGGCCTGTGGTCCGGATTCATTACTCAATTTCTGGATCATTTTTGGGTCACTAAGAATTTTAATGAGCAAACCAGTATCGACCAAACTTCCCTTCTCAGTGCTTTTCATGATTGCAGTCAATGCAGCTGAAGCAGCAGCAGTCACGTCCGCGTTAAGATCAAATAAGTTTCCTAGTACAGGTTGATCACTGGCAAGTTGCTGCAAACCAGGAGAGTTACATTTAGAAGCTTTTGATTTCCCAGATGCCAACAGACCTTGGTGCAAGATTGGTGGTTGACAACCTACATTGGTATTCACTGGAGTTTCCAGATCAAGTAAATCTGGGGACTCTTCTTCAATTGGAGTATCGGGAACAAAAGGAGTGAGGCTATCATCATAATGCTCACCCTCTACATCCAAAGAAACCGAGGGGCTGTGCCAAAAAATAAAAATAAACAGATGATCAGGCTCAATCATATAAAAGAACAAAAAGACTACGAAATATAATTCTGGATACAGGTAGAAAGCTTACTTAGGAGGAATTGCAGAAAAACGAGGATAAACTGCTTCAAGCACTCTCATCTCTCTAGATTCTTGAGACTTGGCTTCCTCACTTTCCTCGCCAGCTGCTACTTCCCAGGTGGGACTTATGACAAACTGTTCAAGTAAAATAAACATATCAACATCTGAATTCAGATTACAGACCAGATATTCTAATCATATGCATGCTTAATCATAATTTAGCCAGATATTCTAATCATATGCATGCTTAATCATAATTTAGCAAAGATCTAACATCTACCCACCTTGGAAGGACGTTTCCATTGAATCCTCGGGATGTGGGGAAGTTCCACTTTTGACTGGCCCACAGAAAAACTGCCTTCAAATCCAGGGGGAAAATCATTTTCCGCAGGAATTGAATTCAACATACTTGATGCCTTTGCTTGAAGATGATCTTGATATTTCAGGCCAACTTTAACAGGACAATCCTCAGAAGAGAACAGCTTCACCTATTTAAATGCACAACTTGGTCAGTCACAATGAACAGATGAATGATAACAATCAGCAACATTTACCACAAAAAATTGGAAAGATAATTTTAATAAGAAGAAAGAATGATCATATTTTAAAAACCAGATTATATGCAGCATCTACATTAGAGATTGACGACATTATATGCAGTACGGCTCATCAAACCTACACACTAGTTGTCTCCACATTTTATCATATGGACATTCTTATTAATGATTTCCAAGGCATTCTACACATAGAGGATATTTAGATATCTAAGGCCAAACCTTTTTCCTTTATACACTAGAGGCTATATACCATTATATGAATCTCAGGCAGAAGCCATGTTTTAGTATTTAATTTCTGATTAGAGTGGACAATTTTGCTTTACATAAGACTTCAAACACATGGATTTCACCACATATGTAACATCTTCTGGCTATATGACACATGAACACACCCTAACTCCAGTATCTGGATGGTATCACCCTAGTTTTCTGCAACTATTAGCATTATATCCTACACTAGGTAGTGCATTGCAACTATGTATTTGCAACTATGAGTTAAGAAGAAAATTCCAAGACTCCATCTTATCTTCGAGGGATTAGACACAGTAGATTTTTCCATCATAATCAAAATTTGGGTTCTACAAGCTCAGGTAACTGACCAATCAGTTAGTGCTTGCTTTATTCAGATATTATGTATTATGTACTCTTATGTAAAAAAAACAGTGGCATGAGTAAGATAGGGAATCTTTTCTACTATTTACGTATATGATTATAAGTTATAACCTTCAGCATACTAAATTACGACAATATTTTCTTAATCAGGAACCTTTTACTCTTCATTGGACAACTACCCTCACCCAGGTATAAGCCATCTGAAGTTCTAAAACTTTTGAAATTTCAATAATACTTTATGTAAGTCTTGCTGATCTTAAATTTTGTTGATCCTATCCTTAAAATAGAGCAGTTTCTACATGTTTTGGATAAATTTTTGTATGTGAGGGTAACACCTCAACGTGGTGTTACCAAATCACCCAAGTTATAACACGTGTATATTTATCATACCCTAATGTATAAACCCATCGCCAACTACGTGTATATATGCTGTTACCAGTACACCCAAACTATGGCACGAGGTGGCCAACGAGTTTATACTTTAAGGTATAGTAATTAATGAATATATATGTGTTATGACATGGGTAGATGGTAAAACCACATTTTGGGTGTTACATGTTGTAATACGGGTGGAAGACAACACCACATGACTTCATAGATTACAGACATTATAGCAAAAAAAACAGATTTGGTAGATATAGTTCTGCTGATTCTTGTAATAACTTGTTGATCCTAATTATAAAGACCAGCAGAACAGTTTCGATAAGATCATCAATCGATTTATCGGTCCGAAGGACTTCATCAAGTAAGATTTTATAACAATCAAAAATCAGAATAAATTCTTTTGATTCTTGTGATAACTCTGTTGACACTTAATATAGAAAAAAGAGTTTCTGCATGATCACTACACTTTCAATAATATCATTAATCGATTGATGTGGCAGAAGGACTTCATGGATTATAGGTTTTAAAGAAGTCCAACAGATTTACCACTGGGTGGCATGCAAGAAATAAGTCACAAGGACCAGCCTTAAGACCACCCCATCTTCTTGCCAATCAATCTGTTTCGAAGGAGAATGAATATCGAATCTCTCCGTTTTAAATTTTTTTATTTGGTGTCAAGATCTTTTCGTTTATTCAAGCTCTGGTCACACTGCCAATATTGCAATGGCTTTTTCTCTTTTTTTTCTCTTTTTTTTTGGGTAGTAAATGTCATTGTTGTATAAATTTGTTGCCCAGATTTCTGGACTCACAATTAATTAAGTAGCTTAACAACAGAACGAATTTTCAATGAGTTTATGATGATGGTTTTAAATGAGCATCCACTCTTTCCTTTAATTTGCCAATCGAATGTAATCCAGATTTGATTTCTTAAATAAAGTAGAATAATAATAATAATTACAAATAATAAACAGAAGCAAACTTTAATCAATCAAGTTGACAGGTATGGTTTTGTGATTAATTTAACAGGGAAAACTAATGGAGTATTTTCTGACTTGCCAAACAGAAGAATCGAATGAAATCTTATAAGGTTAAAACAAATCCAGAACCACCTCCAATCCAATCCAATCCAATACGAAGAAGAAACAAAAAAACCTAAAACAAATTGGTGGTTCAGAATCAGAACTGAGAAGATCAGATTTTAAGATTTTGCGATTATACCTGACAAAGATTGGCTCCAGAAGCCCAAGAAACTGAGTTTGAAATCCTCGACCGCTTCATATTCATTCTCATATCTCAAAAAACCCTTCCCGCTTCAATTTACCGATATAAAATTCCTACTAATCCTAGATTAAAAAATAGCTATGTAAGATTTGTAAAATCGTAATCGATCTGGCTGCGCAGATCTTCTCGAAACCCTAGGCTGCAAAACAAAGAGCAATGCCCTAATTTTGATACCGAGAGGAGAAGAGGAAGCCGATGCGTTTGCTTAATATGAGAAGAGCGGTGGTGTTCTTGTATTATTGGCAGGTTCGAGAGACAGCTTTTTGTTCGTTTTCCATTTTCCTAATTTTCCGATTTCAATTATGACGGCTTATTTGGTATTTTACAGCGCACGCATATGGTACGCCTGGCGTATGGTATGCGCTTGTGCTTTTCTGGCCTGGTCCGGCCTTTCCGACTTTATTTACGGATAGGAATTACAATAGGATTATTTGCAATGCATTTAGTTTACTAGCCCTGTCAAAAAACATACTCTATATTAACTTCTTTTTTATTTTCCTTAAAATCACCTCATCGATTCCACTTCATTCGAGTTTGTTATATTATTTTGTCAAAAGAAAATAAAAATCGACCAACGGGATATATCTCAATGAAAAAAATCTTAACTTGTAGACTAAAGATTTTATATTTAAATATTTATGACACTTTGGCAGTGTGTGAGAAAACTCTACCCTTCTTTCCTAATTTTGGAAGAAAAAAAAAAGAGTCCATGGAGCTAATATTTTGCCCATCGAGCTGCATCCCCCACATCTGGCCCAATATAAGCTGAGACCATTACTCCAAGGCCTCGTTTGGTTCATGGGAAATGAGATTTGAGAATATAAATTCAATTGCTTTCCCATGTTTGGTAAGTCCAGGTATGGGAAATGGTTGCCTGGCACATGAGAAAGTATGGGGGGAAGTGAAGCCCTCCTCTTAACTTGAATTTTGTTTTCCCTCCTCATGAGAACGTTTTGGAAAATGAGCTAACATTCAATGCACAATTTTCATGACTATTTTGTCCCTATGAACAATTTATAATTACAACATATAATTAAATGCATTCTTTTTTTTATTTGATTTAATATGGGTATAATTGGAAAATTATACAAACTTTGTTTTCCATTCATACTCAAAACAAACATGGGAAAGAAAACAAAGTGAAATCTCCCGGTTACTTTCCCGACATTACTAAACATGAGAAAAGAATCTTTCATTTCTATTTATTGAGAAATGATATGGGAAGTGATTTCCCTTCAAATCCATTCCGTGAACCAAACGGGGCCCAATGAATTTTTAATTGAGCAATGGATTGCATGCTTACCCTATGCTCACGTGAGATGGCCAACTGCAAAGGCCTAGGCGATTGTCCACAGCATCTCCATTTCCTATATGTTTTATAGCCAAACTGGAGGCTATTGAGTTGACCCACAATTTACTCATCAATCAGTATTAGAAGAAGATGGTGAAGACACCACCATACTTCGTTGACGGAGCATGTAGTCGAGGGACTCCAACAATCTTGAAATTGATTTAAGAAAGGCTCGTAAGGTAGTCTTTCAATAGCTGAATTAAAAAAGGGTGAAATAAGACTCAACAAATAAAATTTAATTTTATATATTTGATTTTTATTTATTTATTTATACAAGTGTGATACTGGGAGAGGAGGAATCAAATCTAGGACCTCAAATGCAGAGATAAATATCCTTAGCCACTCTTGGCATATATATTTGATATTTGAATTTGTAATAATTTGACACCATAAGAATAATGGTTTTAGTACCAATTTTTTTTTAATTAAACACTCATTATTAATGATACTTGAACTTGTGAGATTGACTGCACTAACCAATCGAGTAATGTTACTCTTACCGCATTTGTATATCACATTCTTATATCACCTTACGTGATAGATAAAGTGGATAGTCACATTAATTAAAAAGTGTCAATAAATTATAAAAGAAAGAAAATGCTAAATTAATTTTAATTGATGTGGTTGTCCACCTCATCAGCCACATAAGGTGGTATGAGAATGTGATATATAAATGTGGCAAGAGTAACATTATGAGGAGCCCCAACAATTAGGCGCCAAGTATCAAGACAAGTCTATTTTAAAAAAAAACAAAACAAAACAAAACAAGGAGTATAGGCGTATGACTGTACTAATTTATTTATTTTTTTAAAAAAAGAGGACCCTCTAGCAATCAGGCGCCACGTGTCAAAAAAAGTATAGTTGGCCTACTATACTATTTTTTAATTTAAAAAAAAAGTAGTATAGCCGCCCGGCTATACTATTTAAATACATTATATTTAAAAGGAATAGCCACACGACAATAATATTTAATTTTTTTTTATTTTATAAAAAGGACCCTCCTAGTTGAATTAGTTTGTACTTTATATATATTAATTTGCTAGTTTTAACATATCCAAAGTACATATTAATTGGCCACTACATAATATTTTAATATAATTGTTATGGCATATATTATTCTTATTCAATAATATGTGAGAATTATTTGTATAATACGTGAATTTTGTGTGTCTTACTGAAAATTTGTAAAATATACATGTACAAAACATTAGAAATACACACGTATATGTACAATATGTCTATTGTACATTCGCTATTTTAAAAAAATGAGACGTGTATAGAACACAAATGCATTATTGAAAAATACGTATGTACATATATATATATATATGTATATATAAAAGACTTAGCCGCTCGTCTATACTATTTATTAAAGATAATTATATATAAAAAAACCAATAAAGCAACCCGCCTAAACTATTTTTTTAAATATAAGAAAAAAATCGCGTATAGCCGCTCGGCTATAGTATATCTATTAAAAAAAACAGAGCAGACGCACAGTGCCTAGGGGGCCAAGTGTAAAATAGTATAGCCTATCGGCTATACTGTTTATTAAAAAAAATTAAAAACCTCAGTATAGCCGTTCATTGTACTGTTTTAAAAAACTATTTTTTAATATAAAAAAAGATGTCCCCCAACGATTAAGCGCCACGTGTTAAGACAAGTATTTTTTTTAAAAAAATTTCAAACACGGAGTATAGCCGCACGGCTGTACTATTATTATTATTATTTTTTAAGGGACCTTCTGGCGATTAGGCGCCACATGTCACAAATCGCAGACGCATGGAGATTATGCTCAAAAACTGAGTATAGCCGGCTATTTTATTTTTAATATAAAAAATGAGTTCCCCTACTGATTAGGCGCCATGTGTTAGGAGAAGTCTATTTTAAAAAATACCAGAGAAGCCCTTTGGCTATACTATTTATAAATAAATAAAAAACCAAAAATCGGGTATAGCCGCACGGCTTTATGATTTACTTTTTTGAAAAAAAAACAGAGCAGCCGCACAGCGACCAGGGGCCACGTGTAAAATATTATAGCCGTCCGGCTATAATGTTTTAAAAAAGTAAAAAAAAACTAAGTATAGCCGTAATAAAAAAAAGCTACTCTTACCGCAGGTGGTAAAAATAGAATTCTGGTTGAAGAATATGATTATGCTGATTTGCTAGATTAACTCAACAGAATTAAATATTTGGCATAAAAATCAAATCAAAGATTAGAAATTTTTAAAAAACGTTAGAAATTTGGCACCCTTCTGACTATCGTGCTGTGGGTCCCCCACCGACAACTCAGCTGGCGCCCTTCTACTAGCCACCCCCACAGTAAAACCGCTAAAAGCGCGTTCCTGTCCAACCAAGCCACCAGACTTGGATCCCTCCCTCCTTCCCTCCCTCTTAAAATCTCTCAAAACCACTACACCCTCCTCTGCACAATCTCACTCCTACTCTCACTCCTCTCTCATTTCTCCTCACAAACCCGACCCAATGGCGTCCGAGACCGACACCACCAGATCCGGATCCGCCCCCAATGGCACCGCCCCGGATCCGCCGGAGCCCCGCAAGGTCGCGCTCATCACCGGCATCACCGGCCAGGACGGCTCCTACCTCACCGAATTCCTCCTCAACAAAGGCTACGACGTCCACGGCCTGATCCGACGGTCCTCCAATTTCAACACCCAGCGCATCAACCACATCTACATCGACCCCCACAACGCCCACAAGGCCCGCATGAAGCTCCACTACGCCGACCTCACGGATGCTTCGTCGCTCCGCCGTTGGATCGACACCATCGCCCCCAACGAGGTCTACAACCTCGCCGCCCAATCGCACGTCGCCGTTTCGTTCGAGATCCCCGATTACACTGCTGACGTCGTCGCCACCGGCGCCCTCCGCCTCCTCGAGGCCGTCCGCTCCCACATCGCCGCCACCGGACGCACAGACATTAAATACTACCAGGCCGGGTCGTCGGAGATGTTCGGGGCGACCCCACCTCCGCAATCGGAGACGACACCGTTTCACCCCCGATCCCCCTACGCTGTTTCGAAATGCGCGGCGCATTGGTACACGGTCAACTATCGCGAGGCCTACGGGCTGTTCGCGTGTAATGGGATACTGTTCAACCACGAGTCGCCGAGGAGGGGGGAGAATTTCGTGACCCGGAAGATCACTCGGGCAGTGGGTCGGATCAAGGTCGGGTTGCAGAGCAAGTTGTTCTTGGGGAACTTGCAGGCGTCGAGGGATTGGGGTTTTGCCGGTGATTACGTGGAGGCGATGTGGATGATGCTGCAGCAGGAGAAGCCCGACGACTACGTGGTGGCGACGGAGGAGTCGCATACGGTGGAGGAGTTCTTGGAGGCGTCGTTTGGGTATGTGGGTTTGAATTGGAGGGACCATGTGCTGATTGACAAGAGGTACTTGCGGCCATCAGAGGTCGATAATCTGAAAGGGGATGCTACAAAGGCTAAGAAGGAGCTTGGGTGGAAGCCCAAGGTTGGGTTTCAGCAGCTGGTGAAGATGATGGTGGATGAAGACGTTGAATTGGCCAAGAGGGAGAAGGTTCTCGTTGATGCTGGGTACATGGATGCTCAGCAACAACCTTGATTTCTCTGGTCTCAATTTGGGTTGAAGTTATATAATGTGGCTTAGTTGAATGGTTTTCTAGAGGTGATACAGTTTGGTAATGGTTCCAGTAATTTATTGTTCAATGTTCTCTGTTCTGACGGTTGTTTTTATTTTTATTTTTCTGTAACTTCATTCATTCAATTTCAGCAATTCTATACTTGAACTATTGTTGCAGTTTATGTTTTTGTTCATTTTTTCTGCTCTGGAGCTTGACAGTTTTGAATAGTGAAAGCTCTCTGGGATCTGCTGGATCTGATCCCTCTCATTTGACAATAATTTGATTCAGTAATTAACTAGAATAAGTTCATTTTGTATAAAGTTTTGTGTCGGTGATGGCAGTTGCTCACGTGGATTGTTTCTTGGTTTATTGGTTAAGCCAAGAACGATGGGAACAAGTAAAAACATAAAATTAAAGTGTGTTGTATAGTGGGGCTTGTCTTGTTCCTACCCTGTCCCTTTACATTTGTATCTTCAGTTTTGGGAGGGAGGAGAGCCAACAGGAACACTTTTGTTACCATTGAAAATGTTAATAAATCACAATCAACAAAGGTTTTGTACAAGAAAGAAAGGATGCTAAGTCAGTCTAACTTGGTTTCGGCAGAAGGTAGACTTCGGTTTAGATCTCTTTGCAGATCAGAGGAGCTTGATTGAAATTCTTGGTCGGCAGTGCCGACTGCAAATGGCTTGACAGATGACCTAAGAGATTCTGGTCCTTCCACTGATATTCTCCGGCACAGTGCATCACAGTTACTAATTACCTCTGTCAGCCTTCCTTTAAGCTCCCCAATCTCCACCTGCAATGCATGAACTGCATGCACATTCCAAGATAAAGTTAGAATAAATTAGGTCATAAGAAGGTATACAGGCAAGAGCAGGTTTTGATGTGAAAATTATAATGGACACATGCTGTACAGCTAATTTCACCATACTCTAGGTCCATCCAGACATTAGGCAGAACATATATCAATTACCTTCAGATAAATGTTGCGAAGACGTCTTCATTGCTGACACTGAATAATTAAAACGTTGAAGAAGTTTAACAGCCAAAGCATCAGCTACTTCTATCTTATCTTCTATGTCTTCCTGCAACAATTATCAACAAACCAAGGTTACGTAGTTCCAGGTGAGAAGAAAGGATGGAAAAACAAGTCAATGTTCCTAATTTGCTGCCAGCCTATAACAAAATTCAGCATAAGCAACACAGGCCTCTTAAAAGCAAGGGCACACACATAAATTGTTCCAAACGTAAAACTTTCTGATTTGCAAGACATAACAACAACAGTGTGCAATTATGTTGGATTTTCACCAACTTCATACCACTGGCTAATACTGCACAGAGAGCTACACTTGAATTTCATGGAAACATCTTCGTTAAGGCAGTCGTTAACTGATATCATACTAAACTGTTGATCCCTTTAATTCTGTGATATTATTTCATCCACTATAACATCAAATGAACCAAGTCTCAGACAAGATCCAATTACATAAGTAACCTCGCATATTTCTTTGTTCCGTGGTGATCCAAATAGAAGGCCTGAAGTTGGCCGGATGGAAGATGCATGAGGACAGGCCAAAGATCAATCTACTGCCTTTGAAAATATGATTCATCACAATGTCTTTGGGAAAGAGGAAGAATACACAAAACCCTGAATCGAGTTCTAATTTTCTCCCTACATTTTAAAATCATTCAATGTCTCCTCAACTTTGAGGTTGTGTGAAGTAACCCCTCCAGCCATCAAAAACTAACAGTGCCCGTGTGGACCATAAAGAACTTAGAGTTATGTCAAACAAACTCAAAATTAACAAGGAATGTTGTATTTTGTTAAAACAAACCTGTCTTTTGCTCATCTTTTGCACCTTCTCTTCCTGCCAATCACGGTACATAGAGAAGAGTTCCAATAGCACTTTTGGGTTCACAATACCTGCAGTGACAATTCATAACAGAGCATTGAATTCCACTTCAAAAGGCAATATGTATCAGTATCAATGTTGCAAAGAGAAAGACACAGCATCTACAAAATTACAACCATTATACTTATAGATGCAGAAATGAAAATTCTGAAGCATACACAATGCACAGAGCACAGGGGCTTAGCTAGTTCAATTGCGTTGTAGGAACTTAATTTTGGGTTTTTTCTTCTGTTTTTTTCTTTTTTGCATCAAAACCGAAAATTGTAAATCACTGAAGCAGCTTACTTGAAACAGAAGACGACGAAGGTTTCCTCACTAAAATGTCAGTCAAGCTACCCTCAGCCGGGGGTGAAGTCAGTATCGGCGTCGACTACAATGAAACAACTCAAAACGTGAATCCAAATGTCGTTTAGAAAATCCAAACACCGATGAACTTAAACCCTAACTACTTGTTTTTTCTTCCTAAATTAATGATAATTTGAAAATAGGAAATTGTAAACTTACAATTTTGAGGGATTTGAGCTTTTCTAAGACGGGATCGGCGACTTCTGACCGCTCAGACACGGTGGTGATTTCATCGGCTGGCCTCTTCAACCATAATTAAATTAATTTGATACTGTAAATGAAATTGAATTCAAAAGAAAAAAGAAACTTTGAAGTTGATTAAAACGCAGAGCTACCTGTGAGCTTGAGAGTGTGGATTCTGAGGCACCCATCGCTTCGCCGCCGCTTGTTACGAACGAAACTCACCGTTTCAGTGGCGCAGCTGAGAAATGAAGCGGTCTTAACTGTTCTACTTCCGAGTACCTTTTCCACGACACAATGTTCGCGCGCGTGTACGGAAACCGCGCAGAATTAGATTTGGTTTTTTTTTGCTATTTTTATGCGTCGCATATTTTATGAATTATGTTGGTGTATACACGTGTCACATAGGTTGAAAAACAAAGTTGAGGGAAAAAAAATTGAAATTAGTAACAATTTATTTTCGCGAACTTTTCTTTAGCGCGTAGCTCCCTATAAACACCTCGACGGAAGCTTATTTGCTTCACAAAACTGAAAACTCCACCGCGCTCCGCCATTTCACAGTCAAATTCCCAAGCTACAATTGCCAAGCCCTAACTCTGTTTCTCTCGGTTGCTTAGGGTTTCTATCCGCTGCGTATAGTCAGCATGAGAACTCGCAATGCGGACAGTCCGAAATCGGTGGCCGGCAAGAAAACACCGCCGGCGAGGAAAACCGCCGCTAAAGCACAACCCGCGGCTTCTCAGTTGGACTTAGAAGCGGCCGCTCCTAAAACTGTCGAGACAAAACGCGTCTCTGCTGCTGACAGAGCTAAGCAGGTCAAGAAGACGGAGACTACACCCCCTACTGCTTCAAACTCTCAAAAATCATCAGGTAGCTATTGAATTAGTTATGTGTTGATTTGTTTCGAATTTCTAATAATTTGTTTTATTGAGTTAGGGTTTAGCCTCTGAAGTTATGACTGCTGCTGCATATAGAAAATGAAATTTGGTACTTAGTGAAATTAAGAACAGTACAGGTACTGGAGTGTAGATATTATATACCTTTTATTACCAATTAAGTTGAAGATGTTGTGAATAAGTCAGTTTTGAATCGCTATGCTTGATTTATTTTATTGGTGGCATGGTGTTTGTTAGTTTCACTTTTTTTTTTTTTTTTTTTTTTTTTTTTTTTTTTTTTTTGTTAACCTCGGTTAGTTGTAGTGAGGCTGAGGCATCGGCTGGTACTGCCAAGGTGACACCAGCCGCTAAAGTTGGTGTAGTGAATAAATTAGTTGCGAAAAAATCTCCTGGGAAAGCTAATGCACCGGCATCAGCTAAATCTGTTTCATCACATACACGGAAATCGGGGGGTTCAGTGAAGGCAAAAGTAGATGCGTTAAACAAGGAGAAAGTGGCAGATCTCAAGGACGTGGAGTTCACAAAGAAGAATCCCATTTCTGAGAATGATGGAAAGTTTGAAAAGGAGGAAAGCCATGTGGAATTTGAAGTATGCACTGTTGAGAATGTTGGAGAGCCTTCAAGGAAGGAAGAATCAGCTGTTGGAGGTCAAGAACCAGCTGTTGAGAATGTTGAACAGCCAACAAACAAACAAAGCGCCAAGGAAGTAGAACCAGATCCTAATGAAAATGAAGAGGATCCTATTGAGGAAGAGGATCCTGTTGAGGAGGAGGATCCTTTTGAGGAGGAGGATCCTGTTGAGGAGGTGGATCCTATCAAGGAAGATGATCCAGTTGAGGCAGAAAAGTCTGTTGTTGGGGAGGTTGTAAAGTCTTCTGAGAATGAACCATATTCTGATGTAAAAGAGGGAGTGGCAGTGAAAGGAGATCAGGAGGAGCCAATGGATAATGGGGATGAAGAGGAGACCCGTGTTGAGGCTGCTAACAAGGTAGAAAATGTCAAAGAGGGGTTACAAGGAGAAGATATTGAGGGTGTAAAAGATTTGTATGATGGTGATGAGCAGATGGACGAGTACGGTGAGAAAGTGGATCTTGGAGAACATGGAGAGGAGGAACTTCCAGAGGATGATGCAGAGGATCCTGCAGAAGAAACTGAGACATTGGAGGATAAGCAATTAACAGCCATTGCAAATGAACGCAAGATGAAGAAAGAACGAGAAATATTTCTTGGGGGGCTTGATCGGGATGCTGTGGAGGAAGATGTGAGAAGGGTCTTTGAGAGGATTGGAGGGATAGTTGAAGTTAGGTTACACAAGAATACTTCAACTAATAAGAACAAGGGTTATGCATTTGTGGAGTTCGAAAATAAGGAGCTTGCAAGGCGTGCTTTGTCTGAAATGAAAAACCCTGTTGTATGGATTTTTCTTTGTCTTTCCTGTTTCATATTCTTATAAGCTTCATTCTAATTGACCATTCTGCAGATTCGAGGGAAGCGATGTGGGACAGCACCGAGTGAGGACAACGACACGTTGTTCTTGGGTAATATCTGCAATACATGGACAAAGGAAGCTGTAAGTGTCATTCAGTATTAATTTAGATAACCAGATAAGTAAATAGGTAACAGAAAGGGATAAAGTTATAAGTATCTTTAAATTTGTATATATGCTTCTCAGGATTGTTCACTCTTTCCTTTATCATAATATGGGATGACAGATTAAACAAAAATTGAAGGATTATGGTGTTGAAGGTGTTGAGAACATAAATCTTGTCCCAGATGTTCAACATGATGGGTTGAGCCGAGGTTTTGCATTTGTTGAATTCTCTTGTCATGGTGATGCTATGCTTGCATACAAGAGGCTTCAACAGCCCGATGCTATATTTGGTCACCTTGAAAGAACTGCCAAAGTGGCTTTTGCTGAACCTCTACGTGAGCCTGACCCAGAGATCATGTCCCAAGTGAAGTCGGTATTTGTGGATGGCCTGCCACCTCATTGGGATGAGGACCAGGTTAGGGAGCAATTTAAATGCTATGGAGAAATCTTACGCATTGTTCTGGCACGGAATATGTCTACAGCCAAGCGGAAAGATTTTGGATTTGTTGATTTCTCAACCCATGAATCTGCTGTGGCCTGTGTTGATGGTATAAATAATATAGAACTGGCAGATGGAAACTCAAAGGTATTCTTGTGTTTTTCTCTTTTGTATCTTCTCTCTCTCTCTCTCTCTCTCTCTCTCTCTCTCTCTCTCTCTCTCTCTGTGGAAACAAGTGATTAGGTTATGTGACACATTGGAAAAAAATAAACATTGATTTTTTAAGCTGGACTAGGCAAGGATAGGGATGTTCTTTAACTGCTTTACATAGATGCATGAATTCTTGTATACACATAGACATGCATACCTTCCTACATGCGTACACACACAAGAGATGAGTTTTTACTAGTTCCCTGTTCTGATTGGCCATTGTTTTCTTCAGACGTGATTGCATGTCCTGCATGGCACAGAATTATTAGTTGAATAACATACTTTCTTACCTATTTTAGTTTGGTACTTACTTATGTTGGTTTTTGTAATTCTAGATAAAAGTGAAAGCAAGACTTTCAAATCCTTTGCCTAAAACTCAGGCTGTGAAGGGTGGAATGGCCGGTGGATTTCGAATTGGTGGTGATGGTGGTGGTGGTAGTGGTGGTGGTAGTGGTATCTTTCCAAGATTCGGTAAGATATATGTTTATTTGTTTGGTTGAAGATTCATTTTGCTTTGCACATCATTTTCTTGTTGTTACTCTATATTGCTCACAGGGAGGGGTTTTGGTCGCGGTGGACATCATTTCAACCGCGCAAATTTCCAACGTGACAGACATTTCTATCATGGTGGACAAGGTCAAACTGGCAGGATGGGTTTCCCAAATGAATATGACTTCGATTACCCATATGATGAGTTTCATGGACGAGGTTTCTATTGTGCTTATAATCATGTCTTGTAGTTTTTCAGCTCCCTATCCCACCAAAAGTATCTTACTGATTTTGTTATGTTTCTCAGGGGGGAGAAGGGGCCCTTTCATGGGTGGTCATTATCCATCTGCTGGAGGTTCATCATCAAGACCCTACATAGATGGACCCTGGAATGGTGCCCCTGACAGAGGCTATGGTATGCATATTCCTCCTAGAAGGCTTCCATATTCTCCAGAAGGACATTTTGGCAGACTGCCAATGGGGGGTCATTTTGACAGACTGCCAATGGGAGGTCATTTTGACAGACCGCCAATGGGGGGTCATTTTGACAGACCACCAATGGGGGGTCATTTTGATGAACCTTATTTTTATGATGATAACACACAAGGAATAAAACGTCCATTTCATATGAGAGTAAGCTTCCCTTGATGACATTTTGTTGTTCTCTAAGCCTTTTATGCCCGTCCTTATCATATATGTGCTACCTTTAGGACTATGATTATGATTACTTGGAGCCTAGTAGACATCGCCCACGGTTGGATTATACTGATCCAACAGCTTCATTCCGTGGAAACCATTATAGTGGTATGGATTTTATGCTCAGCATTCCTTTGTTTTTCCTCTATTCTCCTGGGCTGTTCATATTGTTAACTTTTATGCCAGTTTACTCACTTAATTTGCTTTATCTTCTAGATACTTATGGAGCTGGCAGTAGTCTCTACTCTCATGATTATTATGGTCCTGAAGTAAGCAATTAATGCTTACGTGACTGTGACTTACTTTACATTTACATTAACATATGATGATGATATCAATTTCATTTTGTAGTATCATTCTGGTCCACATTCATCTTATTATGGGAGGAATCACTCATATAGAGGAGGCCACTACTTTTAGCCTCGAGAACTTTTTGGTAATAGAAATGCTTTATGATTTTAAGTTATAATATGTGATTGTGAATTCCGTATGGTAATGTTCTAATGGTTTTTATTAATTGTGATCAGGTGGCCATGGATCTGCACGCAGGATGTAATTTATCAAAGATGGGCAAGTGGATTGCTGTTAGAAAGAAGTTGAATATTTCTTTCACCTCTCTGTCTTCATCCTACTTTTCCTCATTCTCCATCTATCTTCTTTACTTGTTAGTTGCCTGTTTAGTTAATTTGGGTAGGATTTCCGAAGTTTTGATGTTTATAGTTTAGGTAGTCTTTCAAGGACCCCTGACTTAGAAACTTAGTAATTGTTTGTATGGCAGAGGTTGGAAAAGATTTACTCATCTTACCCTAGGAATGGACAACTTGATGAACTCTGTTATGGTTCTTTTGAAGCTAAGATGCTTCTTTGAGCCCTATCTATAAATAACGGCATGGGCCATTTGTTTGTTGATTACAGTTAATTTTGTGGTTTAGAGAAATCAAGTTCGGTGATTTGTGGGAGATAAAAGGTTTTCAGTTTAGGGTTTTCCCTTTTTCATGGAGATGCGAGGGATAAGAATAAGCATGCTGATGGAGATGAACCTGAAGGTTTTTTTTTAATGGAGAGACAATATGCATGTATTATGGAGTTCTATTCGATCTAAATGAAAGACTTGCATGATTATATGCTCAGAGGTTTTTCTATATTAGGGTAGGCTTCTATATGACATTCTTGTTTTTGGCTGATGGGTGAATGAGGTGGTGGTGTGTATGATGTTATGTGGTCCTTTTTTCTTTATTGAAATGTAGCTCAGGTTCTCTAGCTGTATTTGGCATGGATATAGTGGTTCATGAACATTGTTGCCATGTTTCATCAAACTGTTCTGCCAGAGGTCTAGCATAACTTAATGTTCAGTTTATCTGAGGGATAGATGCTGACACCGTTTGGAATATAAAAATATCAAGTAAATTTGTTTTGGTGTCTATCTGTGAGGAGCATAAGTGATTGATCAGGTCAAGTCTGCCATATGGTGTCCAGTTATATTCAATTTCATAAAGGATTTATTTTGTGGGGGATCCCTGCGAGGAGCACAAGTGATTGATCAGGTTAGAGTTCATTGTTTCTCAGGTGACAACTAGTTATTGCTGAGTAGTTTTTAAGGTCCAACAATTGACTATCTGTGATTTTCAACAAGATAATATTGGACTTTCAATGGTTGAATATAAATTTTTTTCTCTGTAGTTCTAAGCTCTCTGTTGGCAAATGCTGGCCATTTATGATTTTTCTGAAAACCGAGGACAGGATACTGAAAGTGTGTTATTTTAGTTCTCCATTGACGGTGCATTGTGTTTTGTCAGTCAGGTAGAAGCTCAGGATGTAATTCGTTTTGATGATCCGATACCTCTCGGTAGGGCCTTATATTTTTAGGATCATTGTGATTGATTTAGCAAATGTCGGTCATTTGTGACTTTTCTGATAGTGGAGGAAAGGATCCTGAATCCACTGTTCTTAGTTGAAGGTACATTGTCTGCGTCTGTGTGTCAACAAAGGGATATTAGGTTAGGATGTAATTGGTCTTGACAAACTGAATACTTTTCGGTAGAGGTTTATGCCATGACCGACCATTGTGATTGATTTGCCTTGCTTGTATTTACAAACCGAGTGTTCGACTGGTCCGCGTCCTTCCTTTTAAATTATCTGTTCATGCTGAACTGAGAGAATGAACATAGGATATACGCATGCCTCAGTACGATGCATCCTCCGATTTTGATCCTTTTAAGACGTAGCAGGGGCATGGATAACATAGGGAATCTCTTCCTAGATCATATACAGAGTTCTTAGTTTTAGGTTGATGTAGGCTACATGGTTTTTTTATCGAGGAACACGGATAACCGCTGATGCTATATAAAAAGTCTGATGGTATGATTTTTTTTCTGTTGTGCACTTCCCTTCAGAGAATTGCCCCTTTTCTTTTCCCTCTTCATTTCCGTTTCCTTTCTTGTTTTGATTCTGAAGTCGTGCGTTTGTCTTGTCATTTAGCAAAACATAGCTGTCATGTAAATCGCATAAAAAAATAGTTGTCATGTAAAAACTTGACTAGCGTATATATATTTATAATTGTTGATTGGGATGTGGAAAATATTGGTGGACTGGGGGGTGTTCTGTCCCACTATTTTCACCATTGAAAATTCTAGAATACAAATACTTTGCATTTGACACAGGCAATTTCCCCAAATATTGTAGGGTTCGGCGTGGGGCCCATTTTCGAATCTGATCCCCAAAGCCGATTGGGTGATTTCTGGGATTCAGAAAAACAAAAATTACAATTTTATATTTGTAAAAAAAAATACAATTAATTAACTCCATGATATTCTGCGAACATTTTTACCATGTAAATCATGGGAAACAAATGCAACATTACTTTTTTCTTAAATAAAATACGAACATCACCAAAAATTTGAGCTATCAAGATAAAAATTTATCATAGAGGTTTCTGTTTTTATTTCTTTTTCCTATTTATTTTAGTTGTTTTATTTAAAAGAGAAGTTCAATGGATAAGTGTCGTTCCCGCATTTTCAATATCTCTGATCTTATATTTTCAATTTTACTTACAAAAAAGCTAAAATGACAAAACCAACAAAAACATATGTTTTTCTTTCCTCTCCCTTCTGAAAAAAAAAAAACTGTTAGTATTTCCTGCCTCAATATCCCCCTGAAATGCTAACCATTTTCCCTCCTTCAACCCACATTGGAACACACACCTTCTGTTCTTCACTCTTCTCAAAATTTCACTTCGAAATACACACCACACCCGCAGAAAATCGCCGCCAAGAACAAGAAGAAAACACAGACTCACACTCTTTCCCACCAGAATCAAACTCGATAAGAAAACCAAAGCCACGCTGGAAATCCGACATCCCACTTTCTCTCCACGTGTACGTTCCAGATCTTTCATCTGCTTAACTTGTCAATCCGGAACACATCAAATCAACCAATCACAACCCAGAACCTCTTGCCCACAGATTCCTCCCTCCATATAAATAACAATAGGTTCAGTTTCCAGTGGCGTCAGTCGGTCAGTGCTAATTTTCTATTTTCAGAACCACAAAAAACCGTGATGTCAGCCACAGAAGAAGTTCAGGCTCCGGCCGTTGAGGCCCCGCCGGCGGTGGAGGCTCCAGCTACGGAGGAGCCCAAAAAAGAAGAAAAGCCGGTCAAAGAGCGAAAGACGAGAACCCCAAGGGAGAAGAAGCCTAAAGAGCCCAAAACCGCTGCTCATCCTCCATACTTTCAGGTACTTGAATTCGGGGTTTTCAGATCGCGGTTTCTTTCTTTTCTTCATTTCTGTTTCTGGGTTTTTCTTAAATATTTGTGAAATTTGTGCACAGATGATAAAGGAGGCACTGTTGGCTCTGAACGAGAAGAGCGGGTCCAGTCCTTACGCCATAGCCAAGTACATGGAGGAGAAGCACAAGGCGGTGCTTCCTTCCAACTTCAAGAAGACCCTGGCTCTGCAACTGAAGAACTCTGCGGCGAGAGGCAAGCTGATCAAGATCAGGGCCTCGTACAAGCTCTCTGAGGCAGGCAAGAAGGACAAAACCACAGGCAAAACCAAGGCTTCAACAAAACCCAAAACGGAGAAAAAGACCAAAACGACCGCCCCTGCTCCGAAGGCGACTAAGAAGCCTGCGAAGAAGAACAAGAAGTCCACGGCTTCTAAGCCTAAGCAGCCCAAGTCCATCAAGAGCCCAGCTGCTAAGAAACCCAAGAAGGCTGTTGCTTGAAGTGAAACGTGTGAAAAAGTTGTATAGAAGTTGAGAGCGATGATGAATTAGTAATAATTAAGTTGAAGGAAGTTGGGTTGTGTGTGTTGGTGTTAGGAGTTAGCAGGTGCTCTGTTTTTGTTGTGAATATGTAATCTTATGTTGGAATGGAATGGAATGGATTGGAACTGAACTGACTTTGTACTAATTTGCTGGGTTTGCTCCTCTCTCTCTCTCTCTCTCTCTCAAAACACTCTTGGCATTACAAAACACAATCATCTCATAAGAGGTTCCGTTTGGTTGCAATGTTATGCTAGCTAGATCATAGATTTGGTTCGTCTATGAAATTGGTATGCAAAATGGGTCTTCAAGAGAGCCAAATTGGTGTTGCCTTGGCAACTCATGCCACTGGGCTCTGTACCCTGTAAATTGTGAAGCTGCTAGTAGCTCGTAGAACTTTCCTATTTCTAAGTGTTTCCACATAGGGAATTTCCAACTTTATTTATGTCTTTACTTTTTGGTCACTAGTTATCTATAACACAATAAGCACAAGCTTTTATGGGTCAGCATAGATGAACTTCTTCTCACTCTTAAAATAACTTCCTAGTATGTCCTAAATTAATCTCAATCCGAAAAACCCTAGTCCCTCTCTCCCAAAACACTCCTAAAGCCATTTTCACTGAGGGGAGGAAATCACTATTCTTCCTTCCCTCTCCCCTCTCATCTCCTCTTCTTCCCTATCGTCTTTCCTCATTTTCAGAGACAAAAGGTTTTTCCTATTTGTCTTCGTTTTATGATTTTCCTCTAATTATCATAGACAGTTGCGTCTCGACGTCGAACCTCCACTTGCATTTCGATGTCGGATCTCTACCTGCGTTTCGGCGTTACATCTCCACCACTATCATTTTTACAATTTCTTTATGTTTGGAATAAGTCACATTGACTCTTTATGTTCTCTGTGTAGTTTTACCTCTTATTTTGTGAGAGCCTTTTACATCTCCTTTGTGAGAGCTTTTCACATCTCATTTGTGAGAGGTTTTCATCTCTCATTTGTGAGAGTTTTATTTGTATTGTTATGACTTAGTTTTTTCAAGCTTCATCTCTTTGATTGTTCTGAGTTTGCAATCTTAGTTGGGATGCCCATGCCAGAATTTCTTCTATCATGCGTGATCGTTAGTGGAAGCGCAACAGATTGTCTTAATTTTGATGTTAGACCTCTCCGTTATTGTAATGGCTTTTGTGTCTAGTGACTTTTTTGGCTAAATTATTAATGGAATCTTAGAATTTCTCGAAAAAAAAACTAAGTCCTAAATTTGCATTCTTAGAATCAAAGTTGAAAACAAGGGTTACCTGCAATGAGTTAAAGCCCAGTCCACATTCCTTACATTGTAAAACTAAGCCCATCAATCATTTCCAGTCTGCTCACACCCAACCTCTCCAACCTCTTCCCGTGATTTGGAGCCCAAATGTAAAAGATTTTTGTTAGCATATACAATCACAATGGATAAGCTACAAAGGATATAAAGCATAGCAGGGAGTGGCAAACAGTACGAATCACTTTTTCCATCACCATGTTGAATCATTTTGAGAAAAAGTCTGGCTACTCAATAAAAATTGATCTAACACCGGCTGCAAATGCTTTCCTAGCATTAATTCTTGCTGGTTTTACCCAATTAGATAACTAGGATTGCTACTTTTTTTTGCCATAGTCTATGCTCTATGTAGGTTTCCATAGTCAAGTACTAGGGTTCGGTTGACGGGCACGCAATCCTGTTGAATGGTGAGGAAGTAACTAGAAAATCGAAGAATAAAAATTAATTAATGTGTTGTGACTAGTCAAAACAAATCTCAAAAAAAATTATCTCGACTAATGTGATAATGTTTCTTTTGTTTTCAAATTACAAAAGTTATATCATCAGTGTGAGTGAAACATTATGAGATGAGAGTGTAGTCTATTTCAAGTCGCTTGACTAATTAGAATATAAGATAACGTCATATGTTCACTTCACATTGAATTGAAATGTTCATTCTGTCTTTCTTTTTTTATGGGACTGAATCTGATTTCATTAGAAACCCCAAAAGGAGCAGAAACAAAATAACAAAGCTTAAAACGATACAACATATACAGAAGCAACTAAACCTCAAAGGCAAGGCTAGACAGAGAAATATCGGTGCTACTCTATTTGATTTGTGAAATATTATATCGATCAATTTGGTTTGTGAAATATTATATCGATATGGCATCTCTCTCTGATGAATTTGGAATATGATCATCCCAACCCAATTGATTGTTATATTCACAAGGCTGGCTTGCATTTGCTGCTGGTGCCATCATAATTCGTAGGTATCATTGTTGTCCAAAAGGCAGCTTGTTTTTTGGTCAACCACTATACTATAATTGCTTTCATCTTCATCCATCACCTTTCTCACCCTGTGTCTCTTCCACTTTCAAAAGCTAGCTAGCTTAGCGCTATAGCTTAAGACCACTTTCTGGCCATAAGCTGATTAATCTGATTAATTAGCATATAATATGTGCTTTTGGCTTTTGGCTTTTGGAAATGGAGACTATTATTTATATATTCAAGAAGAATCAACATGGTTTTCACTGCACTCATTTGATGGAACGTGGTGTGATGTTTCCAACAGCTCACGGTCATGGGGCTGCTCTGAATGTCACATTTCTGCAACGGGGTCGGCAAAAGGTAACCATTTTGGCTATAAACTACATAGTAAATTGGAAACCCAATATGCCACGTGGCTCAAATCGGTGAAGGAAATCATGTTTCAACTGGATTATAAGTAACTCATCATGATTAGGAGGCCCTGTCTTATACAACTCACTTGGCTTTGTCAAATACTGGTTGAACGGTTGCAGACAAACACTATATAAAATTATCTCTCAGAGGACAATAATAGGATAAGGTTTGGAGTTGTTCCAAAAGGGCTTTTAGGGTTTTATTCAAGTTAGTGATAGTTATACTTTATACTTCAATAAAGAAAAAACCTAAAAAATTTAAGACAATGTGGCATAAGAATCATTCTATAGAGCGCATTGGCATCATATAATAGTTTAACAAACTACTAGCACTCAAAAGATTCTAATCGAACTCAGGTATAAGAGATGAATACACAGTACACTACCATATCCAATTGGCGTAACGAACACATCTGCTAAAGAATTTAATTTCATGATATGAATAACTTTCTGGATAATCAAATCATTCCTAATTAGATCGCATAATAATTAATATTTACATGCTAAAACTTGGCATGTTTCTAGTGGCCATTGCACCAAACTTTGTGGAAAGGTGCTTTTTATGCCTAAGGTGCATCTGGATCCCACACATAAAAACCTGTTATCCGAAGTGAAATTAATTGGCCCCTTTTTCACAACATTTGGTGCAATTGCCGGCTAACACACATGATGCGATTGATCATGAACCGCGTTAACACATTTGACTTTAATCTTTGTAGCCCGGCGACAGTGGATCATGCTTGCAAAGTTTTCCGGTTTAATGCCTTTACAAATTATATTGATTGATGATTAATTAGCTATAGTTAAAAGTGAAATACATTTTCGCTCTAGTATCCCATTAATTACATGCAAAAGAGAAAAGCACTTGCTTCTAATTATGCATGACACTAAGGTCAAGCTCAAGTTAATTAGACTAGGTCCACACATTAGTACAGTGTGAATGACTTGTTTAAGTGAGTAGGGTCGACTATGTTAAAGAAAATATTATTGTCTCGTTCTTTTGAGAGTACCTAGGAATTCTTACTTTTATATACTAATCACAGTTTGATATGTGTGCAGAAATCAAACATATTACCCCTGTGTCAATACACGCTAGCTTGGATAGTATGCGTGTGACACGTATGACTAGTTAGATAATTTCTGAGGGTATGCATAAAATGTGACAAATACTTCAAAAATGGTCCACATTGCATGAAAAAGCCGTCACAAACTTTGATTAATTTGTTCGTCCAACTTCCAATATATTTAATGCCACTGGGTTGTCGTTCAATATCGAAAAGTGTTCGTTTGAATCTTCTTCATAAATTGGTAGGGTGCTCTATATATACATATATATATATATATATATATATGTGAGAGGAGAGCAATGGCCATGCATGTGAGGTGAAGCTGAAAATACAAAAACTGAATGAGGACAAAGCATGCCCAACAGGTACCACGTTGCACAGCGCATGCTGGACAGTGAACAAGCCTTTTGGGACCCACCCAACCCACACCCGAGCATCTCTCTCCGAGAGAGATGCCTGCCTGCCGCCATGCTTACCATGCTTACCATGCTCACCATATATTAATCTTAATTAAGCTCTCTCCAAATAATGACTGTATGTTTCGAAATGAAAATTAGTTTAGATTTTTAACAGAAAAGAAACGTACGTACATTTTGCAGGGCTTTGAAACATATTTTCATTGCTATCACTGAGATGCTTACAATCTCATGCCTCGACGACACTCAACAAATGGTGAATGAGTATTTTGTGAACAAACACACACACACACATATATATATACACGCATGAACATAAAGTCTTTGTTTTGTGATAATAGTATCAGACACATTATCGATAATAATATCGCTATTTTATTTTTTATTTTTTAAATATATGAGATAGTCTAAACTACAAAAGCGAGGGGAGTTTCTCTCACACACATTATATTATTAAGAAAGTACATCCATTACATAACCACACTATATATACATGAAATATGACAATATGATATGTATATATATGTAAATGTGAAATAAATTAACAATGAAAGCCAGATCAAATTAAGATTTTCATTTACAAAGAAGGTATGGAGAAAAACAAATATATATATATATATATAAATACTGTTAAGTGGGAGATTTGAATATGTTCGCTTTTATTTTGGTGATTGACATTTGAGTTTTGTGACCAGATAATATTGGTGTTATTCATGAGTACAAATCATAACAAGACAGTAATTTGAGTGGAGGGGTTTGGAAATTATGTTCAGCTATTTGAATTGATGAGTTGAGATCTCAATGAGCCAATTTTCTTGTATGTCGTGGACTAATTTTCTTGGTATAATATCTTGATATACGATTTTGTTATATAACCATATTGTACATTTGGAGAATTAGATTGTAGTTTTCTGTAGTGAGTGAAACACTAGTTTCAATAATCAAATGAGGTGTTAGTTGGATTGGTTCAGGTTTTTGGTTTGCTCCTAAATGGTCTTGTATTCAAGTCTCCATGCATGTTATCCGTGTATGTAAGTCTACTCCGATTCTAATTTTGACGACAACAAAAAAAATAACACTATTCCAATATTATTATTATTATTAATTCTTATGGGTATATCACTAATTATACAAATTAAGATATACATGCATGGAACTTTGTGTCTCTGTGTGTGGGAGAGAGGGAGAGAGAGAAATACACTCACAACCATATTTTTACAAAAATATATGTCTTAGGGATTGATTCAATCAACCCTTATAACATTTATAATACCTACTTAGCAATAAAAATTAATTAGCTTCCTCCATTATTGCAGTCCCTCTTAATTATTTTTCAAATATGCATATCCCAATATCACCATCAGGACTGGAATTTAGGAACCCATTCAACTTGTTCCCCTGGTCATCATCCCTACCACTACTCTGCAATAACAACAATGCCATCTCTGAATCATCATGTGCCCCAAAGCTCGACTCTCCATCACCTTCATACCTCTCTTCTTGACTCAACTGAGATGCCACAAACTTGTCCAAGGCCCTCCAGTCAGTCACCTTCTTGGGCTCGTCTTCCACTTCAATATTGTTCTCCGATATCAGAGACATTGAGCTCGGCCTCTTTGATATCAATGGCAGTGATGGGCTCTCTAGCTGAGGCAGCTGCACAAAATGATCAGAGTGCATGAAGTTCAAACTGTCAGCTTCTGTCTCTTGCTTGCACATGAAATTCTGGGCTAAAAAGCTTGGAGGCTGCCTCGAGATCATATATTCTGTTGGATCAACGACAGAACTGACACCGTTGAGTTCTTCGTAGAAGTAGCTTGAGTCCCACCCGTCAATGCCTTTGTTTTGGCTACTGGTTCTCTTCTTGAATGCTCTGCATACCACCCATCCTTCTTCCTGAAATAAATAAATAAAATTAATTTCCATTTTGTTTTTCTAATCAAGTTGTTGTGGAAAAGGGGTTGGGAATGTTTCTTGAGGGGAAAAGTGAATGTTTTTCCTTTTGACCTTTATACATAGACATGCATTTTCTTTAAGTAGCTTATGGAGTTTTCTTTCTGTTTGGTAAAGAGAGTCGTAGCTTGATGTCAATCTAAAGGCAAAGGCCATGCAACAGAAATGGAACTTTGCTTTTTGACAAAATGAAGGAGGAGAAAGCCACACCAGAAAATGAATTGGCAGAAAGCAAATTAATACATGCTTTTAAAAGCTTTAACTTTTGACTTTCATGTGTTGGTGGAAGTGAGAATGCACATATATGTATTAGTGGTCTACGACTTACGCATGCAAATTACATGAGATGGTTCCATTGCCTTTTAGAAAACTACAGTACTCACACAATATTAAGTTTTTATTTTTTATTTTTTTAAACCATGTTTGTGAGTGGCTACTATCTGATGTTGAACGATCGAGCATGGAGAGAGAGAGAAAGTGTTGCCATAAGCCTTTTTGTATAGCAAGTGATGGTAATTGATTCCAAACTCCAATCTATAAGAAATTCTGAATCAGCTATACCCTATATGTATATTAGGTCAACAATTGCTGTTTCAAACCCATGCCATGTTGACCATAGCTTCTCTCTCTCTACCGTTAATATACTCAGTGCTGGTTTGTGTGTGTGTGTGCGTGTAAGAGAGAGAGAGAGAGAGAGAGAGAGAAGATGAGATTACTTGCCTGTGGAGGTCCATTCTCCTCGGATTCAAGTCTGTATTCGTGCATAATCCAATCGGTCTTCTGTCCATTTGGAGCCCTTCCTTTGTAGAAAACAAGGGTTTTCCTCATCCCAATCAGTTTTGTCTTGTCGTACACTGATTTGTCTCGACCCGTTGCTTTCCAAAAGCCAGCCATGGTGGCTCTGTTGGTCCTTGTCCCAGTGGGATACTTCTTGTCTTTGTGGCTGAAGAAGTACCACTCGTTCTGCTCTTCATACCCGATCCGGCATCTCTCTGCCCATTCATGTCAATCAATCAATCAATCAATCGGATCAAGATTCATGTTAATTATACAAACCAAATACTATATTAACTAGATTTTTTTTAATAAAAACGATCCAATAATGTACGAGGTATCGTAGATTGATACCCTTATTATCGTATTAGATGTGCATGTGCTAGAATAATATGTTCACCCCAATAATGCAATTATATATGTTGGTATATAAGATAAATTATTGGTAGAAACGACCCCAAAAGAAATAAAAATTAAAAAACAGATTAAGTGATTAACAAACACATACGCATCCATTTGATGAGCAAACATAAACCCTAGTGACTAATTAAGCGTGATGGATCCAAAGGATTATCATCCAGCTGAAGAAATACTCCTTATATATAATTAGTACATACCTTGAAGGTCCCATGGCTCGATTCTGTAGAGATCAATGTCTCTGATGACATCAAGATCGATCTTCTGGGAGGCAACTTTCTTCCTGAGATAGTAGCCGACGAGCTCTTCATCAGTTGGATGAAATCGGAAACCAGGTGGGACAGTGGACTCGATTGACTCCATCATGGCGCAGCTGGTTGGTTTTCTTGTGGTGCCCTTGCTTGTACTGCATCAAATTCATCACCACACCCCAATTAGTGCCCACCACCACACCAACTTATATATACAGAGAAAATGAAAACTTGGGAAGAAAAAAAGAGAAAGAAAGGTGAAAAAAGGCAGTAGATAACATTAAAATGTTAAAAAGTAGTAAAAAAAGGGGAAAAATAAAATAAAGAATATTGTAAGTTAAAAGGAATAATGAAGAGTCTCTACATGATGAATTAAAAAGGTGACAAGTGTTATCAGAGATAATCATCAGCTCATTTGGTGGTGAGCAACCCCCACCATCACCATTTTTGGTTTGATATAGGAGAGGGAGCTATAATAAGCGCGTGGGATAAACAAATTACTTACAAATTAAATTAATTACTTTTTGTCCCAAGGGTGAAATAAGGAATAGAAAAAGAGAATCATGAGAGTTTGGTTTTGATAAAAACTAAGAGGAAATTGGAGCTTGCTAATTTGTGCAGAGGGGGGAGGGGGAGAGAGAGGGGGAGTCTCAAGAAACGGACAACCAGAGGTTTGTGCTAATGATGTTGTCTTGTGTTGGTGAATGGTGGAAATGATGCATCAAGAACGGGGTTTCTATTTTAATACAATTTTTTATTTATAATAATTAATTACTAGTAAAGTAGACCCATTATATTATATATATTATGGGGAAAAAAATACAAGGGTTGAAATTGAGAATTGCAAAGGGAGATCAGACAGAGGTGGATGACGTGATCACAGAATAAGCATGCGTTTGTCTCGAAAGAGGAAAGGGTTTTTGGAAGCAAAAAGATGGAAGACGACAGCGTTTGATTGGATCAAGCCTGCTAAGAGAAAAAGGATAATAAAGAAAAAGAGAAAAACAACTGTGGTCTCTCTCTCACTGCAAAGACGGGGGGCACTGAACTACTTGTCTGCTTGTCGAGAATTTCAATGGCACAAATCTGACCTCTTTTTCTTTGATAGCTAGAGTACTGCTGCTGACCCATACATTATGCATACAAAAGAAGAAGAACAAACAAACAAACATGCATGCATTGAAACCATCATATCATCAATGTTCTCTAAACACATCCTAATTTAGCTAATCCATGTGTTTAATTCATCCTAACCTTAAACTCTACGTTTTTTCTTTCTCTTTTTTTCCTCTTAAGTCACCTGGCTAGGAGGCTAGGAGGCTTGGAGAGAGCCTAGGTCAACAATAATATTAATGTGTTTTAACAAATAGAAAGATGTGAGCAAATGACCATGTGTTGGCTCAGACAGAGATCATGAGTAGAATGCCACTTGATCAGTACTTGTCAAATAGGCAATGAAATTACTAGATCAGAATGTTTTTTTTCTCATCGTGTGTTTGTGTACGAAGCAAAAGTCTTGATTGCTCAACCGGCAGAACAGCTGGGTTAACCGGGACTTGTAGCTCTAGTGGTAGAAAGTATGTATACCCAAGACCAGAAAACCAGAGATATCAAATCTCCACCTTCCCCCTTGGGCCTCCCTTGTAACTCAAAAAGAAGAAGAAGAAGAAGAAACCCTCTGGTCTGGGAAATTAATAATGACAAACAGTTTGTGACAGGATCAAGAAGAAGTCCTATGCAAATATATACAGGTGGATGAGAGGGAGAGAGACCTTGTGTTGCATATATAGCTCCTCCATCGTCGTCTTAATTACCAAGAACAAACACAGAAGATGAGATTTATTCCTTAAACTAAAGTATTATATTAGCTAGTCTGGTGGGAATGAATGACTAATGAGACGCGTTTTTCTATGATAAGGAATTTGCCATGCAACCACAAAAACAACTTAATTTGATTAAATAGTTAATTAAAAATTACCTGATCAACGGCGTTGGTGTAATTACTCGTTAAAGACAGAAAGCAATGAAGAAGAAGAAGACAAACTGAAGACGAACAACAACAACAACAGCAGCAGAAAATGAGACGAAATTGAAGAGAGAGAGTTAAAGAAAATTCCGTTAAGAGGGAGAGAGATGAAGAGAATATAAAAGGGAAGGAAGGAAGGAAGGAAGGAAGGAGAGCTAAGACAAGAGAGAGGGAGGACCGCTCGATTGCGCATGGGTTGATGGTTGTCCCCAGCAGCTGACGTCACTCTCACTCCCCCCTAGCTTCCTACAGAAACTCCCTTTTTCTTCTTTGCTTTCCGTCCATTTTCTCTTCTCACCATCACCATATATAATATTTTATTCTTTTTTTTTTACAACTTTATTTCTTTCTTTCTTTCCAAGTTTAAAAAGGGGACTTCCTTTGTTCAATTTCTTCTAGATATATATATATATATGGAAACTTATCAACTTTTTTTTTATATTGATTTTTTAAGGACATCTTCAAGTTTAAACAACCTTTTTTTCTTTTTGTTTAAGTTTTAAATTTTTTATAATTTTTTATACGAGCGATATTGGAGAAGGAGGAAATCGAATGCATATGGGACCTTAAGTCCAATAGTAAATGCTCTTAATCAACTGAATTACAAGTCTCTTACTTTATTATATGTGCTAATCCACATATTAATGTCACATATATAAAGCGCACCATTGTGGAACAACAAGTTGTTCGATTGAAACAAATGATCAACAAAATTTCTTTTGAAAGAAAAAGAAAAAGGGTACTTCTATTAGTAGTATGGAGTAATTCTCCTTGTAAGGGCATGATCGCATATATTGCCCATTACTCCATCATCATAATGCTTTTGGAGATTTGTTAATCAGAATTAAGCGAGTTTCATTAGGATCACTTTCTGATGTTTACGACTTTCATTCAAAATTTAATGTCCGCTGCAAGTTCTAACACGTTTCTGTTCAGCAAATGTCCAAAATGCTTTTTATTTCTTAGGGAAAGTCTCAATAAAATTCTATGAATCAATTAGAGCCCGTTTAATAACCATTTCAATTTTAGGTTTTAGTTTTCATTTTTCTATGCTGATTGAGAGAGAGGACGAAAGGGAAGAGTAACAAAAGTGAAAACTGTTTAAAATGAATTTCAGTTTTTAGTTTTTGTTTTCACTTTTGTTATTCGTCTCTCTCATCCTCTCTCCCATCCTCTCCTCTCATCTTCCTTCTCAATTCCATCTCCACTCTCATTCTCACTTTCATTCTCCCTCTTTTTTCTCTATACTCTAGCACTAAAAATGAAAACTAAAAACTAAAATTGAAATAGTTATCAAACAGACCCTTAAATTCTCGGCAGTTCAATATTTACACTTAAACAATATGATTGGCTGAGTACTAAGTTGGTACCAAGTAATAAACTTACTAGTCACTAGTGAGGTGCAACAATCATTGCTACTAATTAATTTGGTTGCAAAAGAATTCATGATCATGGTGTTTTGGTGTTTTGGTGTTGTTGCTATCCCGTTTTGCCGTGACTACTATCTTCCTCCACATATATGGACCCCAAAACTGAAAGCTTCGTGTTATCTTTCCTTCTTCTTCTTCTTCAACTTCTCGTCAAAAATCCTTTGAAAAAAAAATATCTCCCATTACTATTCTGCGTAGTAGTCGCTTTTCTTTTTCAAACACATTCTTCTGACTGACACACCTGCCACGTCTGCACTGAAATTAAGACCTCGCTCCACGTGTTGCCGCCAAATACCCTAGTTCGGCTTGGCTCGCGCGGCTCACATGGCTTCTTGGTTATGCTAGCTAGCTGCATGCCAGTTTACCAAAAACTCCTCCAGGCCCCGGTGTGAATAGTATTGGAAGGGCATTTTGGTAATTTAAGAGGTCCACGCACTTCCGTTTAGGGCCTGGAAATGATTTGATTTCTTTGTGGACAAGTATTTTGGAGAAGGAAAGAGTAGAAAAAGACAGGGAAAACGTATAGTGAGGAGAACAATCGAAGCAAACCAACGCGTGACACAACACAATGTGGTTTTTTATATATATTTTTTTTGGGTACAACTTTACGTAGAAGATAAACAAAGCAAAAGCAAACAGTACAAATAAATAAATATTTCCTCAAGACTATACAGACTAGATTCTTTTCAATTTAACAGGACCCCCACCTCAATTGGGTCAAATACCATTTTACAAATGATATTCTACTTTAACATAATCTAAACTATACGGAGGGAGATTCTCGGGTGCAGAGTGGAGAATACATTCACTCTAGTTAATTTGACATCGTCTTTAATAATAATAAAATAAATTTCACTGTGTTTGATCAATAGTCTCATATATAATGTTTGGTGAATTTCACAGATAATAATATTCAAACAAGAGGGAATTTGAGTGAGTGAGTGAGTTCTAGAAGATGATCAGTGGACCAAACTAGCTAGTACGTGGTTCCATCTGCATGCTCGTTAATTTCTTGATGGATGGATGGATCGATATGTTGTTAAGTATTAGTAACTATCATAACAAGAACTAATCATGGCAGTAGTCGTATCTTTTTCACTAGATGCCTTGAGATTTTTTTGGTCGATCTGAATGGACTACTTTCTGCCAAAGAGTTCTTTTTCTGATACAAAGTCACAATCTTATCCCACTGAATCCATTTAATTATTATGCCTAAACGTTTTAAAGATGTGAGTATAACTAAAGCGGTTTTGATATACATCTTGATCAGCTTCGTATGAATAATTATAGGGAAAAGCTTTCTTTGCTGCATGTCATTTTCCATGGAAGAACAAATAATAACAAAGAAAGAACGTTCGATTTGAAACGATGTTGGTTGAGCAAGAGATGAAACCAGCCACACATAAGGAAATCATTTTGTGATGAAATGTGAGCGCTTCGTGCCTAGCGGTATAATTTCTGGTTACGGAAACAAAACTTGCGAAAAGGAAAAAATACGGTATTAAACAAGATAAATCGCAATGAATTAAGGTCAATTATCATTTTGTGCCTTCGACTATATTTAAGTTCTGCAAGTATAGGTTTGTTTTTTGTGAAATTGATACAAGTTCATTTTGATATAATAAAGGTTTGTACGGCAATGTTGATTGAGGATCTCATGTTATGAGAAACTTATATAAATAATAATAAGACTAGCTTTCTTCTTCCCGTAATATTGGACCAAGAAATGAGAAAAGACTTGTGCAATTCAATGCATTTCAGATTTCACATTTAAATTTGGTGCACGGGGCCAAACGACAGAGTTTCTAATGATGTGAAATCGGACCAACTTGATGTCAAGCAACATTACATGCAATGAGAGGCCACATGGCAGGGGGATCTGTTTGGGTTGAAAAATTATAGACTTTTTATGCAAAAATCTTGAGTAATTTTTGGAACAAAACATGATGCACGTGTGGTCCAATAAGGCTAAATTTGGATAGAAATCATTAAGCCTTTCTCTTTTTTAGGTAATTTGATGCATGAGGGAAGGTGAGATTTCAAACTTCGATCTGATTTGACTTTTGTTAACACAAAAATTACTTCTGGCTAAAAGAGAGAAGATGTCGGCAATAAATAGTGAGATTCTAATCCTACCTAGTCCAGTTGTTAAATAAGTCGACATAATTAATGCTAAAAAATTTCATGAATCAAAGTGTGACAGTCATTATGTCACGTGATGTTATTAATTTATTTATGTTATTATATACGTATCTATTTAGTATCATTATATATAAGTAAGAAGGAACGAGATTATTGTCCTGATTCGGTCTAACAAATATGCCGATAGCTTAATGTTTTTTTATTTATATAAATGATATTAAATACATAGAGAAATACTATTAATCAATTGAACTCCTAGCTCCTTCCAACATTTTAAATCAAACATCCATTTCAGTAGTCCAAGACAAGGATGTAAATTGCAGGGTGATCCCAACTTTGAACATTGATTGACTGATCTGACGCATGGAAAAGGTGGCAAACTTGTTTGGGGATGGCTGAGGGTAAGTTTGTAACTATAATAGAAAGGAAGTGGCAGTTACGGAAACTAAAAATACCAAGGGCAAGCTATGAAGCTGGTGAAGCTGTGGCTCGTGAGTGGAGGATAGTGAACGGTGATATGGACGTGCAGTCCACGTAGGACGGTGATGGTCGGCCGTGGTTTCTCCAATCATGCGGCGGACCGCATCATTGAGCTTATGAGACTCACTGTGGTCCCCACCATAAATTTACCTTTCCTCTTCTAACCCTCTTCTTCAAAGGCTATCTTGGGGCGGTGAGCCAAACAATCACCAAAATAAGAATCTTTTTTGTTTTTAATATGCGTAGTTTGCGAGTGATTGCATAAAACCGAATTGTAGATACATTAAAAAAAAGATACAGTTTCTTTCAATCTTTTATAAACTAAGTAAAATGCTTCATCACTGAAACTATAAGCGTGTGTTTTTTTTATAATCCAAAAGTTTGTAACAAACAAAATTAAAAAAATGTGGAGAAATTGATATCGTTAGGGTTAGCGTAAGCAACAAAAGGAGATCCTTGGGGGGTCCTATTAGGATCTTATAGCCCTTTTTGACATCGACCACCCTCCAAACTCTCTCTCTCAAATCTCAATCTCTGAATTACACCCTACCCTTTACAAATTATGTTACGGAAATTATGTCTTCTTTTTGAAATATGGTTTTCATGGTGGTTGGTGAAGAGAAAATGACCATGAATTTTCTCAATTATTAACTTGTAAGTAGTTATATAGAGAGAGAGCTTTCATTGAGGAATACCCTTGTAAGGCTCACTCCTTATTGTATTTTATTAATCCAAATATAGTCTATTTTGTAGATACTCATTGAAAAATTATTTTTACAAAAAATCACTTGAATCCGATATCATTTGATCACTCAATTAAATTATTGAAACTTAAGTATTTTCTTGAAGCACTGTGTTTATTGATTTTTTGTGTGTGTAAATTAGATGCCTTAATGATTTTCAATTTGCTTGATTTTTTGCAAGAATGATCTATGAATGGAGACTTGAAAAATAGATGGTTTGGATGTTTGAAAAAGATTCGTAGGGGATCCTAAAGGGAGTCCTCAAATAAAAGTATTTGAGGGTCTATATACAACTAGACCTTGAATATCTCTCTTTATTGTAAGGTGTGAAACACAAGCTTCTTGCAAGGACATGGATGATCATTGCACTTCTTGTAGCGTCTAATAATTCTAACATTTTATTCACACATAAACATAAAATTATATATTGCCTTCTAGACCCTAGCAATTGATGGAAATTGTTTGTACCTTTCTAGATTTTTGAAGGGGAAAAGTTAAATTACGTGTATTTTGTCATTTCTGTGAGGTGATGATTGATCATAATGCAAATTAAAGTGGATATCCCGTGGCCAAGTTATATGATCATTTGAAAATAAAAAAAAAAAAAAAAAAAAAAAAAAAAAAAAAGGTTTGGTTGAAGATGGTATCAAATTGGTTATCAGTGCATTCTAAAATGGCCCTAAACTAGAAATATTGTAGTTGTGATGGTTTTTGGCATTGAAATCATTACCAGTGAAAAGTCCAGCAAAGAGAAGAAGAGTGCTGGAGATTGAACCCAAAGCACTCATAAGTGTGCCAATGAAGTAACAATGAGAACTGAAGACTTGTATGATGCCTGAGAGATTGATTTGGAAAACCATTCATGAGAATTGGCACAGGCTCTTTTTCTCTCTTCGATGCGGATATTAGGAAAAAGAAAAATCGAACACAGGATCTCGGATGCAGGGATAAACACTCTTTAACTACAGCAGTTGAGCTGCTAAGCATACGATGATATTGACAGATAGGTTATCAACTTGACCAGGAACTCTCTAGGTACGCAAATTGGGCGGAGATGGGCCATTGATTGGGAAAGGATTGGAATAGATGCCATGATGTTGAATGGGGTTAGGTGAGGGGTCCTCTGCTACAAGCAGCAGTAGAGACTATATGATGGTGGGTGGTTTCCAAATGAGCTGCCCCTGACTCTGCCCTGTGTTCATGAACAATGAGATCATTCTAAGGTTTCAGTGGTGGGTCCGAGTCGAATAGATAATGATGACAACGACAACGACGATAACAACGCGTATAAATTGACTTGTTGGATCTGTTGCTTGTGTTGCACAGACATGCCTCTCCTGGTTCTTGATACATTTTGGCCCTGATTAGACATGTTGTTTGTGCTTGTTTGTCAAAAAGGTCTGATTGTTGGCGTGTTACCTTTTTTTCCAGTCAATGAAGCAAAATTCAATTGGGAACTGTCCTGCATAGAGAGTGATGTTAGGCTCGTTATCCTGCAGATTAATATGGCAAATGCTAGTAGCAACTAGCATTTAGTATTTACAGATAATTAAAGAAATCATAAGAAGTTGAGCGGGGTTACCACAGTGGTTGTGCCCTCCCCCTTCCCTCATGCTTGGTACCAGAATCGAAATCGTAAGAAGAAAATCATAAGAAGAAAAAAAAAGGAAAATTAAATTTGTGAAATGATAGAAAGTACGATGCAATTTAGAGAGATTTCAAATGCTAGAGGAAGTGGACTTATCACCACCAAAGGTATGGAAAGCATATCACAGAATGATTACACTTCACTGCCTCACTGGGGAATGTCACTGAGACTTCAAATACCCCTTTTTTATTTTTTCTTTATTTTTTTTTAAATTTTCCCAGTAATTTTATGTGCTTCCTTCATCTCTCTGGCCACACTTGGACCCCATAAAATAATATCTGAAACCAACGTGTGGCCAACACCTCTCTTTTACCTGTAAACATCTTCTGGAAGTAATAATCTGAGATTAATTAATCCTCCTCAATAAGCATAATTAAGTAGAGCAACGGGTCAAAGTCAACCTTTTCAGGGTTGGGGAGATTGTATTTTCTGCACCACAACAAATTGTTTGAAGGCAGAATGATGAAAGGGGAAGAGCTTTTTAAATGCATATTAATAATCACAATGTATTCAACGTTAAGCATTTGCACGGATCCATCAAACCAGTCATAATTATTTTACTTTAAACTGACTCTTGCATTCTTTTTCATCTTTTTATTTGGGTATGTGAATGTGATGGTATATATTAATGAAAAAAAGCAAAGAAGATGAAAATTAAAAGGTCATGGTGGTACTTGTTTGCATGATGGTGGTTTTACTCACTCTTGGAAGTCTTTTTTCTTTCTTTGTTTTCATAATAAAAGTGAAAAAGAACATACGCATCGTGCAATTGTCTATTGATTACCGAAAATAAATATTTTAGAAAGAATTTAAATGAGTTGTTATGATAAGTTGTTTGTACGTGCAAATTTAATTTCTGATCATAGATGCATGTAAAAATAGAACACGGCGGGAAATTAAAGGCACGCTTACGCCCAAAGTTAAGCATCAACCGGCTTGTTGATTGGGCTTTGCAGGCATTATAGCCCATACCACTCATAAAAATGGGGGAAGCCTATTTTTTTAGTTGGGCACTGCAAAACGACAAGTCGTTGATCCAACATAGAAAAATGACCCATTGGGCTGGCCTGTATTGTAGGCCCATGAAACACCCAATTCAACATTTATCCATTTTGTCCCGTTGCCAATCAATCAGCGGGCCCCACTGAAGCTTCAGAGAAAGAGGCACCACACGCTGTCGTGACTCGTAAGCGACAAAACGCTCGTGTGAATCCAAATCAATCAGTCTCTAATCTCCGCGATCAAAATTTCCCAAATCTGAGAGAGGCTGAAGCAAATCGCTAGTCGGAAACCAAAAGCAAAGAAAATGGCGTCATCCACGTTCAGCGGCGACGAAACGGCGCCATTCTTCGGCTTCCTCGGCGCGGCGGCCGCCCTAGTTTTCTCCTGTAAGTGAAAACCCCCAACTTTCCCTCCAAATCTAGCTCCAATTTGCACATTTCATTTCTGCGTGAAAATTGAATGACTTAGAGGGGCTTTTTGGTCAATTCAGGTATGGGAGCGGCGTACGGGACGGCGAAGAGCGGCGTGGGCGTGGCGTCGATGGGGGTAATGAGGCCGGAGCTAGTCATGAAATCGATTGTTCCGGTGGTTATGGCGGGAGTGTTGGGTATCTATGGTTTGATCATTGCTGTGATTATCAGCACGGGGATTAACCCAAAGGCCAAATCTTATTACCTTTTCGATGGCTATGCCCACCTCTCCTCCGGCCTCGCTTGCGGCCTCGCCGGACTTTCCGCCGGAATGGCCATCGGAATCGTCGGCGATGCCGGTGTTAGGTAATTTGGTTTTCCCTCCATTTCTGGTTTTTGTTTAAGTTTTGGGTGGATGAAGCTGTGTTTTTTTTGTGCGTAGGAAGAGAATTATGTTTTGTCTGAGTAATTGGGTATTTGAATAACTTGTTGGCATTGTTATGGGTTTTGATTAAGGATTTAGACTGGCAGAAATACGTGGAATTTTCTAGGCAATGTGAAGAGAACTGACCTATAAATGAAAATTAGTCTACAATGTTTGTTGGGTTTTGATACAATTGGATTGGATGAGTGTATTAATGGGAAAGAAATGTGATCACCCTTCTTAATGTTTCTTAGTGACTCTTACAGAAGAAAGACAAAATCTTTTACATGTTGGTACAGTGATAATCCCTAGTCTTCTTGTGTTTGCTGCCATGAATGTTGTTGCACCAAGTTTTTAATTGGATGTTTCCCCGAAGGGTTTTCAAGATTTATTCTCCCGATTTTAGGTGCCGTGTGTTTTTTGGTTCTTGGCTCTGCAGGCAGTACATTTGGATTGCTCCTTGTTTTCTTCTTGTGCAATTGATCTTTTTTCTTTTCTGTGATAGAATGTTTAGTATTTCCTGATGTAATAGGTTTATTCCGCAGGGCGAATGCGCAACAGCCAAAGCTTTTTGTTGGAATGATTCTCATTCTCATCTTTGCTGAAGCTTTGGCTTTGTACGGTCTCATTGTCGGCATCATCCTTTCATCCCGATCCGGACAATCCAGAGCAGATTAGAGATGGCATTCCTGCCAGCTTCGAATGTGAATTTTGTTGGCATCTCGGTTACTCACAGGTTGGTGATGCTCATTCGCAGTGTGCAGTGTTGTGTCAAGTTATTGGTCTTGCATAGGAAGATCCTTTTTCCGATTGTAGAATTTGAAGTGAATTGTCTTTGAAATAAAGCTTTTTTAGCTGGTTGTTCACCTGCTCCTTTTTCTACATATTAGTTTTGACATAATGGGGAAATCATCATTCTGGAATATTCCACTCCACAGAATTGCTTTATGTTTCTGATCATCATATTTGATGGTATTACCATCATTTGAGAGATTATTGTACTGGGAAATGCATAATACATTGATGACCTCTAAAAACATAATCTTACAGTTATACTAAGCCGCTGAACCTGAACTCTCACCTCTGAACCAAGATGAGTCCCTCCCTCCACGGACAGCCTCCGACTCAGCAAAACACCTTGTTAAAAGAAAAAGGCCATGAAATCATTGACGCATTCCGTCGATAAGTTTAAACTAAAGACTGCAACAAGCCACCGTCCCTGAACAACCACAAAAGAGTTAGTTTGTGCGAACGTTCCGCATGGAACACAAAGACAAAAGCGATGGACTCGTACTTGTCCCATGTGTTCGCTGAGGCCAATGCAATTGGAGAAGAGAAAAAGGTTGAGAAAATGATTGTTGAGGGTTAGGATAGGTTTGTGAGGAGGAGAAGGGAGTTTTATTAGGTGAGCAAGGTTTGGAAAAGAGGCTACTTATTGTATGGTCCTCCTGGCACTGGCAAACAAATCTAGCTTGATTGCGGCCATGGCTAATTATCTCAAGTTTGATTTGGAGCTTTCTAGTATTATTCACCATGACTCATAATGGAGAAAAGAAACCCTTGAGGTTTCGAAGCTGGGTGCCATGTGGGGAGGAAGGGGAATCCATCACCATTGTGGTTTAGGGTCGGAATTGGACCACTCTGTTTTGGGTCGGAATTGGACCCAACTATCTCTTGTTTGGGCTCTCTCTCTTAACCCATCTGTTGTTGAGTTTTTTTCTTAAATATCCAAAGTTGAACAGAGTTATAGGGTTAAGCATGATTTGTAGGTCCAACTATGTTGGTCTAGCCTGCCAACTTCCATCGTCAGTCCTTCACCTAGCCATTCTCAAACGTATTTTCTACATGGAATAACAGAGACCAACGTTTCGGAAAATATTTATTAAACAACTTATCGTGCTGTGTGTAAACCAAAGGAAATCAGAAGCAACGTAAACCAAAATTAAAATAAATTATATTTATTTTTTTAAGAAAAGAAAAAAACAAGCAGAGACATATTCAAAAGAGGAAGATCCATAGCTTAACGGTCACTGCGTTTTGCCCAGTTCCCAGTGAATTTATTTAGTATTTAGTTATTATATGTTTGGGTATTCCGAGGCGAATCTTCTGGTTGTTGTCTCTTCTTTTGTGCCTCTAATATTACAAAAATATTTATGGTATATAAATTTCATTTTGGCTCATTTTGGAGCCAAATTTCAAGTTTGGTAGCATCAAACCACAAATGCAAATTAGATGACGAATGAGACACACTACTGCTACGATTCAATTGAATCAATTCAATACGAAATAGTCACGAGTCACGACCTACCAAAAGTTCAAAGTACTAGAATGAGTTATTGAGTCGTGATCCAGTGGGACCTGAACTCAACGTCCTTGTCTGCACTCTCCACTCCAGTCCACTGCCATGAAACAAACCTAGCGCCAGCAGATTACCCCACGTGGCAGCCCAACAGATCGAAATCACGTTGGATCTGTGCTCAACTGGGTTCACAAAACCCAATGCCAGGGTGTACGTATGCAACCTCTCAGACCCCACAACCTTAACGGCTATATATAATCACGAGCCCACATGGCCCCGCCCGAAACCAAATAAACAGTTCCTTTCGTCGCTTGGTGTGTGGCGGGAAACAGAACGGTGGGCCCTGTCTTTTTCACTGTTCTTTTGGCTTTTTAATTAATTAATTAACTGCGCCTGTCCATTTCGTTGACTGAAAATCTTGGATTTTACTCAAATCCCCCGGCGGACCCCACAGTCCCGGCTCGGCCGGCATAGACGAGCGTGCTAAAAGGGCAAAAGCGTAAAATAGACAAGCCAACACAAGAAAAAAAATTCCAAAACTTCCGCTACTGTAGACTACAGTTAAAGAAACATTTAAAAAAAATTAAAAAAAGAAAAAAGAAAAGGTCAAAGTTTGTTGGGCTTGTGATTACGCCGGAGACGGTTGAGACGTCGGGTCAGCGGAGGAGGGGATATCGGGTCCGACCCGGCAGCCTTCGAGCATGAAAACGATATCGGACATGGTGGGTCGGTCAAGCGGGTCGGGTGCTGTGCAGAGCAACCCAACTTTCACTCCAAGCAAGAACTCTTCCCACTCCGTTGACTCAGGGTCAAGCTCAAGCAAACCCGGCTCTAGCAACTCTGTGATTTGGCCTTTTTGGAGCTGCTTCTTCACCCATTTCACTATGTCTTCGTCTTGGGTAAACATCACCGGCCTCTTCCCTGTCAAGAGCTCAAGCAAAACGATCCCATAGCTGTAAACATCTGATTCTTTTGTGACTGCTCCTGTTAGAACTGCTTCAGGAGACACATAGCCTAATGTCCCAACTGTGGTTGAGCTTGAGGCCTCAGCTGGGGTTGCCAATGTGAGTTTGTCTAGCCCGAAATCGGACAGATGGGCTTCGAAATCGGCGTCGAAAAGCACGCTTTGGGGCTTCACATCGCCGTGAACCACTGCGGAGCTGTGTAAGAAGGCCAAGCCACGAGCAATTCCAAGTGCAATGAGGTGGCGCATTGGCCAATTGAGGACATGGCCATCTTGGTGTGATGCTTCTTGCAAAAGGGTAGCGAGATTTCCGTTGGGCATGTAGTCATAGACAAGAAGCCTCATGTCTGGTGGCCCGGCGTAGTAGCCTCGAAGAACTGTTAAGTTCCGGTGCTTCACTCTGCCCAGTGCTTCAGCTTCTTTTCTGAACAAGTTTTCATTGAGTGCTCCATCTGGGAAGCGGCGGACCGATAACACCATACCATCAGCATAACAAGCCTTGAAGACCAACCCATATCTTGTTCTGCTGAGCACATTTTCTTCGTCGAATTGTCTGGTAGCTTCAATTGTCTCTGCCAGTGTGATTTTGTTGTTGAACATAACAAGCTTTGGCCCTCCACTATCAGAGCTTCCACGGCCCCCACTGGCCCCTGAGCTTGCCCTTGCTGGACTCCTGTTCTTCTCTCCAGATGCCTTTTGTTTGAGCTTTTTGCGCCACCTGAAGAGGCTGAAGATGTAGAAGCAGCAACACAGAGCTAATAGGCAAGCTCCACTTGCAATAATAACAATCATTAGAATCAGCCTCTTCCTGTTGTCACTCTTGGTGCCTACATCCTCACATTTCCGATCCAATGGCCGCCCACATAGGTTTTCATTTCCTCCAAATGCTGATGGATTGTTGATCCGAGAACCAAGCAATTCTGGGATCTTACCATCGAGGTTATTCATGGAGACATTGAAGTTCACAAGGCCAGGAATTAATGTAAGATTAGAAGGAATTTCCCCACTCAAGTTGTTGTTCGAAAGATCCAGAGTAGTTAGGTTTGATAGCTCAGACAATGAGACTGGCATGCCACCTGAAAGATGATTGGACTCCAGTAACAAAGCAATTAGTGATGAACATTTGGAAATTTCTTCTGGGATTTCACCTGTTAAGTTGTTGTTTCCCAAATCAAGCTCCTTCAACAATGAGAGGTGAGAAAGATCAGCTGGAATGCTGCCTGTCAAAGAGTTTGATTGCAGCTCTACAACTTGAAGATCCGAGCAGTTTCCAAGCTCTGGTGGAATCACACCCGAAATGTGGTTGTCAGCCAATGACAGAACAACCAATGACCGAAGAAAACCATAATTCTCCGGAATATGACCAGAAAATGCGTTGGAACTGAGGTTCAAATAATGCAGGCCCATCAAACTACTAAAGCCCTCAGGAACATCTCCAGACAAACTGTTCTCTTGCAATGCAATAACTTGCAGATTGGGTAACCCAGAAAGCTCAAAAGGTAGCTCACCAGAGAAGTTCTGTTTGCTCAAATCAATAGTTGTAAGCCTGAAAAGACTGGCCAAGCTGCTAGGAACCCTCCCAGAAAAGCCATTACCACTTAGATTCAGAACCATTAGCTGACTCAAATTCCCAATAGTGATGCCAACTTCACCAGAAAACTTGTTCCTACTGAGGTCCAATGTGGTCAAATTGCCCAACCCCATAAGCACCTCCTCAGGCAAAGTTCCAGTCAACTGGTTCCCTCTCAAGCTCAAAGTCTCCAGCCCCAAAAGGTTGGGAAAATTTGCAGGAATTGAACCCAAGAACTGATTTTCCCCCAGGGACAGCACCTTCAAACCTCTCAAATCACCCAAAAACAAAGGAATTTCACCCGAAAATCGATTCCCTTGGAGATCAAGCACGCGCAGTAAGCTACATTGCTTAATCTCTGCAGGAATCGGACCGCTAAATGAATTATTAGCCATTTTAAGCTCCTCTAGTCTGGTTAAGTTTCCAATCTCTGGCGGCACCACACCAGAAAATGAGTTGCTAGAAACATCGAGAATTGTCAAGTTTGATACCTGTGTTAACCACCAAGGAAAATCGCCGCCAATCTGATTGTGTTGAAGATCCAAAACTTGCAGAGCACTAAAACAACTCGCTGTCTCGGGCTTCACGATATCCGTGAACGCGTTAAACCCCAGCTGGACGATTCGAAGCGACGGCGTAAAAACCGAAACGTTGCAGAACATTGAGTACGGGACAGTACCAGAGAGAGTATTCTGTGAAAGCGCGAGCACTTGAAGGTTCGGTAGAGCTCCGATCGCCGCCGGTATCACGCCGCTGAGCGCATTGCCTTCAACGCTCAAATGCACGAGCGCCAAGCAATTGGCGAGCGCCGAAGGCAGTGGTCCTGATAAGAGGTTGTAGTCGAG